TAAATGTTGCAAATGCGTTAGATAGCCCTTGGAGCATCACTATCCACTCTCAGAGCATACCTCTCGGAGTGCTGACCGCTGTCAGCGGGATATCACTAGCTTGCATGAGCAGTTGGTAATATCCATCGACTAAGTCGAGGGCGCTGTACATCGTACATCCCACCATATTGTTCTGAAGAACATCCAATCGGTGTTTGAGCCGGGATAGTGGCTGCATTCAGCTTATCGTAAGCATGCACTATTCGCCACTTCCCATTAGGCTTTCTCACACAAACGTGGGCGTAGAGTGAGGAGACTTGCTCTCACGCACCATGCCAGCCGCGTGCTTGGCACGAAATAACTCGTCAATGATGTCACATTGTTCTCGTGGCAGCGGCCACTGTCGCGTCACACAGTATTTGGTTCCTGGAACCAAGTCAATCTCATGAAGTACACGTCTATCCGGAGGTAACACTGTAGGAGGTTCTCTGGAGACAACATCGCCATATTCCTTTAACAAGAAGAATAAGGATCCAAAGGGTCCTTCAGGATCTGTGATCCACTGCGCATTCAGCGCCTTCTTGATATCATTAAGAACTGCTGTATCCAAAAGCGGTGAGGTGTTCAACTCCTCCTCAGGTCGTGTAACGACCACTTCGGCGATGTCGCCCGCCTGTAAGACAATGCCAAACTCAGCAAAGGACAACTCGTCTAGCTCTAACAGAGCACTTACTGCGGGTATAGCTGAAAGAGCCACCGGCTCTTCAACATCCCCAGTCAAACCATTGACGAGTGTATATAGCTATTCACTATCACCGTCACTCACAATATCATCATCGCTACTCTGATGCTCTCAGCATCCGACGCATCAGCGTACACATGTCTACACACCTCAAGGTCACAGACCACTTCGTTTACTGACCGCACCACACCCTCTTGGTTCAATGTCTCTTCATAAGGTGTTTGCACTAGCTGTTTTCAAAGACAACCGTCATTATGACTTCACCCGACCCTATTGGTTCAGTATCTCGTCGTTAGGTGCATGCACCTTGTTATCCTCAAAGATATTATCCATTGATGACTTCAACCGACCCTCCAGGGTCAGTACCTCGTCGTTAGCTGCATGCACCTCGTGATCATCAAAGACAACATCCATTTGTGACTTCATTCGGTCCTCCAGGGTCAGTTCCTCGTCACTCATGTCATTTAGACTCATGTCCTGGCATCTTAGCTTGGCCACCAACACCACTCACGGTGTTTAACGATGTAACATTACTCTCATGACACATGTCATATGTGCCATCTAGTGGATTCGCAACTACACTATCGACAGTCCTTGGGTCTTGTCCAGGTCTATTGTTCTCGACACTTAAAGTGTCTACAAAGTCGGATATTCCGACATCCAACATATTGACCGACTCGGTCCAATATCCGCGCCAAAAGCGCTTTTGCTTCCTGGCAGAGGTGTGTTCATGACTCTAGCCATGCCATGCCTATGATGAGGTCATACCTCGCATCCAGGTCTAAGACCAAACAGCGTTCCATGCTGTTAAAATCCAAGAACTTTACATTTAAGGCCATCGATACTTCGGGTACCGTAACACGCGTACCAGTCGCTAAGCGAACGATGACTGTGTCACTTTCACGCGCTACAAGCGCTTCAGCATACTGCTGACTATCTTCCACGGTGGCACGGCGCATGTAACTGTTCAATGCCTCCGAATCGATCAAAATGATCCATGGCTTATCATAGCTCTTAATCGTCCCTTCGACAACTAGCAAGCCTGGCTTGCATTCTCGTTCCGTTTTTGGAAGTTTGGATCTCTTTAGGGCTGGGCCCTGTTTACTTCTACCTCCTTGAGCTTTAACAAATTCAGTTCTTCCCCAGTAGGGCGCCCCGCGCCTACTGGGTTCCGCCGTTTCCCCGCGGCAAACTAGATGGTTTATCCATGGGGCGTCGGCGATCCGAGGCCAAATATGCCTTTCTTGCAGGGCATTTTGCCATCAAATGACCTGTGCTCTTGCAGACATAACATCTGTGCACAATTTCTGCTCCGCAGCTTAAAGCTCAGCTTCTTCATCCTCCACTTGATTACGGTCCATGGGTACAGACCCATCAGACGAGTAGTTATAAGTGGCAGGCCTAGCGTCCTTATAGTTGGTCTCGGTATTTGATGCCACTCCAATAGCTTCCTCGAATGAAGTCGGATTTACCTCGAAGACTTTCGTTCTGGCAACGCCAATTCGGAAGCCCTCCATGAAGACCGTGGTGGTCACTGCCTCAGGCATAGGGTCTATGACCATGGCAGCAATGAGAGTTCTCAACTCTTGTAAATATGCCGCAAGCTCACGCTTGCCTTGGCGACACGCCAAAAACCGCGAATGATTACGGTGTGCTGGGTTTGGCGGTGCATACTGCCGGGTTATCTGAGCTTTCAGATCGACCCATGTGGGAAAATCATCTTGCAGTGATGCTCCACATGTGAATGCCCACTGTTTGGCTAAGCCACTCAACTTGCTCGTGGCAAAGCTCACACAGAACGGATCTATTGGTGATGATGGCTTTAAACATAGCCGACTCAACCTGTCGGAACCAAAGCATAAGGTTGTCACCTCCTTTGCCGTCGAACTTATCGACTTCCATTTATATGGGTTTTGGTCTGCGGACCACTTTTTGCGCCATAGTCGCCATGAACAAAGGCGCAGAAGAAGGCATCTGTGCCTTTACATGCTCGACTAGAGCTTTATTATATTCATCAAGCATATGAATACGCTTGTTAACCTTTTCTTCGTTCTGGGCGATGATGTAATCGACGCCCAAAAAGGCCAAGGATAGGAAGTAGCTTCTGCAACCCTTCCTGTTGTGCCTGTGACAGGCCAACCGCTGACATCTCGTCGATGTCCATTCTCACACAGAGAAGTAGTCGCAAACCCAGGTGCGTTATTGACTACAAGTGCTACCAGGTGTAGCCGAGCTATCGTGGCCAAGCTACTTATGCACTATGTGCCGATGCACTATGTGAAGATGCACTATGTGAAGATGCACTATGTGCAGAAGAAGTAGTCAAACTACTGTAGCAAAGGCTACGTATGCACTATGTGCAGAGGAAGTCAAGCTCAGAAAGCTTCTACGTCTTAGAGTGTTTAACCCTCCTAGGCTAGCTCGTAAGCTTGTGCCTATCGGTATTAACCAAGTATCGGAGAGACTAGTATCAAAGATACAATTCCTATACGGAATAGAACGCTCTAGCAACTAGTGCTATACAGAGCAGGTTTTGAACCTGATTATATCTAAGTTAATCTTCTAACACTAAATATAGAAGCACCTATCCTATACTTAGTGCTGGTCACTGTTACTGGCTCTATAGACAAACATGCATAGTCACTATACATTAAATAAGTATAGTGACCACGTGGCTCTCTACCACGATGTGACCCTTCAAACCTTAGGTATGGTTACATCAAGCTTACTCTTGTATCCAAGGTACAGCCACACCACATTGGTGTGGCAGGTGTGTATGTAAAATACACACCTTCGTGTAACCTTGTTACAAAATTTTTCGCTCCGATTTTCTTGTCACCAAGTGGATTTTTGAAGAGCTGCGCAAGTTCATTACTGCTGCGAAGAATTTCCGCTCTGATAATGTTGCAGAAACCGAAGAAATTAAAGAATTTAAAGAAATAGCCAACGGCGTAGAGTCTTGACTAATGGATCGCCATCCATTCTATGAATTGGAGAAGTTGATTCACTAACACAACAAATTGGTGCTTAACTACAAGATCTCAGACTTAATTAGTTTGGCCGTCTACGTGAACAACTACAACAAGATGTACTCAGAGAAACAAACAATGATCTTTGACCCAATTACAAAATTTTACAATGACTAAATTCTGGCGAACTACTTTGAACATAAAAGTGAAGAGTGGGAAACCAATCAAAGACTGAGTAAAGATCACAAGAATGGCTGGATACGGCGACACCTCCTGACGATATCGTTACCAAGCTTGACCTTGACATAGTAGATTATGCGTTTTTCAGCATGGAGGGATTATCTAAGAAAATTGAGGAGAAGGAAGAAGACATTTTCGAACGTTACCCCAACTTGCAGATACCCTTTCGCAAGCTATCTCCGTACAACGATAAAAAACTGATCGATATGGTGTTTTTTAAGTTGAAACTGAAACCAAACGAGATACTTTCAGACATCAAGTGCTCGAGGAGCTATACCAGGCATGGATTGTTGAAAAAGTTTCTCCAGTCACAGTTTATCCGCTTTTTATGGAAGACAACGGCAGAGTTGATTTTCTTGTAAGTCCTCGTTTACAATGCTTCTTGCATTATAGGGAAGCTTACAAAGTGTAGCCCACAAGCTTACAAAGTAGCCCACAAGCTTACAAAGTAGCCCACAAGCTTACAAAGTAGCCCACAAGCTTACAAAGTAGCCCACAAGCTTACAAAGTAGCCCACAAGCTTACAAAGTAGCCCACAAGCTTACAAAGTAGCCCACAAGCTTACAAGAGACGCTCGCTAATGGCTGAGCTTAACATGGCGTCTAACATTTGTTAAAAGCGATAAGCAAGATCGAGCAAGGAGATACAAAGACCGAGCAAAAAAACGAGGAATTGCAAGACTTACTAAACCCAAAAAACAGAATAAAGATGCACATGTTTGTTAAGGTGTGGATTTCTCTTCTGTTGGCCCCCTTCTCTCTGGTCCACTGGTCTTTAAGCTCCCACGATTTTTGAAGCTCGCCCCCCACGAGCAAGAGCCTTCTTTTTGGGATTCCGCTACATCATGCACGAGGATCCAGCCACAACTATACTCCTTTTTGTGTCTGGATATTAGATATGGTCAAACATATCTTGATTGCACACGGATTCATACGGGTGGGTTTGACGGGTCTAGCGGATTTAGTCACGATCTCCATTCTATACTACCGCGAGCAAAATTTACAAATTTGATCATGTACATCTTCCACAGCCCTCTCTCCTAAAGCTCTCAACCGCTTTCTTAACTAAATATGGGTCTCCTTGATATTGTACAACCCGGCGTTCTCAATGGCGAGGACGTCATGAAGGTGTACAAATACGCTCAAGAACATAAGTTTGCCATCCCAGCTGTGAACGTGACGTCGTCGTCGACGGCGAACGCTGCTCTTGAGGCCGCCCGCAACATTAAGTCGCCCATTATTATCCAGACGTCAAACGGCGGTGCCGCTTTCTACGCTGGTAAAGGTATCGACAATAAAAACCAGAATGCGTCGGTGCTAGGCGCCATTGCTGCTGCATATCACGTGCGTGCCATGGCCAAACATTACGGTATCCCCGTGATCCTGCACTCAGACTACTGCGCCAAGAAACTCCTGCCGTGGTTTGACGGCATGCTGGAAGCTGATGAAAAGTATTTTGCAGAGCACGGTGTGCCATTGTGGAGCTCACACATGTTGGACTTGTCGGAAGAGCCAATGGAGGAAAATGTGGCTATCAGCAAGAAGTACTTTGAACGCATGGCTAAGATGGGTCTGATCCTTGAGGTTGAGCTGGGTCTGGCCGGCGGTGAGGAGGACGGTGTGGACAACAGCGAGGTGGACAACGCGTCACTGTACTCACAGCCAGAGGACATTCTACTGGCATACAATGAGCTGGGGTCCGTGTCGCCATACTTCACGATTGCTGCAGCGTTTGGCAACGTACACGGCGTGTACAAACCGGGCAATGTGAAGCTTCACCCCGAGATCCTGGGTGATTTCCAAAAGCATGTCGCCAAGGAAAAGTCGCTTGCGACAGACAAGCCTGTGTTTTTTGTGTTCCACGGCGGCTCGGGTTCGTCGGCTCAGGAGATCGAGACGGCAGTGGGCAATGGCGTAGTGAAGATGAACATTGACACGGACACGCAATGGGCGTACTGGGACGGTCTGCGCAAGTTTTACGAGGAGAAGAAGGACTATTTGCAAGGTCAGATCGGCAACCCGGACGGCGCAGACGTCCCAAACAAGAAGTACTACGACCCGCGTGTGTGGGTGCGCAAGTCGGAGGAGTCCATGATCATTCGTCTGCAGCAGGCGTTCCGCGATCTGAACTGCGTGAATGTGTTGTAAGCAGTGCGGTCTTTGGCAGAGTAGTGATTGTCATTCTGACGGTAGTATAAGTCGTGGCGGTTGGTCCAGTCAGCTTGACCGACCGAGTTAGTGTCAGATCAATCCAGCAGCTTTCTTTCCAAACATCTAATAGCACACAATTTTTTCATCGTGTCAAGAAATATTCAGGGCATGTTCTGGTAATGTCTTATTTAAAGCACGAGTGCACGCACACTGTCTTGTTAGTTTGAAAACTGGTTTATCGTGAACGACAGTGGTGTCTGCAGCTTGTAAAATATGAACGTGCGTTTTATATTAACATTGACTACGACAACACCAATCTTTGTTCACATGCAACATTGATTTAAAATAAAGTCATTGTATCTATTATTGATATGATCTCTGTAGCCACGTCAGAGAGCAATTAAAGCAGGAAGGGGTTGTCAAGTGTAATGAATTGATTACTCTTTTTAGCTGATACAGCATGTCACTGTTAATTTAAAGGTTAAGAAAAATTATGACAGGTACGCATGTCTCATTTTATTTTCTTTGGGTAGGTACAGATTCATTCTAATTTATTTCGCTAATCCTTCATTTCTCCTTTGAGTTATTGATCATCTTTCTCATAATCATCTTCATTAGCACCATGCCGCTCCATATGCCGTATCATTCTACAATGGAAAAGGAGATAGTCAAGGCTGCTGGTATATTGGATTCTTGTTTCCGCTCTACAGTCAGTGCTGACTCGGCAATTCCTGCTGAAATGATCCAAAATGCCGTGGGTTTGGCTTTTCTAACAGTCGTTAAAGCTGGCATGGTCTGGACTGGTAAAATGGGTACAGGCATCGTCATTGCCCGTCTTGCAGATGGCTCATGGTCACCTCCTTCAGGAATTGGTACTGCTGGAATGGGCTTTGGGGCTGAAATTGGTGGCGAAATTATTGATTTTCTTATTGTATTGGGATCTCCAAGTGCTGTCAAGACATTTAAAAAGGGTACACAGGTGTCTGTTGGAGCTGGCATTGATCTGGCTGTGGGACCCGTCGGTCGAGCAGCCGGTGCTAGTGTCAATGCTGGAGGGGGCGGAATTAGCGGAAACTACACGTATAGTCACGCCAAGGGCGCATTCGCTGGAGTAGGGCTCCATGGCTCTACATTTGTTGTCCGAGGTGCGATGAACAGCCAATTCTATGGTCGAAAGGTCACTCCCAATGAAATCCTGAGCGGACAAGTAACCCCTCTACCTGGATCTTGTGACGTCTTGTTTGATGCAATTCGTCGTGCATGCGGCCAGCAAGGACTAAATGCGGGCCGCAATCCAAACTTGCTTGGACCTAGCAATAGCTACCACGGCAGCAACGAAGCGCCTGATGCTGCGGATCATGCTGCAGCAGCTCGTGCATCATTCGCGGCTAGTAATTCCGCCTCATTCTCAAGTTCATTTAGCGAACAACGGGTATCCTCGTCGTCGTCTAGGTCATTGCCAGCGGCAAGTACCGTAAAGCCGGATCCGAACGATCCGCGTCTACAACGATGCAGTACATACAAATCGGAGCGCGAACTGTATGCGCAGTTCGAGCAGCAAAAGATTGGAGTTGTCCCTTCGGCACCGACTGAATCTACACACCATCATCCGACAAATCCGTCATTGAAGTATAAATCGTACCCCGCTCCAGCCCCCAATGCGGCATACACAGCACCTCCAAAGGCACAAGCGATGTATGATTCTTTCGTAAAACCATCGGCGCCGAAGACTCCGCAGCAGCCCGTGCCTCCACTGCCGCCATCTGCAAAGGGTGCTGAGATGAAGCAGGTGTATTCAGACGTGATAAATTTCGTACAAACTAATTGCCCTTACGCAAAGCTGCAGGTGTTCAAGGATAATTGTCGACTCTTCGGTCAAGATGCCATGTCGCTTGATGCATTCTTTAGCTACCTGCTGTCGATTTGCTCCCACACACTCATAAAGGACCTTGTGCCTCAGCTGGTGCGCCTGCTTCCTACTCAGGAGAAGCGCGAACGCCTTTGGGTACGTTGGTTGCGTATCGTGTGAGGCATTATGTATCTACAATGGCTCACTTGATTGTCATGTGCTTTTTTATTTGTTAGACCTTGTACGTGCGCGAAGTGCTTTTGATCAATATTTGAATCCTTCCACTTCACACACAAGACAGCATGAATAGATGTTGCAAAAGATGACGGTTTAGCATTGAACTTCAAGAAGGTAGGAGACTAGCACAATGTATTCGGTATAGCGATGTATTGTGTCATCGTTACTGCCCATCGTAAGAGTTTACCGTGAAAAAGTTGTGATTTTTGTAGACCTGCCGTTGGAATGAAGTGTGTGTGCAAGGACTAAGGTATTTGTCGGACTGAATCTGACAGGTGTGCAGTAAGTTGATCGCAAATTATGATAAAGATACTGTTGGCATGACCAGCAAGTAGGAAAACACCTGATGACGTGATCAGACGAGTACGGGTCTCATCGCAATAGTAGTTAGTACCATAGCGGTCAGAGGTCAAGTATAACTCCTTGCTCACAAACACCTTAAGACCTACCGATCTGACCTGGCATCTCGTCAAATTAGATGGCTATAAGGCTAACGCAACTAATAAGATAAAATCAAGATCATTGTTCATCTAACGAGATATATCTGCGTTACTCGTGTGGTGTGTAACGGGGATACACGAAGCTGTGTATTTTACATACACACCTGCCACACCTATGTGGTGTAACTGTACCTTGAGTACAAAAGTAAAAAAGGTGATGTGATCGTACCTGAAGTACGAAGGTTCACATCGTGGCAGAGAGCCTCGTGGTCACTATACTTATTTAATGTATAGTGACTATGCATATTTGCATGATAATAATAGGCTATAGAGCCAGTAATAGTGACTAGCACTAAGTATAGGATAGGTGCTTCTATATTTAGTGTTAGAAGATTAACATAAATATAATCAGGTTCAAAACCTGCTCTGTATAGCACTAGTTGCTAGAGCGTTCTATTCCGTATAGGAATTGTATCTTTGATACTAGTCTCTCCGAGACTCGGTTGTTAATACCGATAGGCACAAGCTTACGAGCTAGCCTAGGAGGGTTAAACACCTAAGACGTAGAAGCTCTCTGAGCTTGACTTCCTCTGCACATAGTGCATACGTAGCTTGGCTACAGTAGCTCGGCTACACCCCGGGATAAAACCTCTCCCTGACTCGTGATACATTTCTTACCGTCGGGAGGGCAAATATTCAGCTTCCGTTGAAGAGTTTTTAGCACACGCTGCAAGTGAGGTCCAGGCTCAACTGCTGTGGTACCGACCGATTGTAAAGTGATGGTGGCTGCACATGCTGAGGTAACGCCGGTTGCGGCACCAGTGCCATTTTCACGTTGGCAGCTGCATCAGCGTATCCACGCTGGAGCACGCCAGCATACGTATCCCTGGCAGCACACGCTTAGGTGTCGTTACGTCAAATCATAGGCTGTTACCTTCCGAACACGCTGGCCTCCAGGCTTTTCAGGCGCTCCTTCATCTCATGTGACGCCTCTATGCGATTCATTTGCTTGTTGAGGCCCAAAAGTAGGTCTAGCAGCCACTCTTGCGCTTTTCTTTTGTCTTCCTTAACCATTAACTTCTCATCTTGAGCATCATACCTGTTGCGACCGGCATATGCCCTCGGTTGCTGACGAACTTCCTGGCCAGCAGCCTCGAACTCGTTTGGGCTCATTACCTTTTCGACACAACAGGTAGATAAGGGAAAATACAAGTGGTATATTTAGCAATCCCTGCCTTTATGTCTTGGGCTTACATAACCAGCCATGATATACGTAACCTATGCAAATTCGAGAGTGGGCAATTAACGTCGGTTTCGTGACGGTCCATCCGAAACCACTATAAATTTGTTCATTCATTTGATGTCCGTCGACCAAGCTACATCTAGCCGAGCTACTGTAGCCACGCTACTTATGCACTATTTTCAGATGCACTATGTGCAGAAGATGTAGCCAAGCTAGGTAATTAACCCTCTTGACGCTGCACAGCGTCGTCAACTTGTTAACGAGGCCCAGGCGGCCGCCTTAGCTTGGTCCAAACAAACGTTTTTACGACGTAAATATGAGTTCGTGCCTCGGGACCCCAATAAGGAAGCTCAACGAGCTACATCGCAATCTTTGCAAACCTATGTCACTAGGTCCCATGCCCGTACTTCCTTCGAGGATGCGGATAGTGTTGCTTTTCTTGGCGACTCTTTACTCCCCAGGAGTTTACGATGAAATCGTATCAGGAGCGACTGTCACGTGGGGTGCCCGTGCACCCACTAAACGGCATACCAGTGGTGCTTGCACCAGGTGAAACATCTGCACAAGATGATCACCAGTTCACCCGTTGGGTAGAACGAGCATGTAAACTCTCAAGTTTGACAAACTTGCGCTTAAGCGCTAAAAAGTAGACGTCGTTCTAACCAAACTTTTTGCGCTTTTCACAAGTCTTTGACCTGTATGTGGTCAAAGACCCTCCACATACAGGTCAAAGACTTGTGAAGAGCAAGCTTTGGAAGCTGTTGTTCGTACCTCTCACACGAGTGATGTACAGACATTGGCGTCTTCTGATGGTCAGAGGCGAAGCCATCCGACTGACGCTACTTCCACAGCACCTAGTGCTAGAAAGCGTCCGACTACAGCTGTCTTCGCTTCTGACCTTCATGGTCAAAAGCGTCAACGGCGTCAGGGCAATCCTGTCGGAAGGGTACCTCATACTCCTACGAGTCATACGACTGGGGGTAACCCCTTTACTTCACCAAGTATTGGGTATGACCCTGGTGACGACGCCAAGCCAAGAAACGTTCCACGTGGAATTGTTGATGATCCCGTTCATCAATCAGCTTCGGAGGAGGTCGATGAACCATTGACCTCTTATCTCTCTGAGATTGAGCGTCGCCTGACGCCCATTGGAGTGTGATGCTATTGCATCAGTAAGGTCTCACCTGTCATCGCTCGATGACCGTGTCGATCGACACCGTCAAACCTTTAAGCGTTGTCGCTCTAAGACCTTTGGATCGCTTAGCGGCGTTTGAGCGTTCTCAAGCCGAGCTTTAATGTCAGATTGACCTCCTGGTAAACCTCTAGCGTCCATATGCATCTCCGGTGCAGTACTTCCCGCCTCTTCGGCCGAGGATATGGGGACAACATCCGAAGTCCACCGAGGCAGGGTTGAAATATGGATTTAGCAAGCTCACATAGAATACAGGGTGTGTTTGCATCTTCTTTGGAAGGTTCAGCGTATAGGCTAAACCTTTTTTGCTTCTGACCTTGAAAGGTCCAATAAAGCGTGGACGTAGTTTGGGTTGTATACCGCAGACACTGCACGTGTCGGTAAATTCCTAGCGTATAATAAAACCAAATCTCCCACTTTGAACTCATGTTTGTTTTTCCTGCCTTTGGCATCTGCATGTTACTTCTGAACATCCTGGCTTGCAGCCATAGCGTCTTTGACGCGACGTAATACGTCAAAACGCGTTTACAGAAACGCTTCCACCCTTTTGCGCATAGCAACAGGGCTGACATCAGCCAAGCCTTCGGCTATCTCTCCCCCCACTAAGCCCTGATGTGGCAGGGGGTAGCGTTAAAGGAACGCGAGGTTTGACCAAACCATTCACATAGAATGGGGTGAAGTCTGTCGAGGTATGCACCCGTTGTTCAACGCAAACTATACGAGAGGGAGCATCGTGCTCCATTGCATGGGTGTTTCAGCACAAACACTGCGAATCATATCGCCAATGACGCGATTCACGCATTCGGTCTGGCCATCAGCCTGTGAATGATTTGCCGTGGACATGTCCAGTCGAGTGCCCAGCACTTTAAAGACTGACGTCCAAAACTTACCCGTAAAACGGGGATGCCTATTCGAGACGATTGCCACAGGCAATCCGTGTTGACCAAAAATACGATCCAGAAACAGTTTAGATGTTCCTTCTCCATCAATGGAGTCCGGCACTGCCGCTAAGTGAGCCATCTTGCTCAGTCGGTCAACAAAGACCACAATTCCAGTGTTGCCTGCCGCATCACGCGGTAGGCCAAACACAAAGTCCATACTAATAGACTGCCATAACCCCGAAGGTTCAGGCAAACTTACCAAAGACGCAGCCATACTAGGCGAGTGATTCACTCTTTGAAACGTTTCACACGTGTGTACATATGTATCAGGCTATTTGTACAACTTGGGCCACCAGTGATGGGTGCTCACCGAGCTGTAGGTCTTCTCACGACCTAAATGACCACCAAGTGGTGTATCATGCGCCTCATAAAGTATATGATACTTGAGGTCCTCATAATGAGGCACGACAACACGAGGCTGGTCATCCGACCCTGTACTATAGTACAACCGACCATCGGTCAGTGCATAATGATGTCATCTTGCACGATTACGTGATGACAGCTTCACCTTACAGTTTTCAAACTCTGCGCTACCCAGCGCCTGCAGAATGGCAACACATACCTCATCGTGTGCATACGCTACACGGATACAATCCGTTACTGACAAACTCACAACAGTGAGATGAGCAAGCTCATAGTCAGGTCTACGCGATAACGCGTCAGCCAAAACATTCTGTTTCCCCGGCTTATACTTCACCTCGAAGTTATACTCCGCGAAAAAGGAGAGCCAACGAGCCATTCTCTGCGAGAGATGAGGCGACTGTGTCGCTGTGCGTAATGACGCATGATCGGTATTGACCACAAACGGTTTTGAGCCGAACAGGTGTACCCTGAACTTAACAAGGGCATACTTCATCGCATGTAGCTCCTTGTCATGTACTGGATGGTTCTTCTCTGCAGCTCAGCTGACGCAATACTCCTTCACACCGGTTCCGATAGAGGCGAGACACAAACGCGATGACGCGTTCTTGAGCCTTAGAGTCAACTTGCAAAAGTGCACTGTCAATGGCAAAGTCTGAAGCGTCACATACGACGCTAAACGGGCGATCAGGATCAGTCAGAGAAAGAATTGTCGCCTGAAGGAGACTCTCCTTATTGGCTTCAAATGCCTCGTGGTGCTCGGTGTTCCAACACCATTCCACATCCTTTTTAAGGAGATTGGTCAATGGCCTAGCCACTTCCGCATAGTTGTGGCTATACTTGTGCAAGTGATTTGCCAAACCCAACCACTTGCGGAGGTCCATCTGGTTCCTCGGAACCGGCCAATCCACTATGGCTTTGACCTTAACAGGGTCTACCCAGATTCCTCGCTTCCCAATGAAGCATACGAAAAAGGGAATCTCTTCCGCACCGAAGATGCATTTGCCAATATTGGCATACAACTTATGCATCCTCATGCAACCGAGCACAGCTCGCAGGTGTGTAAATGTGATTCTCCACATCAGTCTTGACATTTTCGGCCCGACTATGAACGAATATATCGTCAAAGTATATCTGTGCATACGCCCTATGGAGCCGAAACAACTGCGTCACTAGACGATTAAACGTTGCAGATGCGTTAGATAGCCCTTGGAGCATCACTATCCACTCTCAGAGCATACTTCTCGGAGTGCTGACCGCTGTCAGCGGGATATCACTAGCTTGCATGAGCAGTTGGTAATATCCATCGACTAAGTCGAGGGCGCTGTACATCGTACATCCCACCATATTGTTCTGAAGAACATCCAATCGGTGTTTGAGCCGGGATAGTGGCTGCATTCAGCTTATCGTAAGCATGCATTATTCGCCACTTCCCATTAGGCTTTCTCACACAAACGTGGGCGTAGAGTGAGGAGACTTGCTCTCACGCACCATGCCAGCTGCGTGCTTGGCACGAAATAACTCGTCAATGACGTCACATTGTTCTCGTGGCAGCGGCCACTGTCGCGTCACACAGTATTTGGTTCCTGGAACCAAGTCAATCTCATGAAGTACACCTCTATCCGGAGGTAACACTGTAGGAGGTTCTCTGGAGACAACATCGCCATATTCCTTTAACAAGAAGAATAAGGATCCAAAGGGTCCTTCAGGATCTGTGATCCACTGCGCGATTCAGCGCCTTCTTGATATCATTAAGAACTGCTGTATCCAAAAGCGGTGAGGTGTTCAACTCCTCCTCAGGTCGTATAACGACCACTTCGGCGATGTCGCCCGCCTGTAAGACAATGCCAAACTCAGCAAAGGACAACTCGTCTAGCTCTAACAGAGCACTTACTGCGGGTATAGCTGAAAGAGCCACCGGCTCTTCAACATCCCCAGTCAAACCATTGACGAGTGTATATAGCTATTCACTATCACCGTCACTCACAATATCATCATCGCTACTCTGATGCTCTCAGCATCCGACGCATCAGCGTACACATGTCTACACACCTCAAGGTCACAGACCACTTCGTTTACTGACCGCACCACACCCTCTTGGGTCAATGTCTCTTCATAAGGTGTTTGCACTCGCTGTTTTCAAAGACAACCGTCATTATTGACTTCACCCGACCCTCTTGGGCCAGTATCTCGTCGTTAGGTGCATGCACCTCCTCAAGTGGCGAATAGTGCAGGCTTATAATAAGCTGAATGCAGCCACTATCCCGGCTCAAACACCGATTGGATGTTCTTCAGAACAATATGGTGGGATGTACGATGTACAGTGCCCTCGACTTAGTCGATGGATATTACCAACTGCTCATGCAAGCTAGTGATATCCCGCTGACAGCGGTCAGCACTCCGAGAGGTATGCTCTGGGAGTGGATAGTGATGCTCCAAGGGCTATCTAACGCATCTGCAACGTTTAATCGTCTAGTGACGCAGTTGTTTCGGCTCCATAGGGCGTATGCACAGATATACTTTGACGATATATTCGTCCACAGCCGAGCCAAAAATGTCAAGACTGATGTGGAGAATCACATTGAACAGCTGCGAGCTTTGCTTGGCTGAATGATTGAAATGGGGTTTGAGCCCGTTACCGTCTTACACTATGAGTCAACTAGAGGAAGCACTGTTCGTATGCAAGGTAAAACTTACTTTGATTATATTTTTGTTTTGATTCGTATTAAGTACGAAGGAGCTCGGACGGTTTGCAACCTCCATCCACTCAAAGTGGGTCGATTTACCATTGGCTAATTATGGGTCTGGCACTTTAATAATGGCCCAATAGCAAATAACGTGCAGTATGCGCAATTCATTTACTTCATATGCCTACTCATGTCATTGTGTAGTAGAATCTATGACTACCTAATATATATATGCAATATACGCTATTCGGATACTGCATATACCAACTTATGTATAAAAGCTAAAACTACTTAATATAATAAGTTTTCCCATAACATCACCCCGCGCTTTAAGTTGCGCTTACCTCAACGTAAGCGCCATACGAAGAATTTTGTTCTCCACAAATAGTCGCACGAGAAGAATAACGTGTATTACAACGGTGGGTCGTCTTGGTCTTTGAATCTGCTCAGTTGTACACAGCTGAGCAGCATGAACTCATAGCACTCACGCGTCGAGATGCCAAACAACGATCAAGCATATCAGGCGGAGATCCGTAAGGCAAGAAAGCCACGAGTCATGGATGAGGACTTGAAACTGTGAGGCTTGTACAGCCTTGAAGGATCTAATGAGCCTGAACCACTTGACTCGATGAATAACATCTTTATAAAGTACCGCACCGTGCAAGGTAAAACGACAAATCATGCATACACTGACGACGCGCTGCAAAGATCTTGGTGTGCCTTCATCAGACCCTGAAACGCCAGCCAATGTGAAGAAACGTCCACACGTCCTGGATCGAGGGGCGCGAGGGCACTCGTGCTGTGCACGTTATTGGCGATTTACGCCGGCACGTATGTCGGCTCATTCATGACGAGTTCCACATGTGTTACGTCCATGTCCGTGGAGGATCTCCATCGTGCTACGTGGAGAGACCGCTTCCAGCTCAACAGGGCTGGAAAGACTTAGTGCGTGCACGAGTAATGACCCAGCACTTCCGACCATGGATCGGCCGCTATGAGGAAAGCCTCTTAAATCTCCAAGTATCGACGCTGCGTCGCAAGAGATAGGGCCCGGTCGATGATTGGAGACGTTTACGCAGTCGCGACAGATTAATGTACGACCATCTTGGTCATTCAAGTGGTCTTTCACTCAGTAGCTCTCGACTTCCATGGTATCCAAGTACTCCTGAGCCTCATGTTATACCTCGCAGTTGCTCGGAGATAGTCGTTGGTCACCAGCTCGCGAGTGTCACGACGCGCGGGGTTGCGGGGGCCGTCGACAGCTTCAGTCGCGGTCACCGTCCTCTTATTGGATTCATGCTCCTCGACAACGTCAGGAATATCGCTAGCCAATGTACTTCGCGTCCTTTCGTGAGTACCGAACCAACAACCTTATAGTGCTTCCTGATAATTTATTTTACGATATTTTATTTTATTTTTGTCTCGGTTCGACTCTTCGATGGCACCGAGTCGCTACTCGGAGTATGGCGGGAGGGACCTATATAATCGACGATACGACCACAGTTCAGCGTTGGACTCCCGATGCATCCATTAAGGGAGGAGGAGCGTCAGTACGGAAGGTCTCTTGGGGTGAGCGCGGATTCACATTCTGAGACGATGGATTCTGGCAAGCCTGAATATAAGAACAGTAAAGATATTCGCGGTTGTCTCCGCCGTAATCTGCGCGGACAATGGAGCAAAGTGCACCATTTTGTTAAATTGATCCCAAGAACCAAGATGTCTGTGCGGTTCTTCTCATCCGGTGGGAGACCAAAAATGAAATCCACTCTGACTGAACGTCAGGCATCCGTAGAAATCGGAAGCGGTCGTAATGAGTTGTGAAGATGGCGCAGGCTTCACGCGCTGGTATAGTGCAAGATCGTACCCGTTTCTGGACGTACTTGTACATGCGTGGCCAGAAAAACACTCGAGAAATGGTCTGAGCGTCTTTTCGCGACCTAGATGACCACCAGCTGGAGTGTCATGATATTCATGCGCCAATCGTGCTTGAAGGTCGCCATGAGCAGAGATGAATACGCGCGGTGGGCCAAAGACGTCCATTGTGGACGTCAGTCGTAACGCTTGATGATGTCTCGCGTTAGTTTCGTCAGCTTCGCGAGTGGTACTTCACTAAAGTGTTGAAGATTGGTGATGATTTTTGAGTAGAAGGAATCATTCGCGTACGTAAGACTCAGTGATCAACGACTGAGTTGATAGGACGGGTGTCGATATCCTTGCACTGAGCCTCAGATCGGTACAGCACAAACAAATGTCATCGTCTTCGTCATCGGCACTACCTGGCCCGATGGCCCATGTCGCGTCGGGGTCGTAATCGGGACGCCGAGAAAGCGCGTCAGCAAGGATGTTATTCTTGCCGGATTGTAAAACACAACGAAGTTATACTCTGAGAAGAAAGACAACCAACAAGCCATACGCTGAGAGAGGTGAGGGGTCTTGCCGGTGGTACGCAGTGATGCGTGATCTGTATATACTGAAATCATCTTCTTGCCGTGAACTTGATCAGCGCATAATGCATAGCTAAAAGCACTTTATCGTGTACCGGATAGTCTCGCTCGACTCACGACGCGCTTTCGGCCCTCATCGTCACATTACATAAGGGCACATCCAAAAAATCGCAAAGTTACTTGCGTCATAAACAACGTAAAATGGCTAAAGACACCAGGCAGAATTAACACTGGTGTCTCAGAAAAGCTCTTTTTACGTAGTCTAAGGCAAATTAATGTAAGTGTTTAGAACACTGGAAAGCTTTAAAGCAAGTGCCACGCACTTAATTTGGCTACCTCACCTGAAACGCCAACTTGGCAACAACGCTACTTAGCACAAAAGCTCAAAGCATTGGGCGTCTGTGGCACATGTATGTAAGAATCTGCAGCCAAAACCGATCTCAACATAGCGCCGAGCTTACTTATGTCAACGAGCCAATAATCTTGCAACTGCAGATTGAAGCCAAATAGACCCGCAAACAAAGTTTGACTAGGAGTTCTACAGTCCACCGCTCGTACAACTAACTAACTATACAAGCAAGGTGTGTGGTGTGCACCATTGACCAGCGACACGCTGTACTCGCTGACAGCGTGATAAGATGAGTAGGCCGTAAACACCAATAACTAGCATGTCTTGCAACTTGACAAACCGTGAGATTGGCAGTATTGAAGCCGGGCGTAGAAACACAGCGTTACATAGCGCAGGAAAACAGCAGCATCAAGAGTTGTATACAAAGATGCAATGCCCTCACAACCTTCACCATAGCTTTTGACAACAAGTCTGACTTTGCTGATGCCTGCAAAGGTAGTGGTTACATTGAGCGCAAGAGATTTGTACATCTTATCCGTGCCCATCGAAATGGATAGAATGCGCGTGAGCTGGACGCTAAAGGTAATGGAGAAAGTAAGCACGACGAGCTCAAGGCACTGCTGTTTTAATGCAAAACCCTGTAATGCTGTTGTCCTCAACTGCTGCTAGCATTCTCCGTTATTTATAGTCCAAATAATGCAAGCGAGCGAGACCAAGCGGAGTCTATGACAAAGCTATTTTGCTTTGGAAATGCATCTTCTTGCGTACGCGCCTCTTGGTTGGGATCGATGCCGGTTCAAAGCCGCATGCCTCGCATTGTTGACACGTCGCTGTGTTGATTAATGTACATCGTGAGCACTGCCACTCGCTAGCAGCCTCAGTCGTGTCTTCAGTTACTTCAATTGAGTCATCTGTTGCCAAGCTGGCGCCATCAGTAGTGCTTCGAGCATGTTTACCTAGACTGTCCCGCTTTTCCTGTTCACCTGTTTGCTCCTGTTTCTCCTCTCCGTCTTCACCATCATTTTCTACGATGACAGTTTCTTCTGTAGCGCTTTGAAAGTCAGACGTTGCGTCTGGTGAAGCGAACGCTGCAGCAATAGCCCGCTTGGCCTTTGCCTTTGACTTCAGAGGAGTTACTGCTTTTGCCACGTCGTCACAGCCTGCTGGTTCTCTCTCAGCCACAGCACGCGCAACACTGTTCAGGTCATCGTAGCGGTTCGCTGGTGACTGCTCTTGCACGAATGGGGAAGGTAGTATAACACGAATTTCATGTGTCACGGAGTTCACGTAGAATTCCTGCTTAAGGCTTGTGTCTAGAGCGCAAAAGTGACGCCATACACCAACCGATGCTCCATTTTCTTCCTTTTGTGGAGTGTCAGTGGACGAAGTATCTGTCAACGGCGTTGGAGGTCGTTTACCTGCTTTTCTATCGGCAATATCCTGTCGGAGTTTGTCAAAATTAGCACGCATTTGCATTGACACCCCCGATGCCGGGCTTCCTAAATTTTCGTTTCCACTTTGACTGCGTTTCAACGCGTCTGTCTTGGCCTTCTGCTGCATTCTTGCATAATGATTCCGCACCACTTCTTCTCGCAATTGAGCTGTGGTTTTTGGATTAATTGAATCTGCTTGCGCGTTTGACAGCAGAACGAACTATATAGACAAAACGCACAAAAAGTAGCAACAACTGAGCCACACCAAGCGAGGTCAGCAATAAAGGACCTGTTTGTGGCTTTCCCACCTCTTTGTGAATCTGGATAATCTCCTCTCGGTTTTTTGTAGGTACTCGGACATTGATAGAGTCTAGTAGTTTCCTCACTTCTTTGTCTCTCATAACACTATAGGACAAGAGTGGCATACGTTCTGGTTTGTCCTGCTTGATCTTTGTCACCTTTCCGCTCTCCCTATTGGGCGTAGACGTGGACGAACGTAGATCTCCAGTGCCTTGCAATCTCTTGAGTAAATCTGGCTTTGACTTTTCAAACAACAATGCCACCTGCTCTAGCGCCCGATTGGGAACCAAATCTCGAGAGGTGCAAGGCTGTTTGCACTGCGGACAGAAGGCATTTGCCCCTTTACTCTGTAAAAAACGACGTACGCACGTCGAACAGAATGTATGTGAGCAAGGAAGTAGTACGGGACCATGGAAAAAATCACCGCAGATCTGACACCGCAGATGTCTCTCGATCTCTTGCTGGGCCTTGCAATCTGCTGGCCACTCCCATTCGTCCAGCATTTCATCGCTTTTTAAATTTATCATCTGCATTGTTATGTATCCAATAAAGAAAAACCGTTTTGATGTGGTCGATAAGGATGATCAAGAAGATGGGAGATTGAAAGAAAGGAGGGAAGAAGATAGCGAAACCAGTGAAGCAAATGCAGCAGTATGGAGACTGAAGCACTTGTGACGCTAATACCGTTCATTTACATAATAAACTTGCTCATTTACCGGTTTCCACGTCAACTTTTGTGCTTTGACGACCCAAATTAGGAGAATAGAGGTCGTTTCGACGCGTAAAAATTGGGCTCCAAGTCCTTTGGATGGCATTTTGTGGAGCAAGTCACAATAGGAATGGCGAGTTTCTTGACCGTGTTTGATGCACAATTGGTCAATCAACTCAAGCAGTTACAGGAACTACAGGAGAAGAATTATACGCAGAAACTCTTTCAGCCCACGTTCTGGCACCAACAGACGGATTTTGATGTCGCACGGGAGGTTTTCGTTGCGGTAGACACTCGATGGACAATGATTAGGTGGTTTGAATAGGTATTTGGTACTAATTGCATTGAGCTCTTGACATTTCCAGGCTGCTGCATCGATTGGACACACTGTGACCAAGTTTTCATTAGTGTACAGCAAGACACCGAGTAAAGAGGAAGGTGCTAGTATCTGTGAGGCACTGGCTAACCCGTGCGAGCAGTTGCTTGCTGCCACGAACGTTGCTCTCTTTTGTGGCACTGGACCATCACTTGCGACGGAAATTATCAATGATGCAATGTACGCAGTTTACTGCTGCGTGTTGTTATTGCTGTTGTTTATGCCATTTGGAATGACGATGGACGGTTGTGTACTGATTGCGCAGTCGTTTGATCAAGAGCGTGCACGACCTTGCAAAAACGATTGCAATGGGTGACCTGACACATGTACCGCAGTTAACTGGTCGTGTGTGGGAATACTCAGCTGCTCGCGTCTCCAAGTCCAACTGCGTGGCGTCGAAACGCAGTATGCTGCAGGTACGAAAGCACGCCACGACGGTCATTTCAATATTATTATATTTGGTAATCGTGATGCCATTTGATGTGTCGACAGTGCATTACGTTGCTAAACTCGACTGTTGACGAGCTTAAGGAGATGCTTGCTGAGAAGGAGGAAGATGATAGCCATGCATCGGCATTGGACGAGGTTGAGCAGGATGAAGAATTCGGGTTTGACTCGAGCTTGACGGAAGAGGAGCGCACTCTATTTCAGAGTGGTCTCACGTTGCTTTCAATGTGTGCTGCTATCATGAAACGCGGTGTGCTGACGATTAAGAAGCTGACAATTACAAATGATCAGGATGTGTTTCTCAAGTGGACAGCCAGGCTAGACGTAAGCTACACGTTGGCACAGGACGCAATCGTGGATTTTGGTGCTGCGCTGTACCCGCCCATTGGAAGTGACGAATTGACCGAGGCTGTGAGCAAATTGGAGACATGTGGGGCGGCTATTTTAGCGTGTTTGAAGGAGATGCCCGAGCTGGCAGGTAGGGAAGAAAATGCCCTGGATGTCGGTGAGACTGCGTTTGCTAAGCAGGTCATTACTGTAAAAAGCCAAATAGAGGCCTTTCCGTAAATTACGCTTTTATTCCATGCTAATCACCACTATTCAAAAGTAACGTGTATTGAGCATAAAGATGGTCAAGGAAACTGATGAGCTTGTGACAGGCTTCTCCATCTGGGCTGTGCCAAAACAGTCCGAAGTACAGGAGCTTAAAGACGTTATCAAGACGTATGCGCAGCGGCTTGGGACGTCACCATTTCTCCCGCACATGACAATCTTGTCTGGAATAAAGGTGATCAGAGGAATAACTTGCACCTGTGTATTTGTATTCAATACTGTAGGATTGAGTCGTGTACGTTGTGATCTTGTGATCTTGTGTGTTGTTGCCTAAAAGGGGTTGTCAGCTGAGGAGATGACGGCCAAACTAGCTGATCTCGCAGACTCCATGTACACATTAGAGGTCGAGATCGAGATGGTAACGTATAAGGTAAGAAAAAAACAATGTAGGAACTGCTGTATTGTATGTGAATCGGGTACTAATGGGATATGTATATTGTGTACAGAATGATCTCTTTTTTCAATGTGTCTTTGGACTCTTGAAGCTCACACACGAGCTCACGCATGCACATGAAAATGCAAAGCAGGTGAGTCTGTCTGATCTATGGACCTGGATTTAAACTCTAGCCATGACTTGCGTCCATGATGCGATATGCTGATGCAGATCTATGCGGTAAAAAGGGACGTAGAATATATGCCCCATGTGAGGTAAAACCATGTTTGTATAGTCCAAGGACGAGCTTGTCTTGAGGCCCACAAATTGTGGCTGTCAAAACAAAGAAATTTAGCTGACAAAGCGTGCTACTTACGTGTAAAGTTTCATTTACGGCAATGTAGCAAACGGATTGCGTGCTGAATTGGTGAAAGAACTGGGCTCACATCTCGATGGAAAACGTTTGCAAGTTGGTGAACTGATTTAGCAACGTGTGCGTGAATTGAATGCACTGACCTTATTTTTGTTTCTGTCACAATCTGATGATGTGTATAGATGGAGAAAATTCAGCTCTGGTGCACGTTTGGTGAAGTAGAAACATGGGAACTTATAGCCGAGGTGCCATTGCGGTATGATTGACAAGCTGAACTTTTGCTACGGCATGGAATGTATCGAGTTTTACCGTGAAATAAAAAAAATCTGAGCTGGTCAGATGAAGCCGTGCAAATACAAACATGTTGCTCATCTCTTTCAATCTCCAAATGATTGGACGGCCTGAGTGGTTGATTCGCTATGTACAGTAAATATCGCTCATGTTATACTACTAAAGTTTAAGTGGACGATATTACCACATTGGATTGTGCATGAAACAATTACGCACGGTTAGAGCCTGGGAAATCAAAATCTGGCACAAATACGTTTAGAACTTGTAGGGTTCTTTCTTCCATCCATCCATTCCTTCACAAAACAACCTCAAGCCCACTACAAGGATGTCGAACACACAATCAAGTTTGTTACGCCTGTTTCGTAGTCTTTGTATGGTTTCCATATGTCGTTATAGCTTTCTAAACTCTAGTTGGCTCGTCTTTTTCTCTTTTACGACGGATCATTTTCGAGTCGTCACAAGAATGGAATATAAAACGTCCAAAACAGTCCACTCGTTTTCTTTTTTTGAGGTTTTTCGCTCACCTTGTTTTGGAAACCCTCCCAATCTTATTCTGAGACAATTTCCCCAGCTGGCCAAAAAAAAGCGCCTCGTCGTGTGTGCGTTGCTCTCTCACCTCAAGAAACCTTCCTTCCTTGCGTGTCCATGACATAATTCCAAGCTATTATTGAGTGATTGCGTTTGATTTTACACGTCTTCTCTTCCTTTCTTACAACCACTTTTCTTACCTGTTTCTTCTTCATCTTGGTAAGTAAGATTTTACGTCTTTTGCCTCCTTCTTTACTTGTCTATGTCTTACATTTCATCAAAAGACCAAAAAGATTGCTTCAATTCTAGAGTCTTTTGTTATTGTGTGTCTTTATTGTTGCCTGAAGTAGAAGAAGAAGAAGAAGAAGACGATTTTTTCTTCTCATTGACTCTACATTATCTTTAATCAAGCTAGTGAATCTCATCTATACTCTCTGTACTTCACTAGGCTCCTTCTTCATCGCTATTCATTCCGTCCATCAAAATCTACCAAGCTTTTGAGCCTCTTACGACACAAAGTGGACGTTATAAACAAGCTCATTTACTGTTTTGTACGCAAGTTTTGGAGTGATTTTTCAAGGCTTTTTTTCATTGTTTACGAGCCTGTACTAGAACCAAGTGTCCACGGATGCCGAGACAGAAAGACACTAAGCGGATTGACCCTACCCGGGCACGTCAGCCAGGAGAACCCGCAGCAGACACTGAACCACACGATGTTTTTAAAGTTAGTGGTAGCCCTATTATCAGTCCCAGGTCGATCCGCCATTGCCTTAAGGAGACCGAGTTTGACATTGACGACAAGCCACGAAAGCTGTCCAACGGCTCGTCGATTTCTAAGGAAAATGCTGTAGTTGCGGCTGCAGCGGCTGCTATCCAGGAAAAAGAGGCACAAGAGGCCCTGAAAGCAGAACAGGCCGCCAACGTCAGCTTACAGGAACTTTCAGGTGTCCAGCTTGTCGTGCATCAGATGCTGGCTACCCATACTCGCACGTTGGCTCAGCTTGGAGTCAAAAGAGCTAATTTCCCCAACACTAGATTGTCGCTGAAGCAGGTCGAGTCGATGCTGAGTCCAGTGGTCGCTCTGTGCAGTATGCTGCAAGCTGATCACTTTGGCATTCATGTGCCAACTCCTCAGATTGCACGCACTATGAATGATGTGCACTACTGGAAGCTTTGGGAGTCAGACTACATTGATATTGGCATTTTTTTCATGCCGCCGAAGAGTACCATTCCGCTGCACAACCACCCGGGCATGAGTGTAGTTACGAGAGTGTAAGAAGCTGCTGTTGCGTAGCGGTGAAACAAAATGTAAGAGGGAGCAATAATGCTAATGTGTTTTGTTATTGTTGACAGATTGTACGGTGCTGCTTCCGTGACGTCGTACGATCTTCTGTCTGACACGGAGCTTCAGACGTTGGAAGCAGGAAGTGAAATTGTCTATGAGGATGCTACCTTTTCTTCAGAGTGAGTCTTTTTAGTTTTCGGGGCAAGGGTTGCAGTGACTCACACTTTTGCTCGTGATTGTGCTCTCCAGTGCGATCAACCCAGAGGTTGGATCGGTTTCATGGGCGCGTGTGAGTCGGGAGGGTCAATTTGGTCAAGAAACGACAACGTGGCTGGATCCTCGTCGGTTCAATTTGCATAATATTCACGCTAGCTCGGGCATTGGCTGTGCGATGCTGGATATTATGGTGCCGCCATATGACAAGTACGTTCATAAGCAGGGTAACGCACGTCAAACGTGTATATTGACGCTGTTGCTGCGTCGTTATAATTTGTTGTAGTGCAAACCGGGATTGCCATCATTTTAAGATATTGGAGCGAAAGATGGTGCGGAACGAGCGTATTGTCAAGATGCTAGAGTCTGTGAAGTCTGACAACCATAACGATTTTCCCACGTTGGACAGCACAGCGGATACGTTGCCAACATCTTCGTAATCTGTAGCCAAGTGCACACAGATCCTGGTGTGTTTCCATGCTAGTGTTGATTACCCAGGGTGGTGGCCTGGTAGATTGTTGGCTACATGATCCGGTCCTGTTTAACAGTATAAGTGAGCAAGCCTGGTGACGGAATGATGGACGGCGTGATAAAAATGGAGTACATGTAGCCACACATCGAAAGGGAAGCGGTGTGATGGTTGTGCTCAGTCGAATGAACATTCCAAGGCGTATTGGTATTATTATTATTTGACTTAAATGGAAGACCGAACTAATAAACGTGTGAACAATGAACGAAGCTAAATGGAAGTTTGCGCTTCGAGTTTATTGCAATGAATGATCGACTTTGGCGTGATTGTAAACGAACTCTGGACTGATAAATATACATTTGGCATCGATGGTGAGTACGTAAAACTAGAGTTGCGTCATTCCGCCATCTCTTTCAGTCTGGGCGGATTCAGTGCTGCTAATGTCAGGCTCGTCAAGCACTGATGGCCGCCAACTCTCTTCTTCCTCCAGCGTAGTCTTTGCTGTGTATTTGAACGGCCGGAACTTGATGCGAAGAAGAACGTCGTCGAGACCCAACGCATTGATCACCTGTAACTGCAGTTCATTGTCCATAAACCCCAACAGCTTGCGAACGCAATAAACTGCGGACGCATCAAAAGTAGCTCCACCAAAATCACGACGGTACCATTCGCATAGACGCGGCAACACGATAGTACTCAAATCCTCCATCTCCAAGTGACCTTGCTCACAAGATCGCATTAGCAGCGAGCGCACAGCTGCATTCAGCTGTTCATGTACGTACGCGGGATCATATATCACGACTTTATCACTACCACAATGATTCAGTACTAGCGCCAAGCTAAGACGGAAATCCGGATGCGCGATTCCAAGGTTCTGTAGTCGACTCGCTGGTTCGTTTGCTACTGCCAAAACGCTATTCACACACAGATGGGGTAGATCGGCGCGAGGTAAGCGAGCACGTAGAATCACGTGTTCAATCTCTGCCAGTGACAGACTAACCTGACCTCCCTCCGGCCCACAGCTCAGTGCGTAGCATGTCCGTGTCAAAAAGTGACCCCACTGGCCTTTGCTACGCGGAAAGCCTTGAGCGATCATCGCATGTGCAAGCACCGTGTGATACAAATTCAGGTAAAAAGTGACCTGCTCTTCGTGGGAGCCAGAATCTTGAAGTAGTTTTAAGTCCACTGCTCGCAGAGCACTTGCGTCATCTAAGAACGCCAGTACTTCCGTCACTGAAAGCTGCTGCGCATTGTTCAGAATGCGCAATGCACGCGTCAGTGTACGTTTCACGAGCTTTAGCGCGCCAGAAATGGTGTCAGCAACAATCGTTTCGATGTCACTGACGTCGTCTCTCTGTGGCCCTTGAGCTTTCAACTGCGGAAACAGTAGTCGTGAGTTGAGTTCGACGCGATTGGCCGGCCGGAGTGCAGTAGTGGCAGCAAACCCGATGTACATCTCGCCTTGCATCGCATGATCGAAGTTGCTAATGGGGTCGCAGTGTTGCAAAATACCTCGCAACCAAGCATCCCGAGTAGAACTCGTACCAACACACAACACGATTTCCTCTGCAAACGTGCTGATCTGTAGCGCAAAGGCTCCATCTATGCCACTAAAACCATCAAGGTATGCTGCAATCGAAGGCACCTCAACAGCTCGAACACCAATGATGTGCGAGATCAGCACCTGCTTCTCAGCGCTCGAAGAATACGAACGGTAAAACAGCAAAGCATCCTTTGTGAGCAGCAAAACCTCCTGTCGTAATAATTGGGCTGCGTAGTATCGGTACACTACACCCTCAAAAACTACTCCCATCTCTTCGCGGTCGCGCCGGCTAAGATTCACGCCGATTCGAGATGGAGACAATTTAGTTCTGGAAGTATACGCTTCTTGCAATCTCTGCCGCTTCGTGAGACATTTGTAAAGTGCAGCCTGGGCCGCAACCTGGCGGATCTCGTCTAAAGTCATCGGGTCATCTCCCATACATTCTCCATCTAACGTATCAGTTTCGCTTGGGCTGGAGTACGACGGCAGGGCTGATGGCGGAAGTGACTCCCCAGCCAGCCTCTGGAGATGCATTACAGCCTGCTGCACTTCAGTCGAGATTGTGCTGTAGCTACCAATACGTGATCGACTATGAAAACGTAGTTTGGCCAGCTCCTTGGCTTCTTTGCCGTATTTCAAAATGTGGCGACCTTGCAGCAAGTTGCGCAGCTCATAACTGCTCACAATAGCAAGCCGATAACGGGAGACAGATTTTGGCAGATCGTCGTCTCCGTCAAGAGCTTCGTCATCGTACTCACCGACCTTGTCTTTCACAGCAAACACGTAGTGTACGCGGCGCACATCCGAAGCCACATCGACTTCCTCCATCCAGCATAAGTAAGTAAACGAAAGCTGTCCAAGACGACGAGCGTGTTCAAGTCGCAAGAAGTCTGCGTGCTCCTGAGCTAGCACCGGATCCTCTTCCGTCATGGAACTGGCATCACTTAACGTCGTACTCATTGTGCTCATCTCCGAACCCGCACCACTCAATCCAATTCCAGATATCATCGACACTCGCCCTCTGCCGCTGTTTAGTCTAGCTCCTTCTCTCAAACCTTCCTCAGCCGTCGTAGTAACCGCAAACCGATTATCAACATGACGTCTATGCTTGTCGTACTTGACTTCAAACGAAAACAAATACTCTTTGTCTTGCTGGCAGTGACTAGTCGAGGTATCAACTATCGCAGAATGTACTTCATACGCCACGAGTCGTAACGGTAGAGAGTCAAAAAAGGTCGCAAGATCCATCGCATTGAGTCCACCAGGTAAATTTGCAGTTTCCCACTTGGTCAAATCCACATACATGGTATGAAAATCAAATGTGTATGTTGATCCCACTTGATAGCTCTCTGCACCAAGTGGTGTATGTCTTCTCTTGTTGCGTTTGTCCTCACATTCTCCAAAATTATCTGTACCCAGTGCTGGTGGCGTCTCTCCCTCAGGTGTTTCCACAAATTGATCCACTGACTGAAACAGTGGAAATGAAACTGCTGGCAGTTCATCAGCATCTTGACTGTCCATAGAGCTCCCAAAGCTAAAACTCACGTGACCTACTAATCGTCGAATCAACCCCATAATAACAAGTGCTACACTGCGTGTAAAGAGACCAGGAGCAATCCTTGCTGGTAATTCTCCTCCTAGATAGACAGGACCTTGTGGTGCCTTTTTGAACCGGCCCTGTACTTGAATCCAAAACATACGACGTTTACCAGCAAACAACGTAGCATAGTACGGATCCTCCGGCTGTGTACGCACTAGAAATAGCGCATGACCAATGAAAAGTTCCGTCTCAAAGGCGACAGGTGTACGTGTGTTCATCACCACGTCATCACGTGTTACATTCACACTACCAACGTCATGGATTACAAGGTGTGTTTCTCGTTGCATTTCGTCATGTTCTCCTTCCTGGTGTTGCTGCTGCTGCTGTTGCTGCTGCGTTTCAGTGTCTTGTGGGTCTTCTTGGTCACGTTGTTCCTGGTCGTTCTCTTCAGTGGACGCATTGTCAGAAAGAGCGGATGACGTCCGCTCTTCCATTCTCTCGTGCAGCTTCAACTGTTGAGTGATACTAGGGCCATGTTCTAGGTAGACAAAGATCAATAGAGCACCCAATAGACCGTAGATGCCGAGAACGTAATGCACAGTTACAGTCAGTGAGGCTAATGCTGCCAAGTCTCGTAGCCAGTCCGCTTCGTCCACCATGGTCCGCCCCAAAACAAAAAGTGAGGACTGAGTCAGTGAGTGAGTTGGTTGCGGTTAAGGGTTTTAAAAAACTCATAAAATACCGGCTGCTGGTGGTAGTACTTAGTTTTGTGTTGGATTGCGTGGTTTGCGGTATTGAGAGTAAAACTGGTTGTCTTCTATTACTAACATTCGACGAAAAGGGTGGAACAGTCACGACAAAGAAAGAAAGGAAAACGCCCAAGATATATATCAAAAGTATCGTTTCATTCGTAACAGTAACATTATCAAGAATCACAAGGTCGCTTGGAAAAACAAAAAAAGGTTTCAAGTGAAATATGATTCATTTACTTTGATTTCGATACAAATGAAATGGGAAATCGCATTGTTATGGTATTGTAGTATTGTAGTATCGTAATCATATGATGATTTTAATGAAACGTATATACGTATCTAGATATATATGAATGTATGGGGTTGTAGATGGCTTTACAATCGGAGTCTTTCCTACTATATATACATACTACTATGACGATGGCTACTGCTCACCGTCTCGTTTTTGTTGTTTTTGGAGCTGCTCGCTCTCTTAAAATCCCGACGACAGAATGGCTACATTCTAGAATTGCCATATCATGTGGTCCACATATCGATCTACCCTGGTGTTTGATTCATTTAACTCCGATCTCCTTGTCCATTAAAATATGTCCAGAATATAAAAGCCAGCGCTCTATACTTAACGGAGCTCTTCAGTTATTTTGAATAAAGTATCGTGATACGACGTGTATGATTGACTCACAATGTCAAAATATGAAGAATCAAGTAAGATATGAATCATATAAAGAAGAGACAGACAAGACGAAACAATTACATGTAATGACTACTTTGACTCAATTCAAACTCTCGTCGCCGTCGGCGAAAAGTTCCTTACGAGATCATGTGTGCTTAAGTACTATAAATAATATCATACCAAGCAAAACGACAGAAAAGAAGGCCATGGAGGATGAAGATGGTGAAATATATCCATTGTGTCAAGATCGTATCAAGACCTGCCATTCGAAGCTCGTGGTGGTTCCAGGATCTACCAATGAATCATCACGTGTTTCGTTTAATGTGTCGAGTGATTGTTCTAGTTTCCTGGAAGAAAAGGAGGAGGACGAGGAGGAGAAGAAGAAGGAGAAGGAGAAGGAGAAGAAGAGACAAGAGATGATGAATTGGATAATGATGACGAATGCGACCATCAGGACGAATTGTGCCGTGACAGACGCACTCCATGCAGAAATTGTAGAGTATACGACGTTTATCAAAAGGACAGTGGAGAAAATGGCAATCCATATTGAAGAAATGATTGCAAATGTACGTGCAAGTGTATTGTCCATGTGGCCACAATCCCAAGTAGAAACTTTTGGGTCGTATTCGACGGGGATTTGGCTCCCAAGTAGTGACGTGGACCTTGTGATTCTTAATGTCATGGAAGTTAATGATTCAAAATTGACTGCAACATATTTGAAAGAATTGGCCAAGGTATTGGAAAAGCAACAGTGGGTAGAATCACTGCTTGTGCTTGACACGGCCAAGGTGCCAGTGCTGAAACTTGTTAGTACTGGGACCTCGGTGCCAATGGATATTACGTTCGAGTCGACTGCAACACACAGTGGACTACTTGCGCGCGACCTCATCAAGCGCTGTGCAGACACAATGCCGGAATTATATCCACTGGCAATTTTGTTCAAGCAGCTCTTGCGCGAACGTGACTTAAACGACGCGTACACAGGAGGACTGAGTTCATACTCGGTGGTACTTATGCTTATTCACTTTTCGCAGCTCTGGCGAAACGGTGACTTATGCTTTGAAGCAGCTTCTATCTATGCATCTGGATCACTGCCCCCCGTACCATCTATGCTTGCATCCAAGAAAGAGGCTTTGAAAGCAGGACGGATACAGGCAGATTCGACTTTGATGAACGGTAGTAAAGCTGGCAGCGAATGTAATGCTATTGAAGCGTCGACTAGTTCAGCTCAGCGTTCGGTAGCAACTACTGCAGGTGTTAAAGGCTCGCCAAAGAAATCTGCTTCTCTGCCGTTGCACACTTCGGCTGCAACAACTTATGCAGCTGTTGTGGCTTGTGCGAAGCAGCAGTCTTTGGATGACTCGTCTCGAGATATATCTTGTGCACCACGACTCAGTTATGCTGCAGTGGCAGCTGGAATTGCTAAAGTTTCCGAGGATAAAAAGCCTACTGGGGCACCATCTAGCTACGCAGCTGCAGTGTCCACGCCTGCAGTGTTGTCCTCATCCGCAAAAGGAAAAAGTGTTATGACAGTAAAGAAGCAGGCACAAGATGCACATCTATTAGATGCGGTTAGTGTATCCAGCAGCAATGCAGACACAGAAGACTCTATCTCGTCGTGCAGTCATTCTTCTTCAACGGACAGTGACGACGAATCGGCAAAGATGTTGTTCCGCCAGCCTCCTGCGTCACTTGGCGAGCATACAATGATGATTCTCGAGTTCTTTGGCATTATTTTCGACTATCGCAAAAACGGGATGTCTGTACGCGACGGAGGGTACATTTACAGGCTTGCCGATAGTCACCGCTTGCAAGTTGGGAAGCCAGCGTTGGTAATCGAGGATCCGATCCACCCTGACCGCAACGTAAGTGCCAGCAGTTTTGCCTTTTCCAAGGTCGTGGCATTGTTTGAGGACTCGTACTATGCCCTAAAGTATTTCCGCGCGTCGAGGTTTACCCCGTCTGCGCTGAGCTGTTTGCTTAGCACTTCTGGCCACACAAGTAACATGAACCATAGTGAGAGCAAAGTGCAGACTGTTCGATCATAGCACTGCCGGGATCCAGTGAAGTAAACAAAACAAGCATGTGCTTGCTAAGGGTTGTATTGGGTGCGGTTCAATGTCCGTTGAAACCTGCAAGGTAAAACAAGAAGGTAGTAATTTGTAGTCTAACACAAGCAGCAAAAACAAAGTAAATACAACAAGATAGTAAGTGCGTTAGCAATGTTCGTGCTGCGCATCCGCTGCAAGCCTCAATAAGTATCCGTCACGAGCAAACAGCTCACATCTGCATCAAACTGCCATATTCGATTCTATGTATGAATCCTTCCTATGCTTGCTTTTTCCACGTCTGCTGAGTTAAATTACATGAGCCCGTCCACGACGGACGACCCCAGTCGCAATCACAACGATCGATGCTCCCAATAAAGCGACCCCAATAGCCTGCTGATGCTCGCCAATGAAGTCGTTGGCACGAACAAGCCACGAGGCAACAAAAGACGAGGAGACATTGTCATTCTTGGTGCCCGACGCCGGTAAAGCATTTGTGTTCTTTCGCAAGCTCCTGGTTCCCAAACGACCAAAATCCTCGATGTCACGCTGCACAGCACTATCGGATTTGTTCTTTAACGCCAATTGTCCACAGGCGCCGTCAATGTCTGTGCCATGGTTCTCACGTATCGTAGCCTTGAGATTGTAATGTTCGCGCAAAATCGCGTGGAAGGCACGAATGTCCTCAGGAGATGGTGATTCATATTGTGCACCAACTTCAGTAGTATTGTATGGAATGAGGTTGACATGTACCGATCGATTCTGCAGTAAGTTTCCAAGCATGTGCGCAGTCTTGATCGAGTCATTGACTCCCGCCAACATGCAGTACTCCACCATCACCAGACGTCCTTCCCTGCAATCAAAAACAATTAACCAAGTACCACAAGTCAACAAACAATACAGTCCAAAAGAATAGTCTAAACCAAACGATGAATAATGCTACAAGATCAACGTACTTCATTGCAAGGTGGTCATCAATAGCTGCCATGAGTTTCTTCAGTGGATAAGCACTGGACGTGGGTACAATCTCACTACGCATTTCCTGCGTCGGAGCATGAAGCGACAGTGCTAGACGCACTAGTGGTGCATCATGTGATAATTGACGGATACGATGAATCACACCAACCGTTGATAGTGTGATATGCTTTGGAGCAAGTCCAAAAACCGTAGTCATCGCACGAATAGCTGCTAACACAGCATCGTAATTGTTCAGAGGTTCACCCATGCCCATGAACACGACATTACGAATAGGTGCAACACGATTTGCGTGTGCAAGTTGCTCTAATATTTCACCACTGCCTAGATCTGCAATAATACCGAGCGTGCCCGTGGCACAGAATGTACAGGCCATTTGACAACCCACTTGAGAACTCACACAGAGTGTATTACGGCCCGTATGTCGCATAATTACAGCTTCAATCTCATGCTGATCTTGTAACTTGATTAAAAGCTTTACTGTTCCATCTAATGAGTGTTTTTCCATTGCTATGGACGTTGTAAATGGTACAAAGTGTTGACACAACAGTGCCCCAAGTGTCTTTGGAATACCTGGAACATCACCAAATGAAGCATCTGGATTCTGTGCCATATAGCGCCATATTGTCACTGCATGAAGCTCTTTATAGTCATGTGCCTGTAGAAACGTAGGTAACGCTAGTTGATCAAAAATAGACAGAGGAGACAAGGTGCGTTTCTTGACCATGACCTCCTTGGAACCCAATCAAGTGATATTGTGTGTCACACGTAAATCAAACAGTTTCAGGATAATAGTACTTTTCAATAGTACGACGGTATTAATCAGATAGTACTACTACTTTTTAATCTGCGGGAAAAAAAACCATAAAACCAACTATATAATCGTTTAAACGTACAGCATGAACATATTAAAATGGTTTTATCAAATCATCTCAGCACCAGGACGAAGTATTTTTGTCGGACGCACTGCTGCTGATGTTGAGCCCTTGACTAGAGCGTGTTTTCGTTTCCGTATCTGTTCCGTACGACGTTTCTGCTCATTCTTGTGCATCCGTCGCTGAGCAGCACGCTGTGGATCAGACACGGTTTCAGTTTGACGCTGGAGCTTGCGTGCTGCGCGACGTGCCGCCACTTTCCTCTGCACGAATTGATACGCCTCTAAAAACCGCGTAGCTCCAAGCTTCTTCTCCAATAGCTGCAGTACTTCTTGCGCTAGCAATACGCTCTCAGGTAGCGTGACGGGCTTTGGTGCAGGACCACTTTTCTGTGTCTTGTGACGGTGTCGCAGTTGTTGCTGGTGCTGCTGGTAGAGTAAAACATGCTCTTGCTGGACCTGGAGCTCCTCGAGTTTGCTTGACGCACGATATAGCGGATTGATAAGTTGCATAATATACGTTTCAGCAAAAGCAGTGTCGTGAAGATGCAGGAGTGCAGCAAACAGCTTGAATACGACAACTTGCACCTCGTTACTGCAGCTCGAGCCACGAGAGACATACGAGAGTCGGGTCAATAGCCAACCCATAGGGGGTACATGACTTTGCACGGTCTTCATCTTTCTCCTGCTCCACACGTCGCTGTAGTTCCTCGATATCACGTTCCTTTTCGCCAGTCTGCTCCTTATCACCTTTGTTGCCACCTTCTGCATCGTCCACTTCTACCTCATCTTTCACTTCACCCGTAGGTATTGCATCCAACTCGTCATGGATAATGGCGTCAGACGCTGCAGCTATCACATCCTGTGGAATGGTGGTGGTCTCAAGTGCTTCGCACAAGAACGGCAGCGCTGTGAGCACTTCATTTGCCAGCTCGTCATTCAATGCCGGAGCTTCCAGCAGCTTGCAAAATGCACTAGCCCAAACAAACAGACGCCCAGGGCGCTGCAAGTACACTGCACCGTTATGCAAACGCTCGAGAGCATCTCCAGGCAAACGCTTTACCGGGGCCGCATACGCAAGCGTACGTGCTTGACGGCGACGCAAGTACGACGTCAGGAGCCGTGCTGCACCAAGACGCACCCATGCGTGCGGATATTGCAGCAACGGCAGCACCACGACATCCAAGAAGTTCGTCGTCGGTTTATCATCCGCCAGCCACAGTTCATAAGGACCAGCAAGATGATTGCTGAAGGCGGCGAGTGCAACACAAACATGGTACGTTGGCTGCCATCGCACCTGCGTACTGTCTTCAATAATATCAAGCTCACGTTGACGACGCTCGAGCGCCGTGCGAGCCGCAAGCAAGACCTGGGGTGCACTACGCTCAAAAAACTCGGGCCGGTTCTCCAATACAAGCGTCGTCACCTGTGCTGCCGTTCCCAGTAGCTTTACTGCATCCGTAGCATCCGAGTTTGAAGCTTGCGTCCACCATGTGCCCACTAGCAAGATGCTTTCGTTCAGTTCCTTGTTGCCCATACGACGCACCAAAGTGCTCAAAGCTGATCGAGCGAGGCCGCGGCATTCTGAGGCATCATCGTTGGCTAGTCGGAGCACAAGTGGCAAAAAGAAGAACTGGGCGCGAAGATTCACCAAGTCCTGGGGAAGCTTCAGAAGAAGAGAACGAAGAGCCTGGAGAACTGCTGAGCGCCCTGTAGCATGTCCATAGCTCAAGTTGTCAATCAAAAACTTGAGATGACGGGACAGCCGCTTGTTTCCAAGAGGGTATTCAAGCAGAAAAGTTTGGTAGATCATTGCACAGTTCAGACGCGCACTAGGGGCGTCGCTCTGAACTAGCAGCTCGCCAACACGCAGCATTACATCATACACTTCACTCATAATGAGGCGAGAGTTCACAATAGCCTTTAGCAGAGCAAAGGTGGCATTCTGATGGTCTTGTTCGTCCAGGTCAGCACGCAAGAAGCTTAAAAGCACACGTAGTTGAGGCTCCGTCAGTCGGAGATTCTCTGACTCATGGGGCACGGCACCATTCTCTTCTGCAAGCTCCAAACCTTGCTGTTGTCGGAGGAGTGCAGTAAGCGTGCGGTAGCACGTCTGAACCATCTCGTTGCGCGTAGCAGCCCCTGCCTGTTGCAGAATCTTGAACAGTCGATCAAGAAGTGGTAAGCGTGCTACTCGCAAAGCCGGTAATTCGTCTTGTCTGGGAAGCAGCGAGCCTAAGCACTTCAGCGCGTTAATAACAGCGCGGTCATTCTTCGATTCGCCAGCGCAGCGCATCAACAACGGCACCAACGGGTCGATCAGCTGGGCAGGAGCATTGACGTTCTTTTTTGTCTCACCTGCCTGGTCCTCGGCGCTGCTGCTCTTGCGAAGAAAAGACAATACCAAAAACACAGCAAAGTTCAACAGCTCTCGGATATGTGCCGTGTTTTCGGCTAGCAGGGCAACAATTTCGTCACGTTTTTGCTTCTTGGTTTTGCTTTGTTGCTGTTGGCGCATCTTGTCAAAGCCTGTAACCTGCTGCTGCATCAGAACCCGCGCGGTATCCCGCGATTTTACTCGAGCTACTAGCAGCTTGGTGGCTGCCGCACTTTTTTCTGACACAAGCCACGATGTCACGAGCGAGGAGCAGCTACCACCTGCTTCGTACTGCGCTTTTTCTCTTTCACTAGTCGGGCGCAGGCTCTCGAGACTCGAGTTGAGAACGTTGTATGCGTATAGGAACATATAAGTCGTCTCTACGGACGGATTTTTAGCAAGTCCAATCGCCACGCGTTTAAATGCCTCTTGAAGCGCAGTAGTAGCTTGAGCACCAGCATCTGTGGCCTGAAAGCGCTTCACTAGCGCACTCACAACTTCGTGAATACTCGGATTGGGAAGGAATGGTAATGATCTTGCCAGCAACTCCAGTGAGTCTAAACACCGTCCACCGCTCGAGCGCGCCTCTTTCATCTTGGACTTCTGCGCAGACTTACGTTCCGCGCCTCCAGCGGCTGCCTCCGCTGCCTCGCCGATAGTAGTCATGCCCTGAAACAGCTCTGCAGCTAGAATCTCCATCACAATCGGTACGCAACCATCTAGTGGTGAGGCAAATTCGGTCTCATGCTCAGCCTCTTGTTCCTTATTTTGTGTGAGCAACAACGACTGCGGCTTGCGAAGAATTCCAGACTGTCCATCCACCTGCATTATCTCTGGCAGCTTTTCCAATAGCGCATGCACGGTGAAGGACAGCACGTGAACCATATATCCATCGCGCAAAGTGTGGCGAAGTTCTTCTATAATTGGAAGCATAAAGCTCGCACCAAGTTCCACAGCGACTCGAACGAGCGTCGTGCGAGCCGAAACACGCACGGCCTCATCCTTACTCTTTAGCAAGTTCGCGAACTTTAGCAGCAACTTGGGCAACTCCCGCTGGAACGTTTCAGCTCGCAGACGACGCAGCACTTTTACAACTGCCAAGGCCAATGGCACACGCACTGACACTGCTTCTTGAGAGAGCGAGGTTGACTCTCCATCGTCGTTCTTTACCTTTGAGCTCTTCTTTGATGTCACAACCTTAAACAAATACGAGTATAGCATCGGAAGTACCTGCGTCTCTATGTTGCCCTGGACCTTAGAAGCACCCTTTTCGTCTATATCCTCATCGCCACAATCCACCGGTTTGCTATCGGCTTTTTCGTTTCCAATAGTCGTCGACGGTGAGGGCCACCGAGCAGCAATACCAGGTGTCTCAAAGCAAAAGTGGTCAATCACGGCGCAAATTGACATAATAATAGCACCTTCCATTTCTACGTGTCCATCGATCGACTTAAGTAGCCTACGCAACAACGAAAGGTAGTGCGACCAGCCCAGAAGCCCAGCAGCAGATCCAACACATGCTGCGGCCTCAGCACGCAAGGACTCCTGACTCTTCGAGTGAGCTTCGTAGACAAAGTGCAAAACAAGCGGCAAGACGACACCATTCACCGTAGAATTTGTGAACCACTGCGGTTCCTCGCTCGCTTTGCAATCGACTTGGCTCCTTGCCTTGGTCGCCATGGAGTCCATGAGCGTACTGAGGCGCTGAAGTGCGCGGCGTCTGCGGTGAGCCTGAATATGAGTAACATTGTAGAAAAAGTCGGCCTCAGGATCCTCCTTGTTACGCGCCAGTACCAAGTCGACTGGAACAAACGCAAAATGCTTGAACGCCTCGTGGTGGTCCGCCAGCGATCCCAGTAACGTCACGAATCCACGCCGCGCATTATCATCTTTTGAGCGCAGACTTGCTCGCACGCAAGGCATCACAAGCGACTCTAGCGCATTGAGCAAAGGAGACTTGACAACATCCGCTTTCTCTGTTTGTCCTGCTGCAACCTCTGCAGCCAATCCCAGGAAGGTCGTAAGTGCAGCAAGTGCACCGCTACGCACTGAAAAGTCAGCATCATGCATGCACTGGAGACATTGCGCCACAAGGGGGGGCTAGCATGTGCGTCTCCAGCCTATATTCGGCAAAACACGTCGAGTTCAAACGGTTAAGCGCAATGAGGCGACGCTCATAGTCTGTCACTTCAATGCGCTTGGCGTCATATGCGTTAAGCTCAGCAAGCAACTCTGCCACAAGAGCCACCTCCTTAAGCGCAGGATGTGCACCGACGGCTGTAAACACCAGCACAAGTTTCAGGCGTGGGTCACGATCAGTGATGCAGTTTGGACCCGGGGCTAGCAGCCGCGCAAGGGCCAACACATGCTTTTTAGGTTCTGAAAGCTTGGGAACCAAGCGCGCTAACACCTCAAGCAAGTTTTCTTTGTCGCTCGGCGATGTCTGATGATTGCGCAGCAAAAATGGCAGCAATAACTGGAACAAATCGTGTGCAGCACTCGCAACGTCTCCCTTAGACGCATCCAAATGGCGTGACAGACGGCAGAGGAATGCAAGTTCCTTGCGTGACGATCCTGCGTACCGGTCACTCGCGTAGCGTGCGGCCTTGGCCTGAAAACGGTACACAAACTGCTCCAGCACAAACGGGATCTGAGGCACCAGTAAAACCTTCTCGACCGTGTTAGAGGCAATCATATTGACGTCTTGGTCATGCTCAGCAATCATGCGCTCGTCTCCATCAAGCAACGAGTCCATAAATTGCAAAATTGTGTCTAGAATCTCAGGGGAAACACCACGAGTTAATGCAGACAGCGCGCTCGCTGACGTCAAGCCAGCTGACAAGCAGGAGATGACGCGAAGCATGATGGGCTCCGGAATACACTGACGCGCCCTGTCTGCGCGACCCACCGCCACAAGCAGTTCCAAAAGCGCCGAAGCCTTGTCAGCACCGACAACCGCACTGGGAAGGTGCATGATTGAGTCGTGTGACGTCTCCAGCACCGCAACTATCCACGGTTGTAGTTGTACCAGGGTGTCAAACTGTGATAACAAGAAAGGAACAAAAATTAGTGATCCAATCGATACAGATCAATGAACACAATGAAACGACGTTTCGTACCGTATCAATCAACTCTGCGAGCCGGCGGTAAGTCAACATACGGATTTGCTTTTTCATCGATGCAGATGTTGCTAGTGTATCAGCGGCCGGTAGCGTCGCATCTTGTTTGCGCTTCGAGCCGACAGCAGGTATGGCTTCCTCTTTATTATTCTCTTCGACACCAGTTAACCAATTGTCGTCTTCGGTTGAAACAACACTTATCTGAAGAATGGCCAGCAGTACGTCAGCAATACGAGGTACAAAAGCAGCCAGCTTCACACCGAGCTGATTGATAATGTCCTCTAGCAAATTCAAGAACCCCAAGATGCGCGAAGGCTGCACGTTGACAACTGCTACCACAGGCTGCACAGTCTGAGCAGTGACACAAGTTCCTGGATCGTTGCTCTCGGGAGCTTCAATTGTCACATCAAATGCCCTGACCACCAGTGCCACAAAGTTTGCTAGCTCAGTTGCCTCCAGCACTGCCAGATACGCTAGAATGGCAGCACGACGAGCGGCTACGGTGTCACCGTTGTTACGACCTCTCTTACTAACGCATTTCGAATACAGGACTCGCAGTAGCACAGGAAGCAATTCCGGGCGGTGTTCTCGGAGCACTACGCCTTCTCCGTCTCCAACCTTAAAGCTTGAGAGTTCTTCGCGGAATGAAGACGAGTCGGTCAATCGATTCAGCTGCGTTTTGTACGACACGATAGCCTTGCTCCCAAATGCATAAAGACACTGCAAGGCTAGCTTCGAAACCACCTCGTCCGATTTCATCAGCAAGCCAAAAAGATAGAGTGCAGCAACTGCTGCGCATACGCACCCTTCATGTTGTGGAATGCCGCAAAAAGCTTCAGCTGATCCACAAATCTGCCCCGCACATCCTTAGTGGTCAAGCCCCGGAACTCAACTGGCACTCGCCAATCAGGAAAGGTGGGGTCACCGGAGCTGCAGCCGTTGGCTTCTTCGAGCTTCGCAAGTGCCTGATCAATTTCTTCGAGACGTTTAGCGTCTAGCTCATCCACGTAAATAGCGCTGTATTGATCGCGCAAAAACGTGAGGAAGAGCGGCACCATAAATTTTGTCTTAGTTTCCACGAGATCAACAAATTTCATGAGCCCCTTCCAAAGTATTGAATGGTGAGTAGAAGCATCTGTAATGCTTGATACAGATACTTTACCCTGCTCCAGCATACACACACGTTCAAACTCACGCGCGACAGCGCTTTGGTTAGTCGGATCGTCATTTTGCTTTTCGCTCATATTTTCATGTCGGAGTGAAGACTCCAAAAGGTCCACACTGATGAATGGCCAAAGCTCGTTAAAGTGCAGCCGCACAATAGTCTCCACTGCGTCGGCAATGTGTGACCAGATCGTAGAAAACTTAACGTGGTATAGCCCCAACAATTGATTCAACGCAATCTTCTTGTACAGTTCAGGAGTCTGAGTTGAGCGACAAAGAATTTTTACTCGTGTCAGCAAACGCACCACCTCGCGTTCAGTGGTCACAGAGATATCCTTGCATGAAAGCTCGAGGTTCGCGCATATATCTGGAAGAGTACATGGCCCGCTTAGTGTGTCGCTATCAGCATCCAAAAAGTCCAGGCGCTTAAAGCGAGCCAGCAACTGCAGCGTCAACAAACGCAGCTCATGTGCGGGAGATCGCAGTATTGCAAGAAGAGAGCTTGTCACACGAGGCAGTAAATCAATTGTCAGAGCTGCATGTTGTTTCTCTACAGTTTCCATGTCAATCAGCATCAAGAACGTCGACAGCTTTTTATATGAGACCTTGTTTCCAAGCAGTGCCTCTACCACATCCTCCGTCATTATTGCCAAATCCTTGTCTTTGGTTTGGCGTTGGGCAATTTGCTGCAGTTGCCATAGCTCAGCACGGACAGTGGCAAGTTTTATAGCCGACGGCACGGCAGGTTCTGCCTCGAGGCGCCTATCGAGATTCGTGATAATGGGCGTCGTGAAACTTACCAGTTTAGCATCATTTAGCTGCAAACAGCCCAACGCCTTGCAAAACTTCCAGCTTACAGCCAAACCATCACTATCCTCTTCGTTGCCGTTTTGCTCAAAGAGCTTCCGCCCAGCGTCAAAAAGCGGCTTCTCTGCGTTAGTATCAACATTGTGAAATGAAAGCAACCAAAATCGACTTCCGTTTTTTGAGCGTACAATATTCACACTCTGGCCCTCACTAATTTCACCTGCATTTTCCATCAGATAATCTCCGAATCGACACAATAACTCACTGAATGCACCAACGTCAGCTTTCACCAGGGTCTTAAGTGCAAACTCCAGGGCGTTGGGGAGTAAAAACTCGATTACGAAGCTTATTTCGATGCGACTATTGTGCAGAGCCTGACCTATAAATGCCAAAAGCTTCTGACGCCAATATATCTGCTTATCATCTATCATTGCCACAGCAAATATAGCCTTCACTTCGGCGGAAATTACGTCGGCTTGAGCAGGAAACAGCCGCCAAACTACTTCCAGTATCTGCAAAAGCACATCTCGCAGTACTGTGCTCTGAGAGACTAGCACCTTACTGTCAGAAGACACCAGAGCAGCACAAACCTTGTGAACACTATGCACTCGCACCTCATACGCATCGTTCGCCTCCGTAATCAGTTTGCCCATTCGCGAAATCAAAAATCCAAGCAACACTCGTAGCACACGACTCAAGTACAAATCGTCTACTTCTGTCGGAACCTTATCTTTCTCATGCCGAAGGTTCGTCACTTTGTTCACCACTAGCACAATACACTCAAGCATTTCGCCCGAGTGGGCAGCATCGGCGTGCTTCATCATAAAGCCGCACGTCTGATACACAATCTCAAAAATTGCTTCTTGCTGTTCAAGCTGCTCCTGTGTCTCCTCCATCTCAGAATCTTTGGGTCGGAATGAATTGAGCAAGAACAATAGCACCTCGCGCATGCGTGAGTGAAATCCATGGCTAACGTTCTTCACGAGCGCAAAAAACAATTTGGCCGATCCGTCTTTCAAAACCTCATTGTTGCGACCAGAACCCTTCACCAATGCTGTCAAGTAAGCTCGCAGGTATTTTCTCATCGCTTTAGGCGACTCCAGTCGTCTCAGTAGCACTGCTAGCGTCTGCGCCGCAAAACTACGGACAAACTCTCGCGGGTGCCCAAGTAGTGGGAAGTAGCATTTGTGCACTGCGTCCATGTCAGCCAGTAGCTGTACGCGCAGGTAGCTGAACAGCATCGTGAGTGTCTTGAACACTTGAGTACTAAGCTCCGGGTCTTTCGTGTCGACCACAGCCACCACAAGCGGGAGGACGCCGGCAAAGTGCGAGTAAAACTCCTTGCCAAGCTCTCGAGCCAGCGCTGTAATCAACTTCAGCACGGGTACGAGTCTCTGTCGCTGCACGACGAGATCAGTGCTGTCGTCGCGCGCTTCCTGTAGCTCCTTCTGCAGCCGCTTCACCACCTTCTTCAGATGGTGCAGTAATTGCGGAGTAGTAGTCACTAGCGGCTGCAACGAGCGAAACAGGAACTGAAAACTGTCGAGCGTTGTGAGCTCTGCCTGCAGCGCCAGCTCCTCTTTGAACGAGAGCTGCGACGCCTCATCCACGGCGCCTGTTGTCTTTGCATGCAATATAAGTTCATTCTGCAGGTTACTCACGCGCTCCTCAACTTTCTGAAAGCGATGCCGCCGCATCTTGGCCGGTGGAAGCTCCATGGGTTAACACAATTGACTGACGACTGACTGACAGACTGACTGACTGACAGACTGACTGACTGACAGACTGACTGACTGCAGCGTTTGGTAGGAAGTTCCTGGTTCCAGCCAGTCAATCAGCCCAATTGGTTGGTTCAGGGTGAAAAAGAGATAAAGTGATGGTTTTAGGCCAATCAGATGATAGTTGTCTATCTTGACATTTGACCTTGATACTTACTAATAGTCAGCATCTTATTAGGGAACAAGCTGGCGCACAGCACGAAGAGCTTCTGTAGGTGTCAATTTGTCGAGAGGAAGAGCTGCAAATGCGGACAGGAATCCATGATCCACTGCCAATTTCTTCAAAGGAGATTGTCCATTCTCGGGTAGTAACGCATCCATTGCTGACCTTTTAACCGATGTATCAGCTCCATTTGGTTCTTGACTGCTTATGGCACGCTCAAAGCTTTCGAGCTCCTGGCTCTTTCGTCTAGCGCATTGGATTACTGAGGGAGGAAAGCCTACCATGGATGCAACGTGAATGCCAAAACTCTCCATGCATGGGCCATCACGTACCTGGTATACCATAGTGATTGCCCTATCGTTGGCCACGGCCGTGACGTGCTTGTTTGCAAAGCCGTGAGGGTGCTCTTGCTTTAGTGCTGTCAGCTCATGGAAGTGCGTTGCAAAAAGACAGATTGAGCGTGCCTTCGTAAGGAGGTACTCAGAGATGGCCCAGGCCAATCCAAAGCCATCGTATGTGGATGTGCCTCGACCCAGCTCGTCAATTATCACAAGCGAGCGTTCCGTGGCTTTGTGCAGAATGGCAGACGCCTCCAGCATTTCAAGCATAAATGTAGACGCGCCGCGCTGCTGCAGGTCACCTGCGCCAACACGAACTAGTAGCTTGTCGAATACGGGCAATCGAGCGACTTCGGCCGGTACAAAGCTACCGATTTGTGCCATCACTGCAATGGTGCCCAACTGGCGAATGTACGTACTTTTACCGCCCATGTTAGGCCCCGTTACAAGCTGAAAGCGCGATTCCTTGCGCGCAAAGTTGTAATCGTTTGGAATAAAGTCCACATCATCCTGCAGTTCCACACATGGGTGACGTGCGCTGGTGAGCACGACACAGTCACCATTCTGTTCTAGCGTAGGACGGCAATATCCCGAGCCAGCATGGCATGCAGCATGTGCAAACCCAAGCAGCACATCTAACTCAGCCAGTGTCGCAGTTGCCGCCTCAAGTACAGGTACGTAGGTACTGGCTACGTCAATTGCTGCATTCAGTAAATGAGCCTGTCGTTCCTCATATTCACCGCGTATACGACAGTAATCTGCGGCGAGCGCTTTCAGCTTAGTCGTCGTGAATTGCACTCCACTCACAAGTACCTGACAGATGTGAACATTTGGTAGCTTGGACAAACGCGCTTCTTCCTTTTTGCTTATAACACGAAAAACAAAACCGCGAACCTTATCTTTTTCGCACTTGATCTCACCACCAATGACGTCCAGTGCATTTCGGTGTTCTTCCTCAATGTCCGCAAGGATGCCATTCCACTCCTCGCGCAGAATCTGAAGATTCTCGTCATGCTTAGCATTCACCACGAGAGTTGGACGGCTATCTAGATCCACAACCTCCTCCACGAGCTCCGTATAGCCTTGCAGGTCCGTCAACATCTTTTTCAACGGAAGAGCAAATTTTTTCTTCACTATGTTTGCTAAAATGTCATCACCACCAGCACTCGTGTCTTTCAAGAGGTTCCAAACGCGCGGCATAGTACCAACGGCAGCGTCGTATACGCTTACAAGGTCTGTGATCTTTGCATGCTTTTTCTTTTCCAAACTGACCGCCAGTCGACCCAAGTCCGGTAGAGCTTTCATACACTCGTCCAGCAGCTCCATCCTCAACGACGAGTCATCCACAAACAGTTGCACGAGACTCTGTCGTGTCTCAATTTGCTTGACATCTACTAGTGGCTGCCGAATCCAGCGTTCTAACAGTCGTCGGCCCATGGGTGTCTTTCCTCGATTTAGAATCTCCAAAACACTGCCTCCAAACCTTACCGCTCCCGTCGTGGTGGCGCTCGGATCTGGCAACAAATTCAGCGACCACACAGCAGCAGAATCTAGCTGCATAGAAGATGAGAGATTCCCTTCACTCAGCGTATAGCAGCCAAAGGCATCAGTCTCTGTCATGACGCCAAGCGCTTCAAGTAAACAGGCCAAAGATCCAGCAGCTACCTTGGAAGCAAGAATGTCATGATACTCGGCCATCATACTATCTCCTAATAGTCTTCTCACACTAGTCTCAATGCCACTAACGTCACTAAATAACTGCTTTTTCATATAGACTCGAGCTACCTCGTGGGTCTGCAACATCGCGTGTAGCTTCTTGCTATCGCCGACGCTCTTTGTCCGTTCGAGTTCTGCTGATAGATAGCACGTAGAAGGTGACAATTGTACTAGCAGTGACTCTAGATTGGTCAATTCGCTTGAGTCGGAAAACGAAAAGAGCAGTAATTCCCATTGCTTAATATCTTCATCTACCTGACCCTTGATGCACGATGCACGGACGCGAGGACGTCGTACAGCCACACCCACATGCTTTAGATTCTTTTCATTGCGTATATGAAGTGCCACCTTTGCTTGTGCTTCCTTCAGTATCTCTATAGTAAAGTCATTACTCTCTTCACGGTCATCACTCATCTTGTTGTTGCAGTATGACGCGGGAAAATTCAAGAATGAAGGTCAAAACATCACGCGCGCTAAGGAACTTGCCGAATAGAATACCTCTGGTTGAGAATATACCAAACAAATTTGAGACTCTTTTGAACCGAACACACTTTGAAATTTGCCATTATGACGATAGATTGGAGAGCAGAGTATGAGAAGGTGGTGATGCTAGAGGAAGATGAAAGCACGTCCTTGTCTCTTTCGTCTGTGCAACAGACTACCAAGATACAGGATGATAAAACAATAGCGTTTTTGGATACATTGCTCAAGCAAGAAGGCGGTGAGTGGTGGATGAAGTTCTGTCATCGAGTCGAGGGTGCAACGAAAGAGAGTGATGGTCAGAAGGTCAATGCACCGAGTGAACAAGACAAGAAGAAGTTGGTGGTATTTAAGAAGCGGTTGTCTGACGTAGGAAGTAAGCTAATGGTAGATCTGCCGGAGCTAAATGTTTCTGTGAGCAGCAAGGAGATGCCGCACTTTACCAAAGTGCGAGTGCTACAGCTCCAGCTCATGTGCCGTATGTTATGCTTTGGAACGCTATCCAGTAAGAAACGAGAAGAGTTAAAGAAGTTGAAGAAGGAGATTCGAGGACTGCTGGACCGCGTGGCGCTGCTTCTGGATGCAGCCAACCCACCGTCGTTGGCAGATGAAGATGTGGACGAACGTTCGCCATTCCAGAAGTTCTTGCAGCAAAAATTGGGTCCTAGACTGCAGATGCTGATACCAAAGCTAATGCAATATTTGCTGAGGGTTTACGAACTGGAAGACGAGCATAGCAAGGTGAAGCAGGACGTACAGGGTGCTATGAACTCGATGTTGTCGACGGTAAGCACTTTTGGAATTGTTTCAATGGTCGATGTTGTTTTAATTTTGGTGTGTAGCCAGTAGTGAAGCTACCGCAACCTCATCCTGACATACCAAGTCCATCTGTTACTGGCAACACGAGCATTTTGTCTGCATTACGCCAGGAACGGCCGCCTAAACGCGCTCGCCCCGATGCACGCGAGTTGTTTAAAGAAGTTATGTTGCCTCATCAATTGCAACAGAAGCAAATGCAGTTGCATTCTCAAAAATCGAGACGGGTATCGATAAGCTACAGAAGCAACGCAAACAAAAGTAGTCGAGATGCACTGCATGGTGTTGCGTGCGTAGATTCGATCAAAGCTGTAACGACGACGAGGGCATTAACCACTAGGATGTCTGGTGGAAGTGAATTGCTGCGTCGTGCCGCTGCAAAGACATCTGCAGCATCTTCTAAACCTATGCCTGAACGGTCTCAACTTGCTGGAGGTCAAAACACGATTGCCTCATCGCCAAGCACTGCCACCCAAGTCGGACTATCAGCGCCAAGGAGAATTCAGTCAGCATCGAATGCTGGATCTGCGGCGCGCCGAACCGTTGTCACTTCATCAGTGGTCATGCGTACTCCGGATAGACCAAAGCGATTAGGTGTACGGAGCATCAGGAGGGTTTTGGTAGAAGCGTCTCCTCCACTGCGTAGACCCAGCGCACATCTTCTTCGGTCCAAGTCATCTCAATCAGGTGCAAAGCCTCCTCCTCTTTTTGGGTGATAATGTATTTTACTTTGCAATACATGCAAAATACACACGTAGAGTGATCAAAGCAATAGAGAACGATTGGTATCTGATGAAACCTGCTCTTGACCTCGCAATCATCAGTTTACTGCAGCTTCGTCACTTTGGCTATCACTATCGCTGCCATATGACACGAGTCCAAGTGCTGCTGCATTTGGCTTCTCCAATGTAGCCACAACCGACTTGCTCGGAACCTCGACCTTTGCCTTCTTCTTTAGCGGTTGCTCTATCGACTTATCCAAAGATTCGGGAGCCTTGGGGACACCATTTCGTGCCTCATCTCTAGCTTCTCGCTTGGTCTTCTTCACCACCACCACCGCCGCTGCAGTTTTCTTCTTATTCGTCAACTTCGTTTCACCTTTTGCCGGATACTTCTGCAATTGCTGTGCAGTAAGTGCCGCTTGGGCAGTAGATTTAGGTGCACCACGTGCTACCACTATAAGTTGATACACAAAAATACAATATCGGTAAGCTCAGTAATTAAACACAATACTAACGATACCAAACCAGCTATGTATGTCCGTACAGAATTGAGCTAAATCTTCCTCATGCTGCGCGTGTCGTTTTCGCTCAATGTGTTTTTTCTTGTTCTCTAAATCCTTAATATACTCAAATTCTTCATCATCTAGTCCCTTAGGTGGCGCTATACAGAAACATACAATATAATGAAAGACCAGCACGTTATTTTAGCATTGACAGGATACTTCATTCACCCATCGAGACATTGGAAAAACAACGCACCAAAAGGATTATTCTTCTCCTTCCACTCGCTATCCTTTTGATCTCTACGTTCTTGAAGTTGATCGTATAATGGTCTATATCCTACCGCGTCTTCTGCGCGTGAAACTGGAGCTTCCGTCACGCGTTTCTCCTCGACGTTGTCACCGAAAAGCTACCAAAATTGTTTAAGTATAATGGATTTTTATATGTAAAAGCAATGATAAAACCACGGTTTTACGAGTAAACAAAACAAGATGCAATGACGCACTCCGTCCGATGATGTCAGCACGGCTGTGGACACAAAACCAGGTAGGGACGCCCTTGGGAGACTGTTGCGCGTTTCCATTGTCTAGACTAGTAATCAATTATACCTCGACTGTTTTTGAAATTATGTAAATAATTATAGCAACTAAGAATTGAATTGCACTAAACTTTGTTTTAACATTGTAAAACCAACTATTTTTATTCAGCTTGGTTTTTGAAACACTCGGTGAAATTTCAACACTGACAGCTGGTTTAATTCAACTATTATAAAACCATTTCAAAAAAATACAGTTGCAAGTTGTGGGTTTGTTCAAAGTTTTGCTTTGCTTTTGCGCGGTACAAACCCTGCAAATTCTTATATTGCTTGTCCCTCATAGCATGAGCTATATGAGCGCATTACACATTGTATCTCTGCTTCGTGTCAGTTTAGAATCCCCATCTACTGTAGATGTCGGTTACTTCTTGGTCGAATCCGAATCTACACTGTCCAAAGTGTACTCGCCGTGTCCTCCGTCAGCCTCTTGGTTGTGTGACTTGTCAGCAATACGAGCAGCCTCCTTGTTATTTTGCTTCTGGATGTTTCCAAAAACCGACAGTGCCGATGCAACCATGCAAGAAGGATCATTCATATTGGACGGTAGTAGGACGGTCGTGCCCTCCTTGGCAATGTTACCAAACGCATCCACATATTTCTCCGCCACTTGGAGTGCAACAGCATCGCGGCCACCTGTCTCCTGAATAGCGCTCGAAAGCCGCTGGATAGCTGCTGCAGACGCGTTCGCCTTTGCCAAAATAGCCGCCGCCGCACCTTCTGCCTCCAATACGGCAGCACGTTTCTTGCCCTCAGCAACATTAATGTACGCCTGACGCTCACCTTCCGAGTCCAAAATCTCGGCACGTTTTCGACGCTCCGCCTCCGCTTGCATGTCCATTGCGGCCTTCACACTGCGGGGTGGAGCAATATCACGGATCTCGTATCTCAAACACTTGATCCCCCACGCCTCCGAAGCCTGGTTGATTGCTTCCACAATGCTCAAATTGAGCGACTCGCGCTCCTCAAACGTCTTGTCGAGTGTAATCTTTCCTAGCTCCGAGCGCATGGTGGTCTGTGCTAGCTGCGTAACTGCGTAGAGCGGATCTTCAACTCCATAGCTGGCGTTATACGGGTTAATAATCTTGACATAGAGCACACCATCAATGCTAATGGTCACATTATCCCGAGTAATGGCCGTTTGACCAGGAATCTTGATCGCTTCTTCTTTAAGCGAGTGTACATAAGCAATACGGTCTACCAATGGAATGAGGAAGTGCAAACCAGGTGTCAACACGTCGTGGAACTTGCCAAAACGCTCGACAACCCACGCACGCTGTTGTGGTACAATCAATATTCCCTACAATACAATAATCATAATTATATATATCCCATCCTCGTTAGATTAATATTCTTTTTCTCATCAAATATTACAATTAATTGCCATTATAATTGGAAAAAAAACAGAATATACATACAATGTTCGTCGGAGTATCCTGTAAACGAGACATCCCACTGTCATCAAAAGACTGCATCAAAACAGGACGTGATATATGAATCAAACGTATTTCCATTGGCTTTAGTACTGTGCTAGTAGCACGTATAGCCGCCAGACGAGGACGACCTCCAATGCCAAGAAACTTTACAGCAAGCATCTCGTTCAAAATAGTCTCGGTGGCTTTTTTTTCCAGTATGTTTTGTGGCTGTCACAAACATGAATCACAAAATAAACTATCACCAAAAATTAATCATACCAAATCACTAAGAAAAAAGTCCAAGAAATAGATCACATCACAAATAAAAAGGTTATTCGATTTCCACCAATCATATCTCTGAAAGCCATTTCTTTGCGCACTTGCCCGCTAGGTCGGCTGCGAGAGTTTCTTCGTCTTCATGAGTCGACGCAGTGGCGTCTCGGACGACACGACGACGGGTGAGCACGACCTTAGGGAACGTAGTGATAGTGTCAGTAGTGGTTCAGGAAGTTATGATACTGCGACGGCTCCACAATTTGTACCACTTCATTCACGGGTTGGGAAGAAATACCAGGCTACTATTCCTGAGCTACTTGCATCTCCAAGGAATGGTAGAGAGCTATTATATACGAAACAGGCACTAGAGCAGCCACGATCAAGGTTTTGTGCTGATCGAGCTCACGGTAGGGAGAGAGAGACAGAGAGGGGGTGCTGAAATGTTTTTATGTCAATATTTATGGTATGAAATGATTGGAATTGAACACAATATTATTATTGTTATTGTTTATATGGTCTAATGGACACAGGATTAGGAACGGAGTTGGACAAGTATTTGAAACTTGCATGGTCATTACGAGATGGAGCAACATTTGATACACAGGAACAGGTGACAATGTTAGCGTTACAATTGTTGCATCGCTTTGATTACAATACAAAAGACGCTGCCTGCTCGCTGTATGCAAGACACAGTATTGAGCTACCAATATCAACTCTAGGGGGTAGTCAGACCAAGTTAACAACAGCTGAAGAAGCCAAGATGTGGCTCTTGGCGTTCTATCGCTGCATGAGACAACCAAAAATTGATACAAAAGTGCTCGAGTACATGTGTGAATTGCATGAAAAAGCAAAATCCAATGCTGATGTTGTACCAGCTACTGAAGCTGGGGTATTGGCACGACTTGTGACGCGTGTTTTGAACTGGAAGAAAATGTGCAAAGCTGTGAAGAAAGAAAAAAGTAGATCGTGCGCGGCTGCTACAGCTACTGCACGAAGCAGAGGATATGCAGATTGTGTTGCCCGAAAAAGAAGCTGTCGTATCTAGATTACAAGCGTTTGATACCGCACTCACGCAGTTGAAAGAAGCGTTACAACATACTAGTAGTAGCAAACGGCATCAGAGCAAAAAAGTGGAGCTGAAAGAGCTGGATGAACTTTTTAAAGCGGTGATGGCACCACAGCTGTTTTATCCGGAAGAAGACAGCTTTCGTGAAACGGTAGACGAGGCTAAGGAACTTAAGGCTATGATTGACAACATGCTGGAGGAGGGCAAAGTAAGCCTTCCGGTTGTGCGTGACGTGTTGGCAAAGATTGAGTTGATACCAGTGAATTTCGAACAGGAAGTGGAGCAATTTCAGACTAAAATGCTTAGTGCACAGACGTGGCTAGCCAGGGCACGCAAATGTATGCCGAATCGTCGAGCAACTCGTCGTGCTGGTGGTGCAGACACAAAGAAAATGGATCTGGAAGCAATCCGTGCGCTTGTAGACGATGCACCTTGTGAGCATAGCACCGAAATGTTTGAAATCCAAGACTTACTTGTGTGTGCAGATGAGTGGGCCGCTAAAGTACAGGAGGCACTAAATGGTGGCGCTGACGTGACTCTCAGTCGCTTGAAAGAGATCTTGGATGAGGCTAAAGACATTCCTGTGGTTATGGACGAGCAGAAGTATTTGGAGGCTGAAATTGCTGCACGAGAATGGTGTACGACTGCCGCACTGAAGTTAGCTTCTCGCAAGTCTATAGAGGAAATAGAGGATTTGATTGTGCAGGCAAATACCATACGAGAACGCATATATCCTAAAAAACAGTTGCGTTGGAAGCCACAGATAGAACGCGATATTCATGCCACCATGAATCAAGCGCGCAAATGGATTAACGAACTCCGCGATAACCTCGGCATTACGGCTTTTGACAAGTTGTATGCCTCGTTGTCGTCATACGTACCATCTCCACATTCATCGAGATCATCAGTGCATTCGTCGGTGTCATATACTGATAGAGCAAAGAAGAAGTCAATGGATGCAATTAGCAAACTCATTGAAAAGTCGCAGTCTCTTGCGGTTGACGTGTCCTCATACACCACGCCACTGAACGACTTGCTCCTGAAGGGTGTTGAAGCGCAGGCTGAGGCGAGCGCTATTTTGATGAGCATTGGGTGCTTATCTGGAACCAACGGTTCTGACACATTAGATGGTACGACCAAGATGGAAATGAACTCGATGCCTCGAGAGCTGGGAGATTTGGCGCAGGCGTCGTCTCTACTGGAGCGGGTTGACGCCTTTCCATTTACCTTTGAGGAGGGACTAAGTCTCGCGAGCATCGTCGAAGGCGAGAAGAGTTGGGCGGCGCGCGTTCGTGACTGTATTCCTCCACGGCAATCAAGGAAAAAGCGTTTATCTAAAAACGCATTTTCGACAGAACAACTGCATGAGTTGCTGAATGAATCCAAGAAGTTGCGATTTCTTTTTCGCGACGAGCTACGTATACTATCTAAGGAGCTCAGTGAGCTGACCATGTGGCGAGCGAAAGCGCACGAAGTTATCAATGGCGCAGTAAGTGCATCTATTGGAAAGGTGGTTGATCGTCTTCGAACGTTTGATCTACTTGTGTATGGGAAGCTGCAAAAAGCAAAAAAGAAGCTTCGTATTGGCGATACTGCTGCTACCGACGCAGATCAAGATACTAACGCGAGTGTTGACATGGTGGTACCATCAGCGCAGCCCCATGACTCACCGCAAGCTATTACAGAGGAAGCGAAGACCAACGAATGCGCGATGCAGATTGATGCGGAAGGCCTAAGCGATAGCCAGCCGCCAGCTGAAGACATTAAACAGGAGAATGTAAAGCCAGAGGTTGCTAATGGTGAGAAGAGGAGCGTTGTAAAACAGGATGCTAAAACAGCAACAGTTTCTGGCACAAAGTCTATCAGCGCGACTGGTATCGCTGACATAAATACGCAAGTGCTAGAGATACATGCTGATTCAATTATGACGCAGGTTAGAATTGAAAGTGGTTGCATGCAAAAGTCGGTTACCACAGATGAAAAAGACGACACTAGTGCTAGCGATTTGAACACTGTGTGGATGTCGAAAAGTGGGTGTGATCTCTTAGAACTAGTCTTGAAAATGGCTGAAGAGAGTTTTGAAGCGGTTAATAGTTTGGAGTTGAAAGAAGCGGAAGCACGGCAAACAGTCGAGGAACTCGTCCTAGCTGGCGAAAAAGGCGATATTGCGGAGAATATTACGGATCAATCGGTGCGAGCACTAGATAAATGGAAGCAACACTTATTACATGCACAAATAGAAAGTGATCTCCTTAGTGTGGAAGCTTCAGAGCAGCAGGCGCTCAGCCTGATCATATCGTTGCTAGAGTGGTTGCAAGGGTCTAGGTCACTTTTCTACGATGAAACACTTCCTCTGCAAGACCTCGTGGCTACAGGTCACAAGATTGCTGAGAAACTCGAGGAGTTTAAAGCAATTGGTGTTATAACGCCAAAGACGTTGGAGACTCTGGAGCAAATGCTTTGGCCACTGCCATACTTGAAAGCCCATGAGAAGGTGGTGCTAGAGTGGACCGAGCGCGTGCAAAGATGTGTGGCGAACAAGCATGCTCATGTACGCGAACTACAGGCACTGCTTGATAGTGGAAGTGGACTATTACTAGAGCAGGGCACTTTCAAGGTCGTGATGGACGAAGTTAAGAAAGCTAGAATTTGGTTATCGAAGCTCAAGAAACGTGTACGGGCTTTGATAACGAAAGGAGTTGGACGAATGAGCATGGCTGCGGCGCGTTCTCTTGTAGAGGAAGGCGAAGATATTGCAATTGACATTCCTGTGTTTGATTTTCTCAAAGAGCATCTGGAGATTGCGAGTGACTGGGAGAACCGTGTGTTGGGGTCTGGAATCGAAACAGGCCAGGCCCGGGTTGGCAATTTGCTTGCATTGCTGAACGAATATGAGTGCGCTCGACTTGTAATTGACCTCGATATGCACCGAAATGTTCTTCAAACCGCGACAGAGCGCTACTGCATATGTCGCCAGCCTTTTGATGGATTAATGATCGGGTGCGACTACTGTGATGACTGGTTCCATGATAATTGTATTGGCATGTCCAAGGAAAAAGCTGAGAAAGTGGAGCACTACACTTGTCCGTCGTGCATGATTTTGGAGGAGCTTGCAGCAATGTTGCAGCAAGCAAAGGTTGTTGGACAGCGAAGTAATTTGTGGGACATGCACGAGTATGCCAAGGCCTTTGAAAAAGACCATGCTAGTGCGTTACGAAAAGTTAAGCGTGAGGAGAAAACCGTCGAGCGTACTGAGATGCTGTTGTTTAGCTGCAACAATCAGATAAATCAGCTTCGGGCACGGTTCGATGACATTGAGCGCGCAAAGGCCTGCTTGGCAATCAATCCTGTTACAAATAATGCTGTTGAAGCACCAAATTCATCACATCAGCCATCGCAGCTCAAGCTTTCTTCTGCGGCGCCGTCGTTAGCAGCTGCCGTACCAAGCGCATCTTGTGCTGTGGCGAGTGTTACTGCTGCAAAAACCGCTACAAGCGTGTTGGCTCCGCCAGTCGTAGTTGATGCAAACGCACTTTTACTGGCAACGGCGGCTTCTTCCGCTCCTACTACTTCTGCTAGCTGCAACCGTACTGCTACATCAAGTACTGCCGTGGCGCCAACTCTTGCACCTGTCCTAAACCGCCAGCACTATCCTAGTATTCTGATTCCGACCATGCGCGCCGTCAACAACGCATTGAAGAGCGCGCCTAAGCTAAGCGCGGTTGCTAAATCGGCTGCGACAATGGATGCAGATGCTTCGACCAGCGCATCTAGCGTAAATGGGAAAAAAGATCTGAAGGAGCTGCCAAACGGTTCTATGAAAAGTGCTACCTCTATAGCGTCTGCAGTGACAATGGCAGCTAGTGTTGCCGTTTCATCTCATCAGCTGGCAACAGTTACTGTGACTACGGCCACTGCCGCGCCTACTTCAACCTTATCTATCCAGCAGACTTCAACCCCGGCATTGCTGAATCCAATCACAGCTACGTTAGTGGGGAACACGGAACGCTTAGCAGCGCTTGTAGTTGCGGGTGGCGTGGAGCATCAACTGGCGAAGATAAAGTGTGAGCATGTTGAGGCAAGCAAGCAAGCTTTAGAGCTTCAGAGCTCGCTGCATCTAAGTCGCGAGCGATTGTTGAACGCTCAGAAAGCACTTCGCGAGCTCTCGGATGTATTCCATGCTCGTCACCGTATGCTGCCATATGCACAAACGTGGATTCAGCAAGCTGTGTCGTTACTCAATACGACATCTTTGCTGTCACGTACCAACATTGATTGCAAGGAATTTCTCCCGCAAGAGTTTGCAACCGCACTCGATGCAATGATGAGCTCTCCACCTGATACCGATACGAGTTTTGGATTAGAAAGAGTATCGATAAGCATCGATAAATTGTTCCCAGCTGTGGACATATTTGCAAAGTTGTTACGCACAGTGTCATGGAGCCAAGTAGTGGTATCTTTGCTGCAGGAAAGACCATCAAGAAGCGAGATTAGTAATGCCATCTCGTATGCCACTGAGTTTAGAATTTGGGAGGACAAAAAAGTTCTGACTCCGCTGCGCAGCTTGATCGGTCGTGTGGACGCGTGGGTATCGCGGGTGCACAAATGTATGACAAGATCTGGGACTAAGACGCAGCAGTTGTCACGACTGAAGGTGTTGATGAATGAATACTCGAAGCTCCCGCTGACGTATGCGAAGACAGCAGAACCCTTGGATGTCTATATAAAGGTGTTGACAGGTGTTGGTATCAACAGCATGGTAAAAAGTGAGGATGAACCATTCACTCTTGAAGCAGCAGAGACTGCCGCCGCAAAGGCTTTAGATAAAGCGATGCTTGGCCTTTCTTCGTCTGTAGCCGTATCTGGTGCAGGTGCTATGGGCACGACGAAGAAGCAAGAGCCACGGAAACGGAAGGCGTACACAAAAAAAGAAAAAGCCCCACCGCGCTCTTTGAAAAAGATGAAGAGACCACAGGATGGATTGAACATGGTACCATCAGCGACGAATTCTGTTGCTTTAGTCACGACATCAAACGCGGAGTTGACAGCTCCAACTGGTGTTGGTACTTCACAGAACGCTTCAACATGATGCGTAGTTTCCGTATGTGGATGATCGTTTCTAGAAGCAAGATCATAGACGAGTGTGTGTTTGAGTAACAAGAAGGACTGATGGCGCTGCGAAGACACGAGACAAGCTGGAAAAAGTACAACAAATGCCACCATCTTGTGAACAATGCTTCGGCTGGACAGATTGCGGGCTTTCGAGAACTTTGCAATCTATGTCGCCGTGTTTTGCTAACACACGGTGTTACGTCCGGTCTTAATTTGTCGGTAGGTATGTGAAGACGAGCTGATCAAGGATTTGTTAGCTGTGCTCATGTCTTTATTGCTGGCAGAGCGTCGGACGAATGAGGTGAACAGCAGTTGAAGATATGGAGAAGACAAACATGCTTGATGATGAAAACCAGTCATGATTCAGTTAAAGAATGAGACTTGGATGGAGAGAGAGCGGCGTAACTGAAGAGCAGTGCGAGGTACAACTAAAGAAGATAAAGAAGTCGTGTGAGTGGTGGTGGGGTGGAAATGAAACGAAAGAAAAAATTGTGAGACGATCACACTACGATGCTGATGGTGACGATGGAGATGCATGAAAATGGCAGCAATGAGCTGTACAGCGTGTAAGAAGAGAGCGTATGGTTGACCTGTCCTTTTCATTAGGGCATATCGGCTGTGTCGTGGTATTAATAAAACGGGATAAAGGAACGATCGTGGATATGAGTCCAACACTGAGGGTCGCAAGATGAGATGCTTACGCTATTTTTTTCCCATTATGCTTTGGCCACGTAGCCTGTGTGTTGTTCTTACTGCTTTCAGTGGTTCGGAATGTGCAAAGACTCGATGGGTATTTAGGTTCTCTAGTTTGGCGAATTCTGGCCGAATAACGGTCGTTTTGCTGACGAATGTTTACACCGTATCGGTAAACAAGCTGCCTTTTCTAAGGCCCTCGACAAGTCCGTGATTAGTCATTACATGCACACCCAACGGTTGCTTTAATGTGTGCTATTTCCTTGGCCATGTGTTACGAATATGGTTATGCCTCAGGAGCTCGGAACTGATGACGCCGTGATCCTGTACGCAAGTCAGATGGAAACACCCATGATCAGCGTAGTCGTCGACAACAGCCCAAGCGTAGGGTTCAAGGCCGCAATGTGCGCAAAGCACATTGTTCATATCGAGAGGCTTATAATTTTGCTGTGGCAGCTCATCGACGTCAAATTTGTGAATTTGCGGCAGCCGACGGAGAGGCAAAGCTACAGTAATATTCAGTCAGCAGAGACGGGTGGTCAGTCATGGATATCTATCGCTACTAGCACGTCGGTCATTCGAGAAAAGTTGCCCATGATCATACATTGTCGCGAATGCAATTTCAAGCTCGTAAGCGCTGTCGCCACGAAGAAAAGGTCACTTTGGGGCTACTGGTGTACCAGCGACACGCCTGTGGAACTTGACAACTCCTGCATAAATGGCAAGCATTGTGGATCTGCTACAAAGTTGAGACCTAGCAGGAATTCTGACGATCGCAGCAGATTGACGTTGGCGCAAGCATTGTAGCGTATCAACTTTACGATTCAGCAGCTGCTACAGTAGCTCTCGACAGCCTGTATAGACGTAAAGTAGCACCACGCGATACCGCTTCGACGTTCATTGCAGGCATGTGGGAGGCATCTGTGTCGTTTGTATTCACTCTTGGCAATGGTTCATTAGCGCTTACGTGACAGGCAGTTGATTTTCGAGGACAACACCACTTGGAAAAGCGTGAAGAGTGCACGAGTTCTCGCGAATGTCGTCCGCTGCATGGGATATATTGTATATGCGCAGCAGCAAGAATCAACTGCTGTGTATTTCGTCAGCATGGAAGAGCGATTTGTAGCGTTTGTCTACAACTCAAGTCGTACGTTGCTATGCATGTGTTGGAACCTTTCAATAATGTAACATGAGTCTTCAGGTCATACTAAAGTAGCAAGGTGCCGCCAGGTTCGAGTAACCATGTCATTTCTCACGCTGAACGCTATCTACAAATGATCCTGTAAACTTGTAGAACAAGTGGCCCGAAACTACATACATATATGTCCCAGTTATATGGTGTCGTTATGGACTCCAGTACTGCTGAAACACCGTATCGAGACGAAGACTACACCCCCATTCTTTGCGCAATCACAGCTTCCACTTCAAAATGCTTTATCAATTCAAGCCATTTTCATTTCTAAACCAACGTTGCTCCCAAGAAACCACACCTTACGACTGGAAACATTACAAGCAAAGACTACGAACCGCTGAACCGCGAAGATGAAGACATCGGACCGGACGTGAAGCTGTATTGTCGAGGATACTGGACCGTATGTGATTCCTGTGATGCGTAGTATTCGGCAAAACAATTGTCACACACGCGCACAGGCTCATCGTCAAAACCGATACCGAAAACAGACGCGCGTCGACTCGAGTGTTCATGACAAAACGAGTTACCACACATACGACAGTGATGACGTCGTACAAATAGATTGAACGGCTCTTCACACTCGTAGCAATTAGTAGAGCGAGCCCACTTTACAATGCGAGGCATGCTTCGATTACCCATATGCACGGATGGAGGACGTGAAGGCCAATGGCAAGACGACGACATTACTGACGAGGTCGGCGTTGGAGGGAGCCCAAGTGAACTTCCACCACTACGTCGACTGTTGGCGTACGATGATCCGCCAGCCGACAGTTGCGATTCGGACAATGGAAGCGACGGCAGGCTCGGTGGGGCCTCACCCATCGGCAAGTTAGAAAACGATGTCGTCGAAGCGGCAGACGATGAACGCGTTGGTCGTGTACTGGACGAAAAGGACATGGCATTGGATATCCGTGACGTCTGAAGGACTTGCTCTTTTTCAGCAATAGACTGTCGGAGCATGTTCATCTGGTTTTGGATGCTGAAGATGAGCGAGTCTACGTCCGGACCCGCATCGCTGCCGTAAAATGATTCCGCAGACGGGAAACCCTCACGGCCGCCAATCGATCCTCGACTGTATGAAAAAGAATCTCGTGCCGCATCCTCGTAATTCTTCCGAGCCACAAGCTGCTCGAGGAACTTGCATTTTGCGTCCAGCTCCTCGATCTTACGAGACAACATGGAAACGTGGTCGACCTGTTTCCCGGGTACCACACTACGCGCACGGCGCGGCGGTAAAAGTGACACCTCGTCATCAACCTCTTCATCTTCATCTTCGGATAGTAATCCACCAACTGAAGATCGACGACGACCCAGACGTGAATCCAATGCTCGATTCAAGTGCTCATGAGGTGCACTCCGCGGCGGGCGAGCGTTGATCGACGATCGCAGCCGTTGATCCTCCGCAGGATAATCGTCGCGTCTGCTTTGCTGCTCCAAAAGCATCTGCTGCAAGCGCAATATCTCTTGCTCCAGCAGCGAGTTCCGATCGCTGAGATGGTTGCTACTTGCATGATTGCGGCGTCTGCTGTTTGAACGACCGTGGACGGGAGTCGAAATACGAATCCGCGGCTCCATGCGTTCATCACTACCTTCCTGTTCCAAACTTGAATGAGTCACTACGTCGTCAAATAAAGTAACTACTCCACATTTTGCTGGGCTCGCCGCTAAGCCGTCGCTAGGCAATGGCTCAGCCTCTACTTCGCTTGCTGCCTGTGAGGCAAGACACGCACGGCGGAATTTGCCGAACGCCATCATCAATCGGAAATGTCGAAGCTTTGCCGCCACACAACTGTTTTGCTCAAGCCACGTTCTGCAATGACTCTGGATGACACACGCAGCAGCGTGTTCACGCTTCATCCTTAACAACTTCTCACGCTTGTGTTCGGCAATCCAACGTCGGCATTGGGCTTGAATGCAAGTCGCAGCAGCAATCCGAAGCTTCTGCCTATGAAGAAAAGCCAATTTCCGCTGAGCTAGCCAGCGTCGGCAGTGCATTTGAATACAAAGGGCACTAGCAAGCTGACGTTTGTCTTTCAAGATTCGTGCAAGGGCCCGCTGAGCCAAAAAACGCCGCAACTGTCTCTGAATAAGGATAACCGCAGCAACCTGTTGCTTATGCTTAAGCATCTCGGCAACCTTGCGCTTCGCCATACAACCCTTCCAGCATGACTGAATACAAGTGGCAGCATTTTCTCGACGCAATTCACGCAATCTACCCACGCGCTTCCTTGCGAGAAATCCTCGAACGATCGCCTGCAAATGCACCGCAAAGCTGCGCAGTTCCTGAAACAATACACGGCATCGATGTCTGCGGTAATGCTTCTGCAACATTGTCGCACTCTGATTCTGTAACTCCAAGCGGTATCGAGAAAACCGATTGTAGATGCTAGCCTTGCAAAATACTAGCGTCGTGCCGACTTGAACGTCCTTGCAGCTAACATTGTTATCAAATGCCATCTCGCTACGTTTCTCAGTGACAAAAAGTTGGACGCCAGAGGGCTTCTCTTTGCGTTCCACGCTATCTTCGACGACAACCTTATTCATCAATACAGTCGCAAGGGCTCGCGCCAAGTCTTTTGTGTTCATCTTTGTCGATCGATCACGCTTATTCAAAAAGCGCTTGAATCCTGAAAAAAGTTCGACAAAGCTCGCATGCGCAAGACGCACAGAGTACCCATGGCGCGCAATGCGAACTGCTTCTAGCACACCAACGGAGCGCATTTGTTCAACCATCCTCTCACGATCAAAAATTCCGGGCTTCTTAAGTTCGTTGGGCTTCAAGCAGCGGATGTAGTGCGCCTCCGTGCGACCGATCTCGACTATGAGGCTGTCCAGTTGACTCTTGAACTGCGCAGACACACTAGGTGCACGCAGCATAGAATAACGCCGCCGGCCTACCACTCTGTTGTCCACACGTGGCGAATCCACGTTGTCATCAGCCCCAATTGCTACAACCACTTCGTTGCTAGAGGTAGACAATATACTGCTCGCATCAGCAGGAAGCGCATCAGTATTCTTTTCTAAAAACTGTTCAACATTATAACACACTCGCCCAGCAAAGTGATGTACCACAAACTGATACTTCACACGTTCCATCTTGGACGCTGAAAAAGTATGCTTCTTTGTATCCTGATGGACACGTTCCTCTTGGAACTTAGGTTTGTACAAATACCTGCTGAACGACGATATGGGTAGCCGCAGGGTGCTCTGAGCAAGTTGCGGCTGCTGAAAAACACCTGCTACATCCGAGGATCTGTTCCCACCATGATACCGGTAGAACTTAGTGCTCAAAGCCTGATTCGATCCCTTAGGCATTCGACATTCTTGATCCAACAGTGAGAACAAGCCACTACTCTTGTCATCAAACAGAGCCAAGCACGCTGCGTTGCTAGGGTATGTGATATTCTTCCAGTCAATTTCCTCCGCGATGTACACTTGCTGCTCGCGGACAAAAACAAACTCATTGAACTGCGCCTGTAATCGTTCATTGGCATAGTTAATGCAAAGCTGCTCAAATCCATTGCAGTTCAAACTTTCAAACCCAAAGATATCAAGAATACCAATGGTTGCCAAGTCCTCGTTCTCGTCCGAGACCAAACCGGTCGAGTCAAAATAGTTCATCTCATCACTCAGACGGCGAACGAGCCACGAGAAAAGTCGACCATAGACAGCCTTAGCTAAGGATCGACATATTTCTTTTGCCTGCTCCGGATTAAGCTTTAACACCATGACTTCACCCCCTGCCATAATCTCTCGACTACTCAACAGCGTCTCTAGCTCATTGACACTCACACCCAAGAGTTCAGCACACTTTTCCAAATGAAAACGCGATTCAAACGTTACCGCCGTCGACGTCTCTTCCTCTTCATCCAGTGCTGTAAAATTGACATTACCAAGATGTAATAATGCAGCTAAAATCTTAAAAATTGCCCCTCGTTCTTGTTCTTGAACTCCAATATCTTCAAATGCTCGTATTGTTTCCACATAAAGTTGTGCATATTTATTTTCCGTCACAGTCTTTCGTCGTCTAGACTGATGTGATCCATAGGAATTCAATAATTCATACTTTCCTCCTTGCTTCAGTCCTAATCTTTCCAATAATTCACTCTCACCTCCTTCCAAGAGTTCATAGAAAATATGAAAATTACTTTCTTCTGGACTTTGATGTACGACTCGAACCTTCTCAAGTAAATAACTCACAATTTCAGCTCCAATGATTTCATTCTTGTGTCCAAATTGAAGTTGAATAAATTTCCCAAAACGACTCGAATTATCATTTCGAATCGTTTGAGCATTCCCAAACGATTCGAGAATCGGATTTGTCTGTAAAATACGACGACCAATTTCCACAGCTCCAGTACTACTACCAGTAGTAGTAGTAGGACTAGTTCTACTAGTAGCAATACCCACAGTCTCTTCTCGTCCAACATTAGTTAGAAATTGCATGAGAAATTTCGTACTTTCAGTCTTTCCACTGCCACTTTCCCCACTGACCAAGATACTCTGATTACGTCGTCTAGGTGTAAATAGACCACGAAAAGCTTTTCCACCAATAGCAAATACATGAGGAGGTAATTCTTTTTCTCGATGACATGAAGAGGAGGAGGACAATGAGGATAATGACGTCATCATCATTGCCTGCTTATATGCATTCACTATTGTATCGGAATAGAGCAGTGGTAACGGTTTTAAAGGGTTTAATGCAACCAAAATATCTCCAATGGACGTATAGATTTTATCCTGGAGAAAACGTTCATCAAGTGCTTGTAGTAAAGCTGCCTCATGTAAATATTCCAGACTTGTGAGACTTGATAGAGTGCCAAAATTTACGGATTGATTACGTAAACATACCTCATGGGGTGCTGTATCCGGATAATAATAATAACCTAATACAATTGCAATCATTCATTCAGAGAATGATGGTAATAATTCGATAAGGAATGATGGTCGACGGTTAGAGACAGCTCAAACAACAAATAGGAACAAAATGTTTAAAGCGAAAGGGGTGATGATGATCTATCCCCCCCTTTTTTTTCTCTTACTTACGCGTTACAATTTCACCAGTGTCTAAACGACGTATTTTCACCACACCATTCACGTCGTCATAGTTAAGCACTTTTCCTGCAGCCCATACAGCCGCATCCTTTGTCTTGACCCACACATTCGTGCCGACGTCCATTGTTTATAAAACCTTTTGAAAAGCCAAATGTGATTTTCTTTTCTCTTCTCTCTCTCTCTCTCTCTCTTTTTTTCCACCTGTGGGTTGTAAGCGCAGTTGCTGTGGTCTCTTGGAAAATGAGATTTTTTCATCATACTTTAGACACATACTTTGCGTGTTTTATGCAGTCAATAGAAAACAAAACATCCAGGCGAAGTATAATAAAACACAGATATAAGCCAGCTTTTGAGAGTGGGTAGAACCAGGCGTCGTGTTCGAATTAAACACACACACACACACAAAAAAGAGAATATTTGTGACATGTGTCTTCTTCTTCTATGAATCTACCAGCAAAAAGATATACAGTCTTGCATGTTTATGCAATGGAAGATACAGGCACTTGAAAAAAAAAATAGAGTCATTGACTTCAACGCAGCTTTGAATAAATTACGTCGTGCACATGTCGAAACGGTTTTATATATTTTCATTCTGAGATGAAATATATGATACACTCGACTGTGACATTTTAGGGACAACATGATATCTGTAGAAACAGATTCCACGAGGACAAAATGTATGGAACATCATGTTAGGTGACGTCAATATGTGTCGTGTGTAAACGCGTGGTCCAACATGAACGTTCAAACAATACGAATCATGGATCTTCCAGGAGAAAACAATTGTGGATGAGAAACGATAGACGACCGTTACTACTTGTAGTCTCTAGAGCCAGCAAAATGGTCGTAACATTGACACAGAGCTAGAGCAAAGGACGAGATTCCCTGGGCATTGTTTTGCTAACTGTTTTTCTTCCCACAAAGTGCCACAGTAATGATCCAACAACTGACTAGGTTGATGGACAAACGTCTTGTCGAGTGAGTATTACTATTATTATTATTGTTCCTGCCTCGGCTCTTGATGCGACCTTTACGTTTGACAAGATGCTTGAGAAAAGACCACGTGGGAGATTTGGTTAGGACAATTAGAGGATTGGGAAATGATCTAAACGCATAACCTTGTAGAACGCTAGATAACAAATAGTATTGAGGATTTTGTTGATAATTATGGAATTGCAATCTTCTGTCTCTTTATGCGTTTATATCTCCATAAGATTATTAGATCATTCCAATTATAGATATGGTAATCCCATTAGCTTGAAAGCGGCTGGCGGCAACAATCCTTGTCGAGACCCTATAATAATTAATACTTTGGATAAAATCTCGTCCGTCTGCTAAAAGGATCGCTTCAAAAAAATCACTATTGTCTTGTTTCACGCCATGATCGATTTTGTCATTTTGTAGTCCTAGATACTCGTTTTAAATCCTTTACCTTGTTTTGTAAAACCTCGTAATTGCATCAACTGATATTGATATACATATTTTGCAACAATTGGTACAGGTACAAAACCGATGACATACCGGTATCGTATCGACGACCAAATTAATGTATGTATAGTATTATGCTGGCAATGGTAATGACAAAACCATCATGTATGACAAGATTGCCCATCATATCAAAAGCACTAGCTACTAATACACCCCCGATTTCATGCAATTGAAGCAGCTGAATCCGCAGCATCAATGGTGAAAAAACACGTGACACGAATTTGTTCATGTACCAGGATCATCGTCGTGTTGGAAGACGTCATTGGACACTTAGTCATCGTTGTCATTCATCGTAGAGCTATCTTCGGAAAGTTGAGACTCGAGCACACTGACTGTCAATTGCGTCCGAAGCTGCTGTAGTTGTGGCCCTGGTGTTAGAAAAGATCGGCGTTGTCGTTGACGATGTGCAAAGCTCCTGTGGTTCGTGCGCTGGGAGAGCTGTGCGTTGCCGTCAAGTCCTGCTGCACGACGAACGGTAAGGGGAGTGAGGCCACTCGTTATTGGAGCATCGTTCGGTGGTGAAGTCGCAAATTCAGGAAATGAATCAAGCCCACGAGACAGCGATTCCTCGAATGCAACAATGATCATGGACCCTGCTAAAGTATCTTCGGGGGCATATGCAAGGGCCTGCGGCATTTGCAAATGTCAGAACCTTACAACATGCTTAAAGCGACAAACTGTGTCATTACCATGTGGTATGTTTCGATGGCTTGGTCTAGACATCCCTTCATATGATACGTGAAGCCTAATGCAGCTAAAATTGACGCCTGGAGTAAATGATGCAAGTCAGTCGGAAGCCCTACATTTTCCATCAATGTTCAGGTCTACATTCAACGTACATTTCGAGGTGACAGTCGAAGTGCACTTTGAAAATAGTAAATTGCTTGGTCAAACTTCCTGTTACATTCAAATGCACCTAGGTCAGGAATCACAATAGAGACATCCATCTGATGCCGCACATACCGGAGTTTGCGATATGAATATCCGAGGTTGAACAGCGTCGGCTCCCACGCCTCCATCAGTCGCTAAAGTAGCACATACGGAACGTGAGAACCAAACTTCCTCATTTTCCAATACAACGTACTTTTACCTCAGGAAGACCTTTGCATAGGTCTAAAGCCTTCGTAAACATCTCAATTGCATTGAGATAGTCTTCCTGCCTGTAAAATACGCTGCCCAGCTCATTGTAGACCAATGGGTCTGTAGGGCAAATTATGCTTGCCTGTCGAATAAACTCTTGCGCTTGGACCAAATTGTTGGTGCGAAGATACTCCATACCCATGTACAAAGATGGCAGGTGTGAACCTGGAAAGAGACTGGAGGCCGTCCGGTATGATGACATAGCCTGATCACTTTCATCCTGGGCCGCAAAAGAGTTCCCAAACCCAATCCATGCAGGTGCATAGCTTGGCTCTAGTGACGTTGCTTTGCTACAAATACGAATTACAACAAATCATTGTGAGATCTGAGCATCTTGACATACATATTGACACAACCTAGCATGCTCTTCCTCACTGAAAATATCGCTGTGCGGCCTCGTATTTCTGAATTAAGAGATAGTAACAGCCTACAGTGTACCAAGCCGGTGCTTTTGTAGGATACACATCCACCTACAGTGTACGAAGGTGTCAAATGAGCCTCAGACGATCATAGGAGTAAGTAAAATACATATTAAACGTAAACTGCCTACCATTTGATGAGCATAGTGGTAAAGCTCACGCTTTTTTCCGAGCTCCACTAATGTGCCGACGTATACCGAAATAACGCGGAAATTGAATGGGTCTTGCTCCCGAACACTGATGCAATCATATATACAAACCGTCAGTATTTTACTAGATAAATGGAAAACAGGATCTCAACAGATAACGCCGTTACCTTTCGCAAATATCATGTGCCTGCTGAATGTCATGCCGATAATAAAACGTTTCGGCTTTCATGACGTTCTGTGCTCGCATTATTAACAGACGTTAGAGCAATTCTTCTATCACTAATGTAACGTTCACGCACCAGATCTAAGTTGTCCACCAAACCAAATCGTTGCTCCACTTCAGTAAACTTCTCGTCAACGGACGGTGCCGAGTTATACTGTCGACAGAATGAACCACAGAAGTGATTAGTCCAGATAAGCAATGTCCAGGATAAGCCATGCATATATTACCTTTCCAACCTGTGTCTGGTACAATAGCTCTAATAATTGCATCTCGTCGGATGAAAAGTCCAGCGACGCCACAAGCTCCTTCTCTTCTTGTGGCGACAGCATCTGCTTATCAAATAAATAAAAGAATGCCTCCGAGTTTTGTACATCGCAGCGCAGCGCAATACGAAAGTAGACCATTGCGTTTTCGCGGTTGCCAATAGCCTCAAATGTCTCGCCCATCAAGAGTACCAGCGATGACACCACATTAATTCCATGCACAGTTTGATCTGCAGCATTCAGCAACTGCACTTTCTTGGCAAATAACACCACATCATGCTCTCGTTCAGGCAATATCGTCCCCAACAGCTCTAAACACTCTTCCTTCTGTTTGATCGCCAACTACAAAACGACAGAGCACTCAATCAGTGTCTTAGCTCCAGTATCTCAATAACCACTCTTTTTTTTACAACCAACACTTTACCATGCATTTTCCAATCAAGTAAGCTGCTCGTAGTGTTTCATAACGTAGCACTGTTCCTTCCACCCGTTTCACGCTATTCATGTCCACTAACTTGGTCTTTTTTCGAATTGCATGAATCGCACGATGATACTCTCGATTTAAATAACAAGCATTTGCAAACATCAGTACATCTTTGTCATTGGTAGGACACATTGTCACGAGTTTGTCTGCATAGAAAAGGGCAGCCATGACATGATGTTGTTCACTGCATTTTGTAACAAGTTGACGTAATCTCTCCACTGTCTTTTGTTGATTAGTATCGGCACTATTGTCCTGTACCACAAGTTCACTTGAGGTCTCCAGCGTCTTCGAACAATTCATCACGGGCGATTCATGGACGTTTGTCTTGTGATTGTCCTCGATTTGTCCATCAGATAACGTCGAATGTCTCAGGATGTCTTCAAGAGGCTGTACAGTCCACTTTCGAGTACTTTCTTGTCCCATGTCTTGCTCTTGAACCTCTTTCTTGTCGTTTATCTCCTCACTATGTGATGGTCTTCTTGTAGTAATAAAGGCTCCAGCTTGAGCCACTCTTCGTCGTCGTTTCTTCGCACGTACACTGAATGTAGTGGAGTCAAAGGCAAGAGTACGTGTTGTACACTCTGGTGTCTGTATAGGCGACGGTTGACGCCACGAATTGCTACGAATAGTAGCAGTAGTAGTAGTCGTAGTAGACGGCAGTCTGCTTGGTGTTGGAGGTGGTGATGCCATTATTATTATTGTTATTTTAAATCAAGAATTGCAATATTACATGAAAGAAAAGATGATATTTGGAAAATGGTACAAACTTGAACTTGTGGCAGGAAAATTGCAGTATAATGTGAAAAGTGACATTTGTTATTAGAATTTAGCTTTGATTTTGTGAATGTTATGATATATTATGCTTTTTGTAAATAGAACTTAGTATAGTTCTGACCTATAACAGATACGATAGGAAATACAACATACAAACAATCCTCTATAGTTTGTTTCATCATGAAGTTATTATATATTACAGGTTTATGACGATTTTGCCATGACGTGATCTGATAATAAATATGAGCCGGGCGACAAGAAATGAGATATAGAAGGCGAATACAGCAAAATGACGAATATGTATATACCCATCGTAGATCTTTACACCTTGTGACCAATTTATATATGTGTAGTAGTCTTACAATTACTACTTCCATCTCTCTCAAATCAAACCCACATTCAACAAAACTGCCACAGAAGGATTTGGTTACTACAAACATATACGTGACTTTTCGAAGGCCGATGAGAAGGGTACGAGGTCAAGAGTAAAGCGGCTTGTCAACACGTGGACATGATAGACTCGTTGCAGGTGCTGTACAATGACGCCAAACGCACTCCTGCAGCGATTTTTGACTACCATCCGATACTCAAGAAAATTGTGTAGTGATGCCTTCAAAACCAACCTTGTAACGGAAGTAGCTCGAGCTATTGAGACAAGAACAACAAACATAATGGATATCGTGTTTCTATGAGCTGGATGAAGTTGAAATAATGGTGACGATTATTTGAGACAGAAAAGCACACTTCAAGACGATTTTGCAGCGTTCTACGAGGCCGAGCATGAAACGACCATCTTGACTTCAAAAGCGGCAGGCAAACGACGGTATTTTTTGTCTCGTGCTACCCAGTCCATCTCGGATCGAGAGAATGCAACAAGACCAGTTTCTTTGTCTGCATAAACACAAATCAAGATGTTAGCACTAGTATATACGCACAAAACGTCATGCTCTACCTGACCTGGTTTGAGAAAATATGTGTTGAACCAAAGTTTAAAGTGCTTCGTCTGCATGCATCCATTCATACGATCGCGATAAAAATCGATCATCACGCAGCCACGGACCACCTGATGCAATTGAAACTCGTTAAAGCCAACATCTTGATGCAGCAGCGTCTTAGGAGACCCATCGGGAGTCAATGTGAAGATACGCAGCCGTAACTTGGGCAGCTTCTTTGCTGTCAGAGTGTTATGTAATACCAACTTGCGGATAGAGAAGGCTGGTTCCACGAGAGATGTTTGTGGGACTGAAGCTTCTACAAGCAGAGCAGAATAGTAGTTAACCCACTTCTTCTGGCTTACGACCGTAAGACCGCGACGATCACACACACGCTCACGGTTATAACGATCAATCGCGTCGGACGCCGTGGCGGCGTAGCCCATTCGCAAGAGGAACATACACGCCATCATTCCTGCTCTTCCCTTTCCAGCCTGATGGAGACAATACATGTCAAGCATCTTTCTTTCCAGTGCCCCATACATGAAAAAAACAAAGAAATGACGACAATACCTTGCAATGAAGCACGACTACGTGACGGTCACTAGCATCAAGCCAAGCTGCTGCTTCTTCACAGAATAGTATCCTATCACAATATCAAGCAAACAACCAGCCAACCACTTAGCTTTTTTTTGTATTGTTGCCAGGTTTTTTTCTGATCTTCATGATAAAATATTCAATACATCATTTGAAACGTCGGGACATTGTGATCTTCAATTGGAAAATGCTTTATTCGTCCCTCAAAAGTACTTGGTGAATAGCTACATTATCACACACAACAAATACATTCACATTTTAAGTAGACGAAAAGGACACAATCATGCTCAAGAGGTTTGTGCTTCTTTTTTTTCGTTCACCTTCGCTTTGGTTCGTCACAAAAGTTGAAGACAAAATAATTGTCACCATGACGCTCTTCTAAGAGTGACCGGACTTGAGATCGCGGGTTTCGAAATAGCCCTTCAACACCAATGGCAGGGTATCCTATACCACGTCACAGTTTTTTTCATCAGTTTGTTTTTCGTGCAGTATGATCATTTATCAATCTCTTTTATCTATACAGACCCATGACAATGACACGTGGATGTACGTAGCTCAGATCCAAGTTAAAACCATTTTCCTGGAAGCGACGTTTATTTTGGGATACGAGAACTCGTGGTACGTCAAATACACGATGGCACGCATGAGGTGCCATGATGATGCAAATTTCGAAATGGGAAAAGTAACGGCTGTTGTATGGGAAATTGTATGCGAAATATATCCTCTATTTTTTAGCATCATTCCAGTCACACGGACTGTTTTAGATGTCCCACTGCAGTATGTCTCGTAAAGGTACTTTGAAGCGACATAGAACCCTTTCAACAAACAAAAAATGTTGAGCTTGAGTTCAATCAAGACTCAAGTGGTTTCGCAACATTGTTGTATGGTCTGTTTTGTGACAACATGAATCATTTATGGGCTGTAAGGATGAAGATTAGAGAAATAAACAAACAGTAGAAACCCAGTGATGGTTGTTTTGATAAAGTATATTTATTTAAAAGTCTTGATATACGTTGGATACTTCTGGTAGTTAGTTATCTAAGAATCAAAGGTCTTGCCATGTAAACTAGAGTATTGTAGTCGCTCGAACAGCCAGCAATTGTGTCAATGCACGATAGTAACGTCGCTTTGAATGTATACTCAAAAGGTTCAAGCTCCTTGCAGTATTGTGCAATGGAGCACGTCTGAACAAAGCAAAACAATGTTGGATCGATTCAACAACATCAAGTGGAAGGTTTAAGTGCGATTGAAGGTTGTGTGACAGTACGTTTTTGAGAGCTTTGAAGTCAAGCTACGTCGTGTATAAACATTTGCAAGAGCACTTCGAAGAAGTAACTAACTGAACGGAATCCGAACGAACCTTCGCAGAAAGTGAAGCAGGAACTGAATGGCTCAAAAGGTGGGGACTAATCTACATGCGGTACAAGATGTTGTCTATCTTTTGCAACATCCATATGATGTCGTTTCTTAAACGAGGAGACATGGCTTTGGTATACTTTGTCCAACGGGATACGTGTGACGTGATTCTTTAACCCAGTCGCAAGGCGAGCAAGACTGCTGAGGTAAAATAGCATGTGAGTGATATTCCTATGAAAACGCAAGTGCAGGTTGAACCAAGAATTGCTGAGGTGTAAGGAATGAGCCTTCGACAGCAAGAAAGCTGGTTGCTTTGCATTGTTTTTCAGTAAAATTGGTCGGACGGGTTCCTTCAGTGTTGTTGGCGGGTACTTCATTTGAAGAATTGTTGCGATGTATATTCAGGTCCCGCCTGAACCGTACTGAGCTTTCTGTTATCAAGTGGCACAATTATTCACGTGAAGGTGAGTCCATGCTGATCAAACACATTCATCACAAAACAGCAGCAGCACCTTGAAGACTGTTAACTGGATCGAGAAGATCCTGTGACAAAGTTACTGCAGCAAGTTACATTACAATGACAAAGCGAGTCTAGTGCAAGCACTTTGTGCCGTTTGACAAGCACGACACCTTTGCTCCTATCGTGACTTGACATCTTCCATTTGAATCAATCGTATACAATTAACTGTGAATTGTTGTCAGGGTTGTTGATCTTGTCTCTAGTCCGATCTGAAGATTTTAATGCATGAGAAGAGTACGCAAGTAAATCGATTGTGATATCTTATATGAGCTGCGACGACAACGTGAACGTGTTAAGAGCTACATCAATGGACAGTGAAAAACTTATGTGGATCATTTTCAGGACATCTATCAACAATATATGAGAGCGCACGATGTGGCTGTAAACTATAAATGACGGACCGTCAACGCCATAGTCAAACATCTGCGCATGTGATGGACAAAACACTGAGTAAAGCTCCTGCTTATACTCCAAATCTCGAATGGACTTGTTGTGGGTTTATTACAACACGGCATTGCTTGGTCGATCTCTTCTTCTAACATTCTCTTTTACTGTTAGATGAAAAGCTTAGAAGTTGCAATGGTTTAGGTGGCTATCCCCGTTATGGATCAAATTGTATTCCGTACTGCAGCTAGCATAACATCGCGCCTGGAGATTGTACAGCAGCAACCCAATATCAGTGCGACTGGAGAAAACGGCGTACGTCAACAACACACGTGCTCCCAGTGGCAATCAGTTGCAAGACTCATTGCTACACACATATGCAAATGTTTTTTTTTCCATTGGAGACGGTCAATTCAATGAAGTCAACATGTAAGACATGTCTTGGAATGTTTGGCTCTTCGTCAGCAGCATCACATCTACTTGACAAAGACGTGAGCGATGTTGATACGTTATAGTTACGTCTATACTTGTTGCACTACTACTTAGACAATAGTTTCCAGCATTGATTCACAGGGTCAAGTTTGAGTTGATCTTCGACTGAAAAGAACGAATCTTGAGATTCAAAAGACCTTTCGCAAAAGGTTGGGCTCAAGCCAACCTACTTGCACAAGTATATCCAGGTATTGCACGGTCGTCGTCAGATATGCTCAAGAAGGACAACGTGTGGCACCGTGATATCATTACGAAGATGCAATGTCATGAACAAACCAAGCTTATATAGCTAGCATCAGCCTTAGCAGTGCTCAACGAGTCGGAAGGTTCGGTATCTCGGTGTCACTTTACCTATGTTATCGGCTGTGCGCTGTAGCAATGATGACGAATGACCGATAGTCGAGAGATACAAACGGTTGATTACGTTTCAGTGTATACAGCTTCCATTGTCCAAAACGATTCTCAAAGCAGCGGAGTTTCAAACCACTTCCTTTCAACACCATAGAAGCACAAACTATCTATTACCATTACATAGCAATACACATACTTCATTCTTTAGCAACGTATTCGAGACTATTGGTTTTCACCTACCACGAAACAAGAACGTATTCAACAAATACGTCAAAATCTTCTTCTCCTTGGATGCGAAAATGCATTACTCCAGTCGTTACCGCTTCCTAGACACCCGCAGCTTGGCTGCTGTCTTGGAATAAATAGTGCTCATGAGACTAGAAAGATGAGAAGGTCTCTCCATCAAAAACTGTTCATAATCGTCCTCCGAGTAGAATAAATCTGCTCGATCATAAGCTTCTTGGGGCAATACTCGCACCTGTGGTTCTTCCTGAAACGACACCCTCTTTTTACGTGTCTCGAGAATTGAACCTGTATTTGTTCCAGTAGCTACAATAGTTTGTCTCTGATGTTTTAGTGTCTCCTTTTCTGTTGCAGGAATAGATAAGTCACTGCTAATACTCTGATAATAAAGTGCTGTCACCCAACGGACAATTTCCTTGCGTTTGTGAATACGTAGAGCAACAACTCGACCTGAATCTTTTACACGAACGTAGAGACATTCATGATCAAATCCAAAGACACTTTCATTTGGAGCAGCTGCTTGCATCTGTAATTGAAGTGTATCCAACGGTGAGGTCTTACGTTTATAGTCCGTACGACGCCAATAAAGTAGTAATAAATCACCACGTAATACACCATAAAGCCAACGTGAAAAAACTTTGGTCTTTGCACTTGCACGACCTTTCGGTTTTCCTACTGAACAGGATGAAGAAGGTAATAATGAACGTTTCTGTTGTTTTTCACCGTCTTCTTCTACACGTATAAATCCTGCCATAAGAGATATAGTAGAAGAAGAAGAAGAAGAAGAAGAGGAGGAGGGAGAGGAAGTAGTAGAAGAAGAAGTAGCAGGAGTAGAGAATGCCTTTTGCTTGAATCTCATTCGTAGTGTGATCTAAGGGATTAGGGACCGGAGGTTTTTTCGTACTAATACCGGTATTTTGAAATACACCTTGAGCTTTTCTTGACGGATTTTAGAGTGAGGGAAGTTCAAGATGTTGTTATTGTTGCTGTTTGAAGGTCGAGAGATTAATTAATCGATTGGTTGTTTTATTGAAAAAAAAGACCTTACCACAAGGTGACTTTTATTTTTAGCTTGCTATTTGTATGGCGGGCATGTAAAAGATACTTCACAAATGTCAAAAAGTAGTGTCTCATTTTTGCTTTCAAAGGTACAGTTTAATTTGATTGTGTTTATAATGAAGTACCTTATTGAAGTAAAATAGAACAGCACGTTGGCAGCCAAACAATGCTTATAAAATTCAAGTATCTTCGATTGCGCAATTGCAACGTCTAGTTATTCGCACTAGATTGTATAGAAGGATATATCTGTATGATCCATACAGATAAGATCGTCCGTGATGGGGTAGAGTAACGCTCAGTCAACTGTAGGATAATTGACTTTTACGCTTATTATGATTGTATAGTAAGCACTACGTTGGACTTTCCCATTGCATTATTGTGTTGAACCTTTTCGATTATAAAGGTAGATTCAGGACCTTTTGATCAAAAAGAAGAGGTGTAATATGTCAATGAATGTAAGTTGCTTTTGTTTATGTTGCTGTGCACGAATATAACCTACATTTATTGCCTTTACCTCACTATAATGACCGTAGCCGAATATCAATTTGAATTGTTTCCAGATGGAAAGAATAAATAACATCTGGAAATATTCCAAAAAAAAACCAGTTGTTAACAAAGAGAAGGCAACGAAAATCACATACGTTGCTTATCCACAACATAATCATCAAAGCAACATAACCGCAACTTTCATTATCCCAGTCCATTCGTCATTTCGATCCAATAATAATGGAACAGCGTAAATGGCACATACAACTACATGAAAGTCGTGAGAGTACTTTACCTTCAAAACTTGAGCCTATTGGATACATGAAAGGTTTTGTATTCGATAAGGTATTTGTATGTTTGTATTGTAATATTCCATATAAACGTATTATTTCTATCATGCTAAATGTAGTTTTTTGTATTGTAGAATTCCAATGGAACAGTCGCAAAGGCTGCTACGAATACAATTGACTTAAAGAAAAAGGTATACAAATAGTGGTATTAATCAATAAGTATTGGAAGAGTGATGGTCGTATTTCTAAAACCCCGTTCGAAAATAGAAATTGACATTAAAAAACCGTAACGTTTCTAATTTGTGTGTGTCTTGATATGATTGTAGCGTGCGATGGAAATTGGGATGGCTCCTTTTAAGAGTCTACTTCAAACGGGTTTTATGATGTGGATGAGTGGCAACTCGATCAATATCTTTAGTATCATGATTACAGCCATGATTGTCATGAATACAGTGAAATTAATCATTAATATGAACAATGGTATGGACCCTCGAGCTGCTTTTGAGTTACCTCATATCATGGACGAACGAGTGGTTTTCTACTCATCTTTTGAGCTAATACGCTTGTTCTTCTTGTGATGTTTTTGTAGCTTTTACATCAGTAAATGACGGTGTCATTGATCTAACGCAGCCCAAGGCTGTCTACATGGCTGGTAGTTTGGTCGGTGCTGCCATGGGTGTGTACAAGTGTTCGAACATGGGGTTATTGCCCACGACAAGTGCCGACTGGACGTGGTTGATGCCTATTAAACAAGCGGTGGAAACATCTTCGTTTGCCTACAGTCTCAACCAATAATGACAAGGAAGCAGGACTGATTCCAGCGATCGTGTGAATGTAAGTTAGCATGATTTTTTTAGCTTATCAATTAGTACACGTATCAGCAGTAGAATGGAGGAAGAGGAGGCCCGTCGACACACACAAAATCGTCAAAACTCGACGGGCTTTTATGCTACCGTTTTCCATCAAAATACTATACCAACGCTAGCTGTGACTTATAATCCTCCCTGTGCGACCACACGTCCTTCAACTAGGTATTGATAAGACTCACTTCGTGTTATTCTGTCTCTTGTGAGAAGAGAGGCTTGAGTTTACGACACATTGCGACCGCTTGTCTGTGGTGGACAGCGATACTCCTCGGGAAGTAGTGATCGCTGCAACGCGTTGAAAGCAAATACACGTCGACCTGTGTTCTTCAAGGCATTCTCAATACGCACACCCTCCGATCGCATGACTGACACAATCCCTGCTTTCTTGTGCTCACGGAGCCCGTGGTGTTGTACAAGAATGCGGCCCTGCTCCAGCGTGACTGACATTCCTGTTCGATCCTTTGCAGATTTACATACCGTTACGCGACCACCGGATATGCGGCGGCACAAATCTGAGCTCAGCTGCAAAATCTCGGGACGTTTCTTTCGTGCCTGTCTTCCGGCCGTACCGATCAGCTTATCTAGCTCGCCAAGGATGCGATATACTTCTTCACGGGACGGACCGGACGGCGTAGCACTTGTACTTGGCGCTGGCACTGGTTGCGAGAGTGATGAAGCAGTCAAATGATCTCGCTGTCGCTCCTCTTTTTGAACTGCTTGCATCTGACGCATGGATGTGTAATTGCAGTAGCGATCACAATAGCTACGAAGTGTCCTGAGACTGTTGGCGTTGATCACATCCTGCAGTCTTGTCACTGAGGACCCTGTGTTGTTCGCCAATGTTTGCTTTTCGTTGATACCCTGTGTAAACAAGACGGGGCATACCCTGATAGACCCGCCGTGGCGAAGCGCTTTTGTCAGCTTGACTTTTCCCGTGCGCAATTTGACGCGAATGACCAGATGAGTGAACGGAAACAACTTGTCCACAGATGCTGGAGCAAGCGAGTGTACGTTATCCCCCCAATCACCACCAGGTCCACCGAGTAATCGATGGTTGCGGGCCTTAATGAACGTACTCAATAACCGCTGACCAACACAGCTAAACGATGCTGGCTGGGACGGCATTGCATCTTCTCTTGACGATGGCCTTCTGCCACTACTCTCAGAATCTCTTGCGTTGCAAGAGCTTGTCTCCGAGAGTGCAGCATCGATGCTTGTGAACACATCCACGTCGATCACGCCACCAATACCGGTCGAGTTACTGGAATTTGTCACGTCGGATGATGATGCAGACTCTAGGTGCATGGAGTGGCGCTGCTTCACCTGCAGATTTAGTAGACGATTTTCGTCACACGAGCTACTGCTTGCTTCTGAGGGATCAGATAACGACATGTTGCGCTTGCTTTCCTCCTCGAGATGGTACGATACTAGTCGCAGCGACTTGTCACCGCTGACTTCCCCATCCGTGTCGCCAACTTCTTCGTGTTCGTTTACCAAAACAAAGCGAACATTACGCAACTCGTTGATAGCACCGGCCATATCTTCCAACATACCCGCCTCGTTACCGTGCGTCGATACCAAACTCTCTACGTTGAACAAGAAACCCAGTTGGCTGAGCTGTTCCAACATAGCCTGACCCTGCTCCGGTCGTGCATGCTGCAACGCCAAATCGATCTTGCGCGTAAACGCAGTGACCAACGCTGCCACAGCTTGTGGGAAGCACACATCCATTCGCTTGCCAAGCACCCACTCCAAGTCATCGGCCTTCTGCTCGTACTCCGTCCAAAGCGGTGTTTGTTGGTGTACATAAGCTGGCCCTTGTGGTTCTCGTACCCGAGGCTTTAGCTTTGCATGCTGCTCCTCCAGACCAAAAATGCCGCCATTCTTGAATTTGTACACATGCGCTGCCATGGCACCCACAGTTACGATATCGTATACAGCGGCACTAGCACTGGCATCTGAGATGCCACTGCTTCCCATGCTAACTTGTGTCACAGTGTCAGCATTACCAACCCACATCTCTTGCAGATGCAAGTTGATCGGTAGGAATCGCAGCTGTGCGTTCTTCTTTTCCGTGCTAGCCTTGAAGTACATTTTGCGTTGATCGCGGAGCACATACACACGTCGCAGTTGACGAAGAAGCTCTACATATTCCTTACGTTCGTGACACCGGTGAAGCATCCACTCTCGACAACGGTTGAGGTCACCGTCATCTTGAATTTGCTGAATCAAATTCTCGTAGATGCCGCGGTCCGAACCTTTTTGACGCTGACGATCATACGCTTCTAGTCGTGCAAGATCATTCTCGGCAATTAGTAGCTCCTTCGTGCGGTACCGGATAATGATCTCCAGAATTTGCCGCGGGATCCAGTTGCTAAAGCGGCTTTCAGTAAGGTCTTCTACGACCAATAATCCTAATTCACGAATATGATACTGCTTGCTAATCGCCGGCGCCGCTGGACACAGACCACCCTCGACACCATTAAAGCCGCACTTTGTCCCCGCTGCCTTAGGGATTACCGTATTTACCAGTAGCATCGGTGGCGCCGCGTTAGGACCAAAGTGTTTGTATGAGTCTTCACTGGCGGTAAGAACTGTCTGCTCCGTGCGCGCGCCTGCTGTCGCTAATGCACCTGTGGACACCATAAACTCTGCGACTACTCTAATACTGTGCGTTACCATCAAGGAGCTCAAATTCAGACCGGACCTGCTCCCTCTTGAGTCGACATCCTCAACAGACCCTGACGACTCCATCTCGAAGAGCTCGTCAATAACCTGTGAGCTTTGAAAGCCGCTGAACGCCTCCATCTCTACCAGTGATGAGTCCAATGTGTGCTGGCTGTCGCCATCGTCATCATCAAAGTCGCGGCTGCTTTGCGTACGCTCCATAGCAGCCAAAACTTCAGCAGCAGTCATCTCTGAATGATCCTCGTGATTCAATGATGCAGGACCGGAGTCAAGCGCATACACAACCATGCGAATCTTCTCTGTGGAGGTACCAACTGGGATACGTGGCACTGACAGGAACGTGTACAGGTATCGCTGCTGATAGGGCAGCACGGTTGATACTACATCCTTCACGCTCGCCATCACCGTATCGGTGTTGCTAATTTGCCGCCATGCAGAGGATGCGCTATCTTTACCATCGCCTCCTTCTAGTCGCTGTATGGCAATAAAGCAACCATGAGTAAAGTCTTCATTCATCTCCAGGGCCATCGAGAGGCCGACATAATCATCAGTAGGCGAGATCGTCGAGGCCCTCAGGGAATGCCTGCTCGATACTGCATCCGCTGTGCCTTCTTGCTCTGCCATGATTTCCTTAACCTTCTCAAGCGAATCTTCCGTCCATCGATCCGTAGTACTAAAAGTGAAGCTTGGTGTACGGATCTCCTCATAGACCGACTCCGACAGTGGACTGCAGTCGCCGGCCGCATCACGATTGGCATTACGTAGGGACTGCGCTGTAGCGTTCCACTGCAAAAAGATAAGACAGCACGGAGGAATGGAGCATGGCAACCACACCGTAAAGATGTAAAACCACGGGTACGCAATTCCGCGTGTAGTTCGTGAAGTAAACTGAACAACCCATGAGAGGAGATACACCAGCGTGACGACACCTATAAGCGCATAGTATAGGCGTAAAGCTTTTACCAAGACAACTTGGTGAGGGCCTGACGCATTGCCAAGCAACAACTTACCACGACGCATAACCATCACACCCAATGCCATGACTACAAATGTCAGCACAAGGAAAATTCCGTACGTGACTGATGTTAAAACCAGAAAGAAGTTATCATCGTTTTCGGCGTAGCATGCCCACAGATAACCCTGAATCTCAGAGAATACAGTGGCAGACATTTCCACGTTTTCATTGCACTGCTGATACGCAAGCGTTGTGATATCGTTCTCCGAGTCATAGACACGCGAGATCAATGTCTGGTAGCTGAGTAAATAGCCAATCTGGAATGCGTAAAAGAGCACGTTCAGCACCACGAACGCTACTGATGCAGTACGCTTCGGCAGCTTTCGTAAGCGTAAACTAAGCACTGTTCCCCAATGAAAGCACACTGCTGTGAGCATCGTGAACGTGATGCACAGGTACGCGTGCATGATATAAAAATAAATGCTGCCATGAGTGAAAAACCAGATAAAGTTGTTTACAATGGCTGTCGCCAATGCCAGCACAGTACAAATAGCAGTAATATCGGTCCAAATAGAGCCCAGAGAGAATGAGAGACCGTTTTTACGAATTGCCACACTGCAAAACGCTAGAGACCCGACGAGTACGACCATAGTCACGTAATTGTACGGGCTCGCAGTAGCGCCTGATGTTAGATACACCGAAATGGCTGAGAATGTTCCACTAATAATCAACAAATCTTCGGGGTTACGAATTTCGATCGAAGCCGCGTCCAATCCGGAAGATGCTACTGAGGGGTTTCTCACTGTGTCTACATTGAGACGAACCCAGCCAATCGAGATTGGTTCTTCGACAATTAGTGTCCACGAATTCTCTGAATATGAGTACGACGTTGACGAAAAGTTTTTGGGCTTATCATTCGCTGTCTCTGTTGTAGCAGCTGTTACCAATGAAAAACGGTCTTCTTCGGTCAAGCTTACAAGCGGGTAAACCTGCCAGGACCACACAGCGTCAGCAATAAATTCCCATTTCAAGCCAAACGTCATTGTGATGAAGCTACCCTTCGGAATGTTGGCATCCGTGTAGAATGTGAGACTGGCGTTGCCCACATTGCCTGGGTAAACATTTTCCGGAAGAAACGAGCCACTTGAAAGGGTGGCGCTCATCAAGTCCGTGACACGCACATACGTGTTAAAGACCGTATTTTCCGTGTCGTTGAAGATAAAGTACACTGGTGCGAGATTCGTGGCCGTTGTGTACGTTATATTGGTTGTAAAGCTATCGCTGTCATTCAGTCCAGATGGTGTCACCACGCCATCAAAAACAAACATAAATGTATCGTTTGTCTGATATTCTTGAGTAATATCCACCGTCAAGTACATTCTGCTGTCATCTAAGAATCTCGATACCTGGCAGGTTGTGCTCTGACGTTGAGCACTGGTATCCAAATTCGGTGCCCGTTCCAAGTAACACGAGCACCCCTCTGTAAAATTATAGCCTCGAGGACTAGCTAGCATAATCTGATGTACTGTATAAATCTGACCATCCATACCTTTGGGGTAGACGATATTTAAAAAGTCGGTCGGTGTAATAGTCACACCAAAAGTCCCGTTCGTCTGTCCGGGATAATTCTTCTCAACGCCACGCCAGACATTTGAGTCCAAGACAAGTCCATAGCAGCATTCATCCGTACATGACCAGTTTTCACCTTCAGTGTAATACCAAAGGTCTTGTGCATTACAGAATTCTCGTTTATTTGAGTCATCTTGACACGTGGGAAAAGTAACACACGGGTACCACGCTTGACGATTCTGTGCTTTCCGTCCACTATATTCACAACATGGCAAACCACTACATTCACCATTGATTGTGCCAAAGAGGTTACGTGGTTGTTCGTCATTGCAACAAATTAATGATAACTCGGGATCACCTCCTGCTAACATTGCACTTGCAGTAGCTGCAGGTGACGTTGTTGTCATACAACAGACGGAACAATTATCTGCTTCCGTTGTATCTTCTGGTACTGGAATTCCTGATGCATTTTGGCCATTAATTGGATCAATGAACAGCGTAAGAAACAAGAGGCTAGAGATCACCACAAGAAACCATTCACATCGTCTTCGTCTTCGCATGATACTGCAATTAATAATAATAATAATAGCTACGACTGGTCTCTGTGTCTACCTATTCCAGTGTCCAATGACCTTACTTTCGTCCTTCTTGCCCTGTCTTGTCTTACGTTACTCTGTTGTCTACTAATACTATTGATGATATTGATATTGTTATTGATAATAAAGTGATACCAATGGGAATTATGATGTATATAATATATCTGATGATGATGATGGAATGAATCACGCTTTCGTCTATCGTCAAGCACTTTTCCTCTTTCTTTTAGTATATTATTTTATTGATTATTAGAGGTACCCAAGTATTCAGTATAAAAAACAACAGCTCCCTAGAATTAAAACAGGTCTCATCGTGACGCGCGAGGGGGCAGAGTCGTGGCGAAAGGTCGAGTCCAATTGAAGCCTCAGCTATATCAGGTTGAACAGGTATGTACTTTTAGAGGATAAAATGATCCTCTCATCCAAACCGGAATGTCCATTATGGACCATAGAGTATAGGTTTATACAGGTTCTTGCATGCTTTGAGCAAGTAACCGACTTTTTCAAAGGGATGATTGATTGTTCATCATTTGCTACTCTATTTGATCTCGTGTGTCGGTTCGTAACGGCGTCTCAGGTCATACATATAACGTATAATATATATAAATCAACTGATATTAATGTGGTTTTCATACATTTTCTTACTACTTGTTGTCATCTCCATATATATATCAAGTACTTACTTTTTGTGTGTATGGGATGGATAATGACATGAGACTATTACACACAAATACTTGGTTGGTGTCTTTAATCATACAATCACACAACCTTATTATATTCTACATATTATTTATAATAACCAAACACCAATACAGCAGACACGTTCTTCATGATGATGATGATTACGTGTATATAAAGTAGTGGAAAGCTCATTGACCAATTACTGTCAAATCGTATCACGTTGAATGAATACATTGTGTGTTCCTTACACTAATGTAATATTGTATACAGATGTCGAGCCAGTGGATGTATACAAGGGATGTCATATTGACTACCGTGGGATCGAAGTAACCCCCGAAACGTTTGTGAATGTTCTTCTAGGCAATAGCTCAAGTCCATCTTTGCACAGAAAAGTGCTCCAGAGTACAGGAAATGACCGAGTCTCTGTTAATTTCATTGATCATGGCTCGCGTGGTAAGGTTTACTTTCCAACTATGAAACCACTTTCAGCTTCAAAGCTCAAAGAAACAATGGAGATCATGTATGAAAAGAACATGTACAAAGAATTGGTGTTTTACATGGAAGCCTGTGAGTCAGGGCCGATGTTTTTCGGATAGGTTTTTAAAACGACTCAATGCATTTGTGACAACGGCTGCAAACGGTTTTGAGTCCTCGTGGGCGACTTACTGCCCTCCTTTGGACAAAGTGAATGGGAAATGGATTGGGTCATGTCTTGGGAAATTGTATTCTGTCAATTGGATGGAAGACAGCGATCTTACAGATTTGTCAGGAGAATCACTCGAGACGCAGTTTCATCGAGTTAAGAAGTGGACCGAAAAGAGCCACGTGAAGGCGTTTGGGTCGACGAAACTTAGCCATGAAATTGTTGGCAACTATCAATCGACGTACGATAAGAGCTCGAGTGACGAGGAGCCGACTACTGATGATATTGACACGACTCCGACGACTAGATCTACTTCTGCGGCATTTGGTCTTGACAGCAGTGCTGTGGATGCCCGGGACGTGGATCTTGTCACGGCATTTTACCGCTATCTACGAGCGAAGCCAGGAAAAGATCGACGTGAACTTGGAAATGAAGTCATTGCAACTATTTAAGCTCGGGAGGCAGCTGATGAGGTGGCTGAGACGATCCACGCCCTGTATGAACAGCAGACGAAAGCGCCTCTGCTTCAAGTCAAAGAGGCAAAGAACACTGAGTGTTACGAGGATGTCACCCGCAGTTTCAACCCTTTCTGCTCCTTTGCAGGTGGGATCAACAGCTATAGCCTAAAATATGTCGGAATGTTGATGGACCTCCGTGAGTCAAACTTGACGCAACACGAGGCAGTGACAATGGTGCGCAAAGCTTGCTCTGTCGTCAAGACCCGTCAAGCGTCCATGGCAAAAAGCGGTGTGTTTAACATCAATGTGTATTCAGGGGTGAACGAAAAATGGGTGGACAGGAATGGCGAGCGACAGCGGGGAATTGCAGTGACCGGTAGTCGACAATTTGCCTTGAGTTGTATGCAGGCAGTCAGTTAGAGTTAAAGAAAGGAAAAACGACTTGTGCGGACTACATCGTACTGATCGTCTTTAATGCAAACAGTTCACAGTGATACTATAATGATATAATGAGCCTGAACCGTGTGACAGCGGTCATGTTGTCAACCTTTTTGCTGAGTGAACACAATCAATCAAATGTAATAGTAGAAGTAGCTAAAATCATGTGCATGTGTCTGAAACAGTAAACATCATCAACGTCTCTCGTTCTCAAGGCCTTACATTCCACTGCAAACGAAACCACAGTTTTAATCTGCATGAGCGTCCTACTCATAGATCAACCATCAAAACCATTCTATTCATCGGCATGCACATCATTGGGCAAGCTCTCTTCCTCTTCCAAGATCGTATTCGACTTCCCGGCACCGATGCTTTCGTAGAACTTCTTGAGCTCTTCGTTCTCGTCCTCAATCGCAACGTCATACGGCTATGTCCATCATCTTCAGTTAGATATACCAAACACACGTAACAAGATCCTGTGCAGTGCCACCTCACCGTCTGTCCTTCAGAATTGTGCGCATGCATATCCGCGCCATGGTCAAGCAACAATTGAGCACATTCCACCGTTTCACACCGATGTAGCGGTGTGTCCATGTCATTGTCTCCTGCATTTAGTCACCAACCAACCCCCATGAGTCTTGCACCCGTCGTCTCTATCACCTTCCAAACAAAAACCTACCCAACTGAACTTGTGCTCCACTAGCGAGCAAGAACACTACCAGCTCCATGTGGTTATAGCTCACTGCTGCTTGCCTGTTCAAAAGCGTCACGTATCATAATCGTGACGCTATTAGCTGTATACGACCCATTAAACCGACGAAAATAACAAGTCACTCATCCTTGCTACATACAAAGGTGTGTATCCATTCTCATCCTTGGCATTCACGTCTCCACCACTAGTCAAAAAAGCTTTGACACTTGTCAAGTCACCGTCACTCGCTGCTGTCCATACGTTTGAATTCATGAGACTTTTTTGTGGCACCATAGTGAAATCAAGATACTTTATCGCACCGTCATTTCGTCGACCATGACAAAAGTGCCAGCTCCATTAATTCCAGAAACTGTTGAATTGCCAGTGAAGTGTGCACAAGAACCACGAAAACGAGCACTTCACGTATGTTATCAATACATATGAAAATGATGATGATTGCGTAATGCATGGTCCATACTTACCTGTTGATATATATACATGTATCTATGTATATGTATCCATGTGTGTGTGTGAATGTAAATGGGTGTGTTTCAAGATTGACTACGCTCAAAGCAGATTTGAAGAAAGAGCGTACTGAAAATGCAGGACTGGAAGAGACAATTGCACGACTTCGAAAACGGTTACAAGAAATGCTGATTGAAAACGATCAAGTGCGTGTACGTGCAAGCAATGAAATGGCAGCCATGCAGGAAAAGATGAAGCATGAAATTGCACATGCACAAAGTCAGTTGGTGACTGTACGAGCGCGCTACACTTCAGGATCGAGGTCCTGATATGGAACGAGCTGATTCTATCATGAATGAGCTCATGGTGTGCAAGGCACAGCTAGAACGTCAGAAGAAAGCAGAGATGGAACAGACAAAGTTGCTCACGAATCGGTACTGGAGCGAATGCCGAATTGCTACGGTAGATGCAAAACGTGTCTTGAATGCAGTAGTTGGAATGTTTCAAACGAAATTGCGACTACTTGGGCGTATGAGTAGAGATGGCGCAATGAAACGCGAACTCGAAGTTACATGTGATGGTGTGCAACGTCTCACTTTCATGAAGCTTTTCAATGTGGTGCACGACTTTTCATTTTACATGTCGACTGCATTTCACTCGCAAGACCCTGTACGTTACACAGTGGAGCAAGACCAATTTGTTGACCTGTTTGGCAAGATCCTGTACATTACACAGTGGAGCAAGACCAATTTGTTGACCTGTTTGGCAATTCGTTGTGTCACGAAGAGCGTGCTGGTTTCTTCTACGTAGCTATTGCGCCCATGGTAAGTGTAACAAAAGCCTTGAGAAGTTAGAGATGTCAGAAAGATTTATCGGCTTTCTTCTGTAGGTCGTTGTGTTTGACTCTAGCACTGAAATCGCAGTTATGAAGTGCGAATGGACCGAACAGAACGCGCTTCGTGACTCAGCGCGCAACTTTCGACTCTTGAGGGCAGTAGAATGCAGTAGTGGACAATGATGGCATGGCAGAAGAGTTGCAACACAAATGATTGTTTGGATGAATTTTTGAGGAAACGTGGTGTTGAAAGTGACATTCTACGTTGCTATCGCTATTTGATTAGTTAAAGTCCTGGGAGATGTCCATTGACATTGTTCAGAGTATTAATGGACGTGGTGTTAGTAATTGACAGCGCCATGGACTGCATGACAACATCACGGAGACGGTTCCAGAGTTTAGGTGCCAACTCTTCCATCGTCTCGTACCTCTGGCGGGTCATCTCAAACACAATGCATGGTTCCAGCGCCGTTGCCGCCATGTATCGGTATTGACGGCCAAAGAAGTCGACCTCGCCGAACATGGCACCGGGAATCACGTTTTCCAGAGGGGTTAGAGGCTTTCCGGGAGCCACACTGCCGTCGTCATTCATATAGAGCGCAACACGTCCACTGGCGAGAAAGTAGAAACGATCGGGAAAAGAAGCCACACGGTAGAACTCGTGTCCTGCAGACACTTCGTATTTTCGGAAAAACTGGTCGATACCGCTGAAAAATGGCGATTCGTCAGGTTCACCCATAAAGCGGTGCAGCAGCACACTCATGGACTCATGAGGGTGCTTGAGATCTTGAGTATGGTTTGCATGTTCCAGCAACTGATTTTCACAGAATTCCAAAGCCGATTCGGCGTTGAGAAAAAAGTTTGCTTCATCTACAATCTCATTTTTGAGCAATAGGCTGCGGATCTCCGGTAGAACGTCGGCAAAAATAACGGTGATATTGTGACGTTTGCAGTGCTGCTGCAATATCATAAACGCACTACGTGCAGCCGTCGCGTCCATACCAGAAACGCGGCTAAAATCCATAACGACGTACTCAGTAGGCAGGCCATCGGGGTGCGGCGCAGGGCTGCCGTCCAGACACTCGATGGGAACATCTCGCTTGGATACAGGTGTGAGAGGAATGCCTGAGTCATCAATGTAATGTGGTTTCCTACCCTTTTTTCCAGTCGATTTCTGCTGGGCAATGTTTCGGCGCTTGCGAATGTGTACAGCCTTTTGCACGTCTTCCACAATTTGCACCGATGAACCAAAGAAAAGGTAGCCATACAGCTCCAAGTAGACAATGGCATCGCGTTTCTGACCGAGTAATGTGCGAGCTGCAAGTTTTCGCACAGCAGCAGAGGAGCGAGACCGACGGTTCACTACACGAACTTGAGCGTAACCTAACAAGAAGTTGATGATGGCAAAACCAATGCCAAGGACCATTCCCAATTCGAGCGATACCATGTTAATGGCAATGAAAGAGAGCCACAATACAACGTATTCCCGCGGTAAGACCTTGTGGTACACGTGTACAAGCCACTCCATCATCAAGTCGATCGCGATAAAGATCAGCGTGGCTGCGAAGAAGAATCGCGGCACATAACTCATTACGGACAGCGGTGCAAGCACGATGGCAAATTCGGAAATGATGACGCATACGCCCACTGCACGCGAGTTGGTCTTAGAGCGGTAGGTGAAGATGGTTTGCGAGAAAATATACGATCCAGTATATCCGCCTAGCAATCCGCTAACAAAGTTTGACCAGCCAACAGACTTCAGTTCATGATTAATATTGAGCTGGCTGCCCATATCCATCTCAATAGCTGCTACATCGAGACAAGACGAGAAAGCAACAACGAATGTCATGCCGAGCCATGTCGTGAATTGCCCCGGGACTTGGTTCCAGTGCATTTGCGAGAAGTCAAACAGATCAAACATCTGCACAAAACCAGCAGGGTCCAAGGCAGGTGCAACCCATCCGTACTCGCGTGCATCCTCGAGCGAAATTCTATAGATCGCCATCACAACAAAGAATAGAATTGGCATGAGCAGAATTGTTGCAGGTAATGCAAACGAGTTTTCGTATCGCTGCGCCACTAGCAGTAGAACTACACCTCCCAGAACTCCCGGGACGCAGAGAGTCATGTAGTATGGGTTCCAAAGTTGCATCATAGACGTGAAGTCATTGATCACGAGTCCTGTACACAATGATAACCCTGCATACATGCAGAAAAGTCCGATAAAGGCCAAGTAGCCACCCACCACAGGCATCGGCAGATACGATACTAGTCCAGCGAGCTTGAACTTTCCCAGCAGCACGAGAACCACTCCTAACGACGCTGTGGCCATACCGATAGTAACAACTGTAGTCGTGACCTTGGCCTCTAACGTCACTTGTTCACCCAGTGAGTTACAGATGGACGTTGCCATTGCACTAAGGAAGATCAGACCTGCATCTTGAACTTGTCCAATGGCAAAAGGCAGTGAGCTTAAAAGCGTGAACATGGTTTGATGGACAACACTGGAAAACATAACAAGCTTCGAGAGTGCTGGCATGAAGCTAGCAAAGTCTGGATGACCAAAGATAATTGTTGCGTAGCCGTACATGCACGGAATGGTCAGGATTGAATTGATGATGCCATACATGAGAGCGTTAGTAACTTTAGCCAGTCGTTGGGAGCTCAAGGCACAAGTAGTGTATCGTCTACTACTGCTGCTGTTGTTGTTATTATCACGTGATACGAAGGTGTTACTAGGAGCAACCAATAGAGAAATTGACTCGCTATTATACGGTGACATAGAGCTATCGTGGTCGACCCAACTACGAGGACGATGAGAACGCTCACATGTGTCATTCTGGGCAGTTATACGATCAGTCACTAGAGCACGAGGTATTGCATTAGTATGACGCTTGACTGCTCCTGAAAGTGCTGGTGAGTACATGGAGTTTAGGCTCTTCGTTTGTATGGAGAAGGAAGGAAGTGAGACGGACCACTCATTTCAAATGGACGGGAAGAATGATACGTATGTGACAAGTATAGATTATCGTGTAGAAAAAGGGGTACAATGTACTCGTATTGACGTCGATTACGAATCTTCCAACTGTAACGTCTGCTAACAAGTGGGTACAGTTTTCGTATTCTAACTAGAACAGTAGTTCGTTCATATAAGAGTCTGCCTTCCAAAATTCAAATTCCCAACACGCGCTCTTTTCTCCATGATTTTTCTAACATTAGGATTCTGTCATAGAAACACCATGACCAATAACGTTATTGTATAAATACTCGAGCACCTGGAGACTTCCATGTTTATCCAATACATGGTTATACTCGGAACATTCAATTGACTGAATACAAGCTGGACAGCCTTCTTTGCATGAACATTCACTGACAATCGTCCAGGCCTTTTCAATCAGCTACATTCACATCAGTACGGTCATAAACACCTGAGTTCTATACCAAACACTCAGTCATACTACAACCGTTGATCGCATTTTATTTTTCATACCTTTGGAAATACTTTCACAATTTCACCAACTAGTCCACTTCCTCCTTCACGTCTCTCGAAAATCGTCACGCGATTTGGTCTGTCAAATAAACCATTACAATCATAAAGTGTCAGCAAACTCATCTCGTAAAGAGCACTTCATACAAAGCATCATACTTGACACGCTGCTCGAATTCGTTCACATGCTCCGTGCCGATATCTTCTGCGTCACAAAGTATAAACAGACGAACCAGCGCTATAAAAAGATGACCGACTCCATGCAGTGCTGCAGTCCATAACGCTCCGTCCATCGTTTCGACCTGTTGTCGAAGTGCAGCTGGAAATTCGAGCCACACAGCCTCTCCAAATGATTGCATGGGGGGTAGAGAAAACTCGTTGGTCGCTAGAACTCGCATTGTGCGCTTTTCTACCATCGTCGATCCAAACACTCGAGTTAGGATGGACACAGTACCAACACAAACTAGTACAGATTCGCTTTTCGGTTTCTCATAGTCACGCTCGATCCGCGTGGTGCTTCGCACACGGACAATCTCAAGATCAGTGAAATCACGACAACACGTGAAGTACGTGAGCGGCTGCTGACATTTTCTTGCAAATGCTATGCGCTGGATATGGTCCAGTCGGGTGATCACGTACTCTTGTGCCTGGTGTAGATATACCGCAGTGGGGTAAACTTGGAAGAAAGCTTTGTCTCCTGGGATTTCATCCAGTACCTCACCATCAGCTCCATCATTGTCAGCGCTATAACTCGGAACCACCACCACCTCGTAATTTTCATCGCAGATGCTGCGCAGACTCACTGCACGAAACTTTTTCGGCATGCACGAATGAATGCGATAATTAACATGTCCACCTGACTCAAAACACTTCATCAATTTGTTCTCCTTCACAAGTGACTGAAGTATTCCGTCTACTTCGGACACCAGCACTTGTCCACAATTGTCACGTTCGTCACCTTCGTTGCCAGCGAGGCTCCCAAACATGTATGAATCGATGTATGCTGTTCCAGACTGACAAGAATACAGTGCTAATTCACGAGCAGCACACAATAAATGCTGTCCGAGGACGCGGTGATTCAGCGGGTTCAAAGTTACAGCCTCTGGCTCAAGCTTGAAAAGTTCCATGGCGTGTCGCTGTTGTGCGAAATGCTGATCCAGCGGTGCATCAAAGCACACAATAATTGCAACAGATTGTTTTTGTTTCGATTGCTGTTGTCGACGGCCTGCACGACCGGCTTGCTGCCACAAAGACGCGATGCTCGATGGGAGTCCAAGATGTATGGTGCAGTCCAACTCACCGATGTCAATACCTAGCTCCAATGCGTTCGTTGCTACCACACCGAGCAAGTCTCCATTAAACAGTCGCTGCTCGATTCTTCGCCTAGATTCCAGTGTATACCCACCACGATAGGAGCTGACCCGACGAAGCAAATTTTGGGTCTTAGGGTTGGCCTTTAGAATCGAATGAACATTCATGAGAACTAGCTCAGTAAGCTTCCTGCCACGACAAAAGAGAAGCGTTGCGATTTCTGCTTCGACTAAACGAGCAAGGATTTGAGCGCCTTGGAAAATTGCACTTGTGCTCACATTGGCATCTAGCTTATGGGTGTTGTCGTCTGGTGCTGCATTACTTGGTATTCCCGTTGTACGCTTGCGCTTTCGTTTAGTCGCGACGGATGGGAGATCTTTTGGTAAATTGGTAAATTGCGAGAAATCAGGTCTACTGCGCACAGTCATGTCTATCTGATCATCATCAAACGTTTTTGTCCTAGACACCTTTGGGTTCCAGATACAGAAAAGCTTCTCCACGGATGGAGCCCCGTCTTTTGCAATTACTTTCAGCGGTCGTTGGCGAAAAAAATGTAGATTAGGTGGTCCAGCATCTTTATCCAAATGTTTTTGGGTACTGCCATCGACAGGAATCAATGATGAATGAACAGCTTGAGACGGAAGCTGTGGTACTAACTGTCGGAAATGTGCCTCTGGATTCTGGATAGTAGCCGAGCAGCAGACCACCTGCGGATTTGAGCCGTAAAGCGCGCATAGGCGAAAGAGTCGGCGGAACACACACGCAACATGCGACCCAAATACACCACGGTACATGTGTGCCTCATCAACGACGAGCAATCTGCATCACAAGGTTGCAAGAAATTAACAGTCCGTGTATTTGTCACCAACCTGCATCTAAATTTTCTACCTGAGTTTTGAAAGCACCTGCTTCCATTGTCGATGTCTTGGAAGAATTGTTAAGTGAAGTATATCTGGATTAATCAAGAATACCCGAGTTTCTCGTACAACCATTGACCGGCTTTTCATGGGCGTGTCACCATCCTACACGACATCATTAGTAACAACAAATGAGCTCCATTTCACAGCCCAGTACTTAGTAAGCGTAGACTTCTCAACAATCAATCACACCACAATTCTTACAAATGTCGCTCCTAGATGACGACGCAGATCTGCTGCATCTAATAATCGTCTCAATGACTTGAGCTGATCCTGTGCCAATGCTTTAGTTGGAAAGAGATACATGAAAGTAGCATCGGGATCTTTGAGCAGCATATCAAGCATTGGAACATTATACGCAAGTGATTTTCCACTTGCAGTTGCTGTCGACAAGACGACATTTTCTTCACGACGAATGGCTTCAATTGCTTCAAATTGATGGGAATACAACTGTGTAATCTTGTAACATTTGTCCAAAGCCTCACATACCCGTGAAGACAATTGCAATGGCTCAAGATCACGATACTGCGCTTCACGTAACTTTCGTCGCTCTACGTGAACAATTTGATTTGTATACAACTTCATTTGCTCCAATATCGTCAATACTGACGATCTCCACGCATTTGACGGTTTCCATGGCTCAAAAGGTGAACTTTTTCGAGTATCAACAGGTCCTGTACGAAAAGTATCTCGACATGCTATTCGTTCCTGGAACATTATTTGATCCTTTTCTGCTTTTTCCTTGATAGTCATTAGTGCTACTTCAAACATTTTCTTTCGTTTCAAACTTGCACGTTGACTCGTCTGTGGCACTAATGGAAATGTCACCACTTCAACGTTTTCGTTACTTAAGCGCGTCGGACTGTAGACATCATCTAAAATTACAAAAATCGTATCATCCGATTAAAAACAAACCCTACCAAGACCCAAAATAACGTTCACACTGCCTAAAATAATCCTCGATTTAGTACCTTGATGTGTGGAAGGAACGCTTCTTAGAATTAAAAGCTCAGGGGCAATAGCTGATAACTCGACAAGATTCTGACGGGTAAGCTGTGAGCTACTAAAGCTATTAGCTACACGCAATACACTGTGAACAGTTGGGGCCGTGCAACGCTTCGATACAAAGCAAAAACTAGCGTCCACGAGTGCAAAATAGTGACGCAGTGTGTCCATTAGTTGAAAATGTCTATATTTGTAAAAAAAAACATCAGCTCGTATGTAGCCATTTTAATTTGGGTCAATTTAGTAATGTTCACAATTTTCTATCGTCTTGTTTGTAATTTTCGACATATAAATTCAACAAGATTTACAACAATGGAACTAGGTTGGGAGAACTCTTGTACGTTTGATTCTAGGCTCTATATCGCCGGTCCTAGTCATATTCAGCTCTTGTCAATGGTTTCTTCTTCTTTAGAATTGATTTGTGCTTGTGTTCATCGTTCTTGTATGCTCCAATTCTCTCTCGTTGTATTGTTATGAACGATTGTGTAAATAGACTCGGAAGGTTATAGTCTAACTCAAGAGTACGTCATGTCTATTTGAATGTAGTATCTTGGGTTCTTGTAGATTAATATGTTGTTGTTATTCTTGCTATTCTATCAGCTATAATGACGAAGTTACAGCTCTTACGGGTGAGAATAAACCCCGCATTTTACTCATGGGACTGCGCAGGTAGAGAGCCATTTGCTGTTGCTTGAGCTTTAATTCCTCCATTTATTGGTTGATTTTGAGCCTATTCTGTTTGCAATCACAGGAGCGGCAAGTCAAGTATCCAGCGTGTGGTTTTTCACAAGATGTCACCACATGAGACGTTATTCCTGGAAGGCACGAACAGTCTTGATATCAAGTACATTGCCAATAACTCGTTTGTACAGTTCCAGATTTGGGATTTTCCTGGAGATTATGATTTTAAAGGTGCCGTAAGAATAGGTTGTTGAGGTATTGAGTGAAGGTAGTCAGTCATTGAGTTTGTATTTATGGTCTTGGTACAGAGGATTTGGTCTACGGTGGACAACTTGTGAACGAAGAGATGATCTTTAGCAACTGTGGCTCTATTGTGTTTGTTATTGACGCGCAAGACGAGCCGTATGCCGAGGCATTAGCACGACTACACGATACAGTCACACGCGCACACCGGTACAACCCCGACATTCTGTTTGAGGTTTTTATTCACAAGGTAGATGGCGACCTTTTCCTATCGGACGACCACAAGATCGGTACGACCCGCAGTCTCTCCATGCAATATGATAGATGACGTTTATCTGAATCGTTACACATTTGCATTGTGTTGATAGACTGCCAACGCGAGATCCAGCAACAGATTATGGATGAGATTAAGGATGGAGAGCTCGACATCCACATGAGCTTTTACCTGACTAGCATCTACGACCACTCTATTTTTGAGGCATTTAGCAAGGTTGTGCAGAAGCTGATTCCGCAATTGCCAACGCTTGAGAATCTTCTTAACATCCTTATTACGGTACGATAATAGACTAAATTGTTTGCATAGTGGAGAGCAAGATTGCTGATATTTGACGACCTTGTTATTTGGATTTGTGTTGCCAGAGCTGCAATATGGAAAAGTCGTTCCTGTTTGATGTTGTTAGCAAGGTTTACATCGCGACGGACAGTAACCCCGTCGACATGCAGTCGTACGAACTGTGTAGCGACATGATTGATGTTGTCATTGATGTCTCTTGTATTTATGGGTAAGTGCTGTAGACTACTGATCATAATGTGCACTCCTTGTGTTAACATTTGTGTACTGTGTATTGCAGAATGAAAGATGACGGTGAGGGTGATGGTCTTGCATACGATTCCAAGTCATCTTCAGTGATCAAGCTCAACAACGGAATGGTTCTTTACCTGCGCGAAGTGAACAAGTAAGCCGTGCTTGTGAATTGTCAACGCAATGTTATCTTGTGTCTAATGTTGTGCCTTATTTTCTGTTGCAGTTATTTGGCCCTGGTGTGCCTGCTGCGTGCCGAAAATTTTATGAAGCAAGGAATTATCGACTACAACATCGACTGCTTCAAGTCTGCGATCGGCGACGTGTTCAAAGCACCAAAGACAATCGAGTAGACGTTAATTGCTCCGGACAAGTTGAAGAAAGAAGGATTCAAAAGTCGCGCGCTGGCTACTTATGCCAACTCGTGCAGGAAAATGAGAAGCATAATGCTGCTATTTGCAAAACATAAGCCTTCATGCAGCTGTTAGATGGTAAGTTGAATCCAGAACTATTGCAATAACGATGACTGCTAGCAGGATGCCAACTGCAACACCAAGCAGCCAGCACATGTTGTTGCGGTACACTTTTCTGGTACTTGATCGCTTTCTGCACTTCTTGATTGCCCTGCTCCACATATTTGGCGGCTGAGCAAATCTAATAATCAATATGATCGCTGCAGCTCTACTAGGATTACCAAGTCCAAGAACAAATGATGAGCTCTGCCACACTCTTAGCTCCACCGTGAGAACGTCTTGGTATGTATTCTGGCACATCCGTAATGGATTCAGCTACACCGCCTTGCTGCACTGCGGTTCGACAAATTGATCTAGAGTCGCCAAAGCGTATGACAGCATCAATTTCTGCCTCCGATGCGTCAGGTCTCACGATCTGCACTTTCCGCTTCACCTTCATGTCGGTCTTGCATTTATCTCTGCTGGGATTTTTGGTAATCTTTTATACCATCCATGGTTTGTGAGAGTAGCGCACATGTTATCATGACTCCTAGCAGCTCACAACAAATTTAGCTACTCATCCTACTAGGTCTTACAAAAGCATCATATCATCAAAACGATCGATACCTGATTTCCGAAAGTAGTGAATGCTTGTGTTTTTTTTTCCTGTCGCCAGACTCTCTTTACAACTCAGCAATCCTTTTGCATGAGCTGCGCGTTTATTTGCCGTTTCAATCACATTGCAAAGGTTCATGTTGATTGCGATGATAAGGACACATTCGCAACGTTACTGCGACCAAATTTCAGGATCGAGCACCACTTTTTCAAAGCACGCCTTGCTCTTTGGTGAGAAGTTGCAAGGACTGCTTTTCGTTAGGCTCCAATATTTGCTGCGGGCAAGGCTAATGACAAAGAACAGAGTGAATTATGAGTGCTGTGTAGTTAACAAGAAACCAAGAGCACATTTACTTGATGCTAGCAAGATTCATTTGCATCTCCTTGACATCTTTGAAAAAACTTCTTTCATGATTTTTTGGCCGATCGATTCCATGGCTACAGAGGTACCAAAAGCAAAAAGAGTCGAATGATTTGTAATGAAGCTGGGGAGATGGTAAAACGGAGCTTACGTCTATAATTTGTTCGGCATTCGAGCAATTGAGAAGAGCGTTCATGAGTTCAATGTCGAACCTAAAGTTGGAGTAGCAGTCAATCGTATGTAGAAAGTACCCACCTTCATATCAATTGTAACGTGGTCAGCAGCATGTGAGACTTTGCCCTTGATTTCTGCTAAACGATCGATCATGCGTGCTACCTCGCCTCCTTCAATCACCTTGATGCCCCGTCAGAAGCCACTATTACGTGAACGCCTATCTATAAAGACTGAAACAAACTTAAGCACTTACGATGCTGAAATATCTCTTTCACAGTTATAATAATTTCTTTACAAATGCGGATACTTAGCTGGGCGTGAACTACACCACCCGGCTAACGCCGTCGGTGTCAGTGACAAGTCTAAAATAGTGGAGAAATGACGTGTTGGCCTTTACATTTATCAATACAGCCGAGACCGCTCGACTGCTCAACAGGATGAGTTCTTTTGCCACTTGAAATGTCTCTGCATCGTGTCGAAGAGGTCTTGCACTACAGCTACTAAGTCTAGCATACTACTGTCTTGCTACAGAAAAATGGTTATGCAAGGATGTTCCACTTAATCGTAAGCGTTTTATAAACGTCACGAATTCCTGAAAGTAGTATATTAATTTGTTACTGCCTCGTGGTGTTTACTATATGTAGTAGTAGCCTTGTAGTAGCGTGTGTTTTTGAATATAACGAGGGAGAAAGAGACTGGCACTGACCTCGTTTTAGTGGATTTTACCGACCAGTTATAACAAGATGGGGAATTGCTATAGCAAGGGTGCAAGTACATTTGAACCGACAGACGTTTTACCCGCGGTTTTCTATTGACCTACTTTACCCGCCAAAACCATTCGTACCAAACCGGCACATTTATGACAAATGTGTTTCAATTCCAACAATGCATTCGAGGCAAACAAATAACAAGTCTCAATTACACCTCCTCAGTAAACATTTCCAATGAAGGTGGTGGAGATAAATCTGGACTTGATGCTGCAGGTGACGGTTTTCGATCAAATACAATTAAACCACCACCATCCATATGACTTGGTTGCGGACCAACCACCTTGGAATGCGTCATACACATGCCTTGACGCTGTGACCACTTTTTGCAATTCGTAATACAGCACTTGGTACCACCACCATGTTTACGGCATAAACGCTTCAGATGAGCCTTCTTTTCACAGCCTTCTACGATACATGGACGCCCGCCACCGTGCAATTTGCATCGACCATGACTTTGCGACGCACGAGTGCAGCCACTTTCCTGACATCGTGATCCACCGCCGTGGCGGATGCACAGTCCACGACTTTGAACGCTTTTAGTGCATCCTGGACTTGAACAGCGCTTCGATCCGCCGTGCCGTTTACAACGATTAAAGGCTCGAGCTTGGCTTGTGCAACCTTCCACACAGCACAGCTTGCGTTTGTCTGGTGAGAACTTAGGCTCGTGAGTAGTGGCCATATCCGTAAAAGGTTCTCTTAATCCACTTCCTCGCTTAGGTCTACCGCGCGGTGCAACAACGGGGGAATAAGCAGGAGCTGTGCTACTGACACTAGATTGAACTGGGTAATTGTCGATTGAAAGTGTCCTCATCGTCCGCGACGAGTTGCATTGCTCCGTGGGCGCCATTGAGGAGCGAAACATCGTCGACGTTATCTCTTGAGTCATGCGATTGTCAAAATTCCCATTATGGTCTTCCAATACGGGTGGTAGCAGCAGCTGTTGCTGTTGCTCGAGCAACCCAAAACTTGTTGGCGGTGTCGGCATCGGATTGTGCGTGCTATGGAGAGTTGAAATACCTGCAGCAAAGTAGTGAACATATTGAAATCAGCTTGACTTGTACAAAGTATTTGCTTGCGCTCAATTTGGTAGCATATTTACCTTCAAGAAAGTAGTCCGCCGATGTCCTCGTAGCTACCTCCGGCATTGACGTTGGCGTTGATGGTAAAGAAATTGGTCGTAGATAGTAACTGGCTGAATCTGGTGGGAGCTCCGAGTATTCTGAAGTCAACTGCATTGCAAATGGTCCACCAAGCTGGTAGTGAGGTGATGTTTGTAGTTCTTGCTGGTGTGATGGGGAAGATGATAGAGGTGGCAGATTTTGTTGCAGTGTAGCGTTGTCGGAGAACGAAAAATTCTGGGACAAATAGAAAGACTGAAACTCATTTTCTTCTTCCAGTTGTGGCATATGCAGCAAGCTTGCAGATTGGAACGCCATACCGGCACTGTCTCCGTTGTCAAGCGTGCCTGGATATTCCGTCTTTAGTGGCGAAGCCCGTCGATGTGGCGCAACACTACTATCATCAGCGAGTGAAGTTATTTGCGGCGGCTGCCAGGTTTTATGATCATGTTCTTTGTCTTCATGGATAGCTTCATGCTCATTACGAGGTGGACAATGAAATGCTTGATAACGAGAGTTGTTCCACTCCATCGCAGCAACGGCGTTTTCGAGGCTGTTCCCAGATTTAAGACGTGGCGGAGCTTACTCTGGCAGTAAAAAACCAACGTGGAAAGAAGCAGAGAATTTCCAAGACCATAGCTCGTGAGAGGTTTGAACATGCCCGTCCCACATAGACCGAACATGGTCCATTCAAGTCACCTTCAACATCATATGCACTTCAAGTTTCGCTTGTTTTTAGCCAATCCAATCTGAAGTAATCTTACGTTCCCATTAGTAACGTCATAATCAATTTGTGCGGACAGTAGTCGTCATGGCTGCCAAACTCTTGCTCTCGCGCTGTGCACGTCGTCCTTGCTTGATTGTACCGGTTCATCATGTCCCTTTTCCATTTACAATTTGCCCGGGTACTGTACGCTTAACTGGTTCATCATTAGCTTGTCTTCATGCGTCCATCCATCACGTGCCATGCGTGTCCACCCAGGTTTCTGGAATTCAGACCTCATGGTTCAGTTCTTCCTCGTCTTCTCCGTTGTCAACCAGCAATAAGCTGGTGAATAAACAAACACAAGTAGACATTGCTATGGTCAAAAACAATGCCTTTAGCTTTGAAAAGGACACGTGGGCCGAGCGTCACAGCCCCGAGTGGATGCTGCCGTATATTCAGATATCCCGGATCAACCGACCGGCAGGGACATTTATGCTGCTGTGGCCATGTTTCTGGAGCATATCCATGGCTGCTCCTGCAGGTTGCTTACCAGATTATAAGCTGTTACTTCTTTTTGGCACTGGAGCATTTATCATGCGGAGTGCAGGGTGCACTATCAACGACATGTGGGATAAGAATTTTGACAAGATGGTGGAACGCACCAACATGCGTCCGTTGGCTGCCGGTAAGCTCACATATCCTCAGGCATGGGCTTTTCTCGCGGTACAACTATCTGCCGGATTATCTGTGTTGCTGCAGCTCAATTGGTTTAGCGTTGCAATGGGTGCATCCTCCCTCGCACTTGTTGGTGTGTACCCAACGATGAAACGATATACCTATTGGCCGCAAGCTTTTTTAGGCTTGACCTTCAATTACGGTGCCTTGCTGGGATGGGCTGCAGTGCATGGCTCTTGCGAATGGCCCGTTGTGCTGCCGCTGTACGCGGGCGGCGTGGCCTGGACGTTAGTGTACGATACACTTTATGCCCATCAGGACAAGAAGGACGATATTAAGATCGGTGTGCATTCTACTGCACTGCTTTTTGAAGACAAAACAAAGCCGATGCTGAATCTCTTTTCGGCTGCTGCCATTGCTGGCTTCGGCACTGCGGGATATATGGCTGGCCTAGACTGGCCATTTTACCTTGGTCTTTCCGGCGCAGCAGCGCAGCTAGCCTGGCAAGTAAACACCGCCAAACTTGACGATCCACTGAATTTGCAAGCGCGCTTTGCTTCAAACAAGTGGTTTGGAGCGCTCCTGTTTGCCTCCATTGTGGCTGGTAGAGTCGTGTAGAAATTACTTGTGTGAATGTGTCGACAAGCGCTTCGACCCACATTCACTTGCGCATAGATGGCGCATAGATTCAACAAGTGATCAGTACATTAAAGAATGATCCGAACGATAGTTCTATATAGCACAGAGATAAATGTGTTATTACGTCAAAGAAAGTGAATCAAGATTTAGCTGATCAGACTTGATCGTGTCTGTCAATATTTGTCCTAATGGTGGCCTGCAAGACAAAATATAAATTTATGCTAGGTAGGACGGAATAAATAATTATTGTTAGCTGAGTTTCCTTTATCATTGCGTGAAGACCACCTACCTGTTGAAGATCGGGATGAAGAGTCACAATGTGCGGCACGACATGTCAGATCAAGTTGGTGTCGGCAAATGTTTGCATGTGTATAAGAGGACAGTCGACAGATGAAGGAACTGCAAAGATGGGTAAAGAAGCTTGCAGTTACCAACAGACAGGAAGCGCGTCATCGGAGTGATGGCGAATGGTAGCGCAGCGACAGTAAGTCGACCTAGTAAGAGCGGCAGATACAGAGACATAGTGTGCAAGATAGCGAGCAGAATAGCTAGGACATAACGGCACAGTTTGACTATCAGTTTTCTTTCTACCTCATCAAGTGCAAGCTCAACATTGGCTAACAGGTTATGAGCCCAAACCCAATAGCTCTTCCGAGTGATGAAATGACGACTTCTGCACCTGCAGTCCACGGCCACGAAAGGGCCGCCGTTGTTAGCGATACCCAAGCCCACGAAAGAGGTGCGGGGACCGACGAAAGGATCCTCACAATGCTGACTGCACTCACGGATCGCATGCAAGCGCTCGAGGCGTCGCAGATGCAGATCGACGAGGACGAGCGACTGCGAGGCGCAATCGACAGTGGCTTTTTTTGCGTCAGCGCTGGGACGCGGCATGGGCGGTACGACTCTACATCGTGACGCGCTAGGATATGATGCTCCGGGCAGCCGCGTGCGTGCTACGCAACCAGGTGACACGCTATTCCAGCAGTTCGGTCCAAAGTATATCGGTCCGCGACAGCCAGCGGGCGCTGCTCGACCACAGGCGCCGCGCTATGCGCCAGTGTCGCCTCCAGATTTTGAAAACGTTCATGCGCCCGTGCCACCAATGCAGCAGGCACCGACAAAGGAGTTGCCGTTGCGTGTCCCGGACGCACGCCAACGTAATCTTGCTATTCGCAAGCTTGATGGTACAGAACTGTACTAGGGTCTTGGGTCGGGTCACTACTACCTAAGTGGGACAGCAGAGCGGTGCTGCTAAAAACAAGTAGACGTTTGGTGGCTCGAAGAAGTCTCTGTCGATCACGCTATGGGCTGGTTGCTACACACATTCAAGACTCCAATCACGGCGTCGAAAAACATGAAGCTTTTTACTGCAAGGAAGGATCCCAAGAGATCATGGCCTGAACACTACCTGTATATGGTTGCTGTATGCGATGCCTGCGGTGGAGGTGCAGAAGCACAAGCTCTCGACAACATTGTCCACTATGCGTCGGCTGATCTCACAACAGTTTTGATGGCCAAGTACAACAATGACCAACACGATCATTTGCGCCAAGCTGAAGAGCTTGCGCAGTTTGCACACTCTGTTGAGCTCGAGAACAATACCGGAAGGACGTTGGGACGCGAGTTAGTCGCCGCTGTCACTGATGAAAGACGTCGCAAGGAGACACGTTCATGCTACAATTGTGGCAAACAAGGTCATTTGAAGATTGACTGCAGGTCAAAAAGGAACGTCAACAAGAGCGCCAAGAACGACGGCGAGGTGGTTTCTGCTGTTAATGACGACAGCGACAATGTGAACGACGACTGGATACTCGACAGCGGTGCCAGTCGACACCTGGTGAACGACGATCGCCTGATGATCGACGCAGTAGATTTGCAACGATATAGTCTCGCTAGCTGATAGCGAGAAGGTCGGTCTGTCCAAGGTCGGTAATGTGAGACTCTCCGTGGTTGCCAATGGACAAGAAAAAAACAGTCAAACTCACGGACGTCTACTATTTACCGAGTCTGGCCCGCGACATCATCAGCTATGGCAAGCTTGATCAAAATGGATACAGTCTTAAGTATTCTAATTGCAAGCGATCAGTAGCTTGAAGGAGTGATGACCAAGTCGTCGTTCGACGTGACGATGAAAAATAGTGTGCTAATCGTCGAGACGGTGAAAAAGAGTGTACGCAAAAAGGAGACAGCGGATGTTATAATGGCTGCCATTCAGGAGGAGGCAGCAGATGAAATGACTTTGGAGATGCATCGTGGCTCTCTGCTGCACTTTCATCAACGTCTGGGGCATCTGTCGTACGATGCAATTGAGAAGATCGCGAAAATTTCAAGCTTGGGTATCAAGCTGACGGACCACAAACGGATGACATACATCACATGCGCACAATCCAAGCATACAAAATTACAAGCAGGATCAAAAAGACTTTGGACAGAACGCCCCGATCGACCGTCATCTGCTCGGACCTAAACGGTCCACTAACGCCTGCGGATCGGACTCGGAAACCGATATCTGATCAACTTCATCGATTACAAGACCAGCTACTGTGGAGTTTTCTTAGCCCGAACCAAAGACGCTGCGGCAAAGAAGTTCGAACACTTCTTGGTGTTCTTTAAGCGACTATTTGAGTGCAGAATCGCGGTTCTCAGAACAGATGGCGGTAGGGAATACCAGAATGTTGATCTCTTCTGCAAATCGACAGGCGTTGCAAGACAAGTGAGTGAAGCGCAAAATCAAGCGTCGAATGGGAAAGCCGAGAGAATGCACAGGACCGTTCTAAATATGACACGAGCGATGATCTTCGCGTCTGGATTATGCCCCTTACGTTTTGGGGTGATGCCGCTGAATACTCCACGTATATTTTGAACAGGAGCCCCACAAATTCGAATCCTAAGAGAGCGTCGCCGCTTGAAGTTCTGACGAATAAATCGCCGGATTTGCGCAACATCGTCGTGTTTGGCTCCCAATGTACCGTCTACCGTGATCCAAGCAAGAACACGTTCGCGCGACGCGCTCAAGTGGGCACGATCGTTGGGTGCAGTGACGAAACCAAGGGTTTCAGAGTATTCATCAGGAAGGAAAACAAGGTCATCACAACGCAGCATGTCAAGAATATCGAAATGTGTCTGAAGCCCAGAACAGGCAACTGCAACTAGCTCTTGATGACAATGACCGGGCAGATTCAGGCGAAGGCACTGAGACACCTGTGAGACAGAGCAGTAGTGTTACTGCGAGCAAGAAGCCAAGAAGAAGAAACAGTGGACTCGCCAACCACACGTGACAAGAGGTGCGGCAAAGAAAGCAGCTGCAAGCCAACAAGAAGTAGCTGTCAGGCAGATGTCTTCAATCACGTATTCGAAAGAGATCCTTGCAATTATGGCGAAGCAATGAAGAGCAAGAAGAGAAACGAGTGGCAAAAGGCAATGCGTGAGGACGTATGGACGCACTCAAAAGAAACGAAGTGTGGCGTTTGGCACTCCGATCAAGCAACAGCAACGTTCTCCATAGTAAATGGGCCTTTAAGACCAAGAAGACTGCCGATGGAGATTTGAAAGGCACAAAGCGCGCCTCGTTGCCTGCGTAATGAACAAGTTTTTGGTGTACTACGCGCTAGCTTTCGCTGCCGTCATGGACATGACGACAGTGAAAGTAATCTTGGCGTTAGCTGCTACATGGGGCGTCCCGGCTAAGCACGGAGACGTCTCCAATGCTTACGTAAAAGCAGAGAAGGAATAGCATCTCGAGGTTTTGATGCATGTCCCCAAGGGCATGAAGATTGATACAAGAGAGTTAAAAGAACTGGGGGCAACGAAGATTGAAGATGTCGTGCTTGAACTGAAGAAAAGTCTTTATGGTTTAAAGCAAGCAGGGCGATTGTGGAGCCAATTGCTTAGCAATCGGTTATTAGAAGCCGAATTTACTCGCTGCATCAGCGACCTCTGCTTGTATTACAAGCGCGACGTCATTGATGTCGTCATCGTCGGAGTCTACGTAGATGATTTGCTGGTGACTGAACATCCGCTGTTGCAGTTGACGGTTTTTTCGTGAGCCTCGAAAGTCTTTCGATTAAAGATCTTGGACCAGTGTCGAAGTTTTTGGGATGCGCGTGACGCGCAACGAAGATCGTGGATATTTTTTTTGACCAGGAGGAGGCGATTGTCGACTTGCTGCGTGACCACGGCATGACCAATGCCAACTCAAGTCTTGCGCCTATCGAGACAAATGTGTATGAAGTTCAATGTGCAGACAGCGGACTACTTACAGACACGGGTGATCCAGGTCAACCTAGCGTTCGTGCTTTCAGTCTATTGTCGGATCGTTGCTCTGGGTAGCGAGGTGACAAGACCCGGCATCGCATTTGCGGTGCACAAGGCAATTAGACAAACACACGAGCCACGAATCCATGACTGGAAATTGGCTAAGCGCATCGTGCGCTATTTGAGTGGCACGCGTAGATTGAAGATAAGCATGAAGCCAGCAGTCGAAGAAACTGCACAATCTGTTCTAATGAGCTACAGTGACGCAGACTACGCAATCAACAAGGCAGACAAAAATCCTTTGACCGGTAGCGTTATCATGCTGAATGGAACGATAATCAGCTGGTGTTCGAAAAAGCAAGAAGGTGTGGCGCTCTCGACAATGGAGTCGAAATTTTGTGGCAGCATCTGAAGCTGGACGAGAGCTTTTGGAGTGAGAGAGACGCTGAGTGATATTGGTGAGTCGCCTGCACTACCGATGAAAATGCTCATCGACAACCAGGAAGCGATACGGCAGATTTAAGGAGAAGCGTCGTCTACTAAAGCCAAGCACATTGATGTGAGAGTCAATACTTTGCGACTACGCTCGTCGAGGCATTGTGGTGCCACAATATGTGCCGAGCAACCTGATGCTTGCGGACGTACTCACCAAAGCACTCGATGCAGTCAAGACGGTTAAGTTGCGATCACTGCTACACATCGTGTAAGCGCAGTATAAGTCA